CTTGTTGATGGGACCTATAGTTGGCGACCACGTCTCTGTTCCGTAAGTCATCACTGGCACCACACATTGGTCGTAAACCTTCGTCTTGCGACACTTCGGAAATTTGGACGAAAAGATATATCGGAGCTTCCCGAACGCTGCCCATCCGAGTTGGATTCGACGAATCGAAATTCGACCTTTCTCGTGTTAAATTCCTGGTGAATTTGTCACGATGTGCTAACTGACCTGACCTCATGCTCATCCCATCATCCTCCACTGGTGCCCCGCCAGCGTAAACCGTTAGCGCAGGCGGGTGCACCATTTCATTATCATCCACTAAAAACAAAAAACACCACGAACATCACGTTATCATGTGACGCCCGTGATACAACTCTATAATTTCCTGCTATATTAAATTATCTACAGGTTTATGATGTCCTGGTACATTCATTGTTATATTGCTGAATAAGAATCAGTTTTGAAGTACTGTACGCTTGAGGTACTCATTTGTTGCCATTCCAATGGTAATGGAATGACCCTAAGTCATCGCGGGGCCCTGGGAACGTGCCCTGTGTGCCCCGTAGGGAAGAGGGGCCTGGTATAATAACTACTAGCTAGTTCATGTTGTTCTGGTACTTTCAATGTAATATTGATATTTGAAGTAAACGGTACGCTTTACCATTCTTGCCTGATGGTAAGTGGTAACCGTCGCCCCTTGAACACTACGGACATCACGTTATCATGTGACTCCCGTGATACAACTCTGTAATTGCCTGTCATATTAAACTATCTACAAGTTCATGTTGTCCTGGTACTTTCTTAAACGTCAGATGACTATACAAAGTGTTTATTTTTTTTATACTACGTAGGTGGTAAACAAGCATACGGCCCATCTGATGGTAAACGAATACTGTAGCCTATGTGACCGTTTCTATGTCGTTCTATAAATATTTCCTATTACGGACAATGACCATATCGGAATCGCGACCAACATAATATAGCACACAAACAAACATACAGTTAGCCGGTGAATGCATGCGGACCGGTTCCCGAGATTGTTAATTACTGTACACAGACCAACAGAAAATGTAGACGGTACATTCATAAATTTGTAAAATGTTTTATTTTCTCGAAATGTAGAATTTCACAATATTTCTATTGTTATCACTTTAGGATTTTAAGATAATTGGGGCACAAAATGGCGTTCTATGAACAGTGACTCGGACAAAAAAGCCATTATACGAGCAGCCTTCGACCGGAATAGACGTGCCATGAGTAGGTTTCCATTACATTTGTGTCGTTCAAGTATTACGTAAGCAGATTTATTACAATTATTTACCCCCATCCCCCTTCTCAGCAAAAGTAGGCAAAGCTCCTAGGGGCCGTTCAAGTATTACGTAAGCACTATAGGGGGGCGGGGGGGTCTTTTCTTTGCTTATTTTGGATGACATGGGGGTGGGGGAGTCTGTATGATGATTACGTCATCGGTCGTAATTTACTTTTTTACACGAATGGCAACCCTCACATTGTCTTTGCTAAAAAAACAATACATTAATTGAGAGATGTTTACGTAAGCATGGGTGGAGGGGGTAAGAGCTTTGCTTACTTTTGCTGACAACGGGGGATGGGGGTAAATAATTGTGATAAATCTGCTTACGTAATACTTGAACAGCCCCCTACCCCCTCCCTCCATGTTTACGTAAACATTCAAACATCATTGATCTGTTGATCCATTATCTTTGATTAAAGGAAATATAATGCCCCCTTTGGGTGCTGTTGTTGGTCTGTATTGTAAAACCGTCCGTGCCGCTCGGCTGGCTGCACTTGCACACCGGCATCTAGTTTGCATTGTCCGAGTGGATTATTAGTAATGTGGATTGATAACCATTGCTTGCAATGTACCTTATTAGGTCGACCTCCACGGGGTTCCCCCTGGAAACCATCGTGGTAAATTCCTGGTGAATTTATCACGATGTGCTAACTGACCTGACCTCATGCTTATCATCCTCCACTGGTGCCCCGCCAGCGTATACCGTTAGCGCAGGCGGGTGCACCATTACATTATCATCTACAAAAAAAAAGAGTATGCATTGTCCGACCTTCATTCGATCGCCTGGATTTGATCTAATTGATTCACCACTTTGTTAATTTTAATGTTTATGTACACTACCCACCCGCCCCGGCTTTGCACGGGTGTACATCTATACATATAAATAAAATTATAGAAGCATAAAAAAAAGATAACGCATGCAAAAGATAACGAAAGAATCTTAATTCTTATATCATAAATAGCTTCTGAATGTTTCTGCAATCTATACATAAGTTTGTAATATTGAAATAACAGTTGTTTACTACATACATATGAATATAAATACGGTACATACACCAGAATAACATTTTTTAGAACTTTTGTCTGTCTGTCTGTTTGTTCCGGCTAATAATAACTCTAAAATGACTGGACCAATTTTGATGGGACTTTTTTTGGCAGGTAGCTGATGTTATAAGGTGTAACTTAGGTTACTTTTATTTTAGAAAAATAAAGTTAAATTCCACGCGGACGATGTCGCGGTTACAGCTAGTATATATATATAAATTATATATCAGTGCACGTCTGTTTGGTGTTGTGTTCACATATGATTGGTGTATACACCGGATTATGTACCTTATCTAATTGTATTACACATGTTTTTATGACTACATGAACTGCATACTGTAGGTATAACAATATATGTTTATTTATATAACATTCCGCTAATACATACTAAGTATCTCACACGACTTTGTCTTCCTTTTTAGATTAGAATAGAATAGAAAATCATTCATTCAAATAAACTTACATTGAAGCACTTTTGAATAGTCATCACATTATTTTAATCTACCACTCATTCGGAAACCTGTCTCATCACAAGAAGAACGATCAAGAAACTTGTGTGTTGCTCTTTTAAATAATTTTATTATTACTTTACATTTTTAAGTTTAAGTGTATGAATACAAACCACCAATTAGCACTAATTCAATTAAATACTCAAATAGAAAAAATATTGAATATATAACCAACTGGTTAAACCCGTTCACGAGTATGACGGATGAGCCAGCCATCACTGCGCTCATATTTTAGGGAGTATGTGAATACTATAACTATCAGATGGCAATTGTAAGTAGCTTTGACGTGGTCTAGTGTTTTGAGTAGTCATGCTCACTAAAATGTCCAGACTTGTGGCGGCGTGGTGGGCCGGGTCATTGGGCTCCCTAAAATATGGTCAAGCGCAGTGATGGCTGGCTCATCCGTCAGACTCGTGAACGGGTGCTGCTTGTAGGGACTGGTCTGCTCTAATCACTATGACTGATTTCCTATTATTAATTGTTTAACCAGTTGGTTATGTATTCAATATTTTTTTCTTTTTGAGTATTTAATTGAATTAGTGCTAATCGGTGGTTTGTATTCACACACTTAAACTTAAATTGTAAAGTAAGAATAAATTATTTAAAAGAGCAACACGCAAGTTTCTTGCTCGTTCTTCTTGTGATGAGACAGCTTTCGGAATGAGCGGTAGATTAAAAAAATGTAATGACTATTCAAAAGTGCTTCAATGTAAGTTTATTTGAATAAATGATTTTCTATTCTATTCTATTCTAGTGTATTTAATAAAAAAAATGTAGGTTGGTATATCTACATTTTTATTTATACATTTTTTTTTTTAATTTCTTTTTAAATTTAGGGACTTTTGTACCATCTAAGTACATGTCAGTCCCATTGTACCCTAAAACCAATCACTCCATTACCTCACCAGTGAACAAATTATTTATATATATAGGTAACGATTGTAATTTCACAATAATTACATTTTGTCACTTTTGGGTATAATTTGATAGTAAAAGATAGTTTTAAATGAAAATCAACTGATATCTTATCAATAAGCATGTTCTGTAATTAGCAGTGTCTACAATCTGTTAACGATTTAAAAAAATGACAAGCTATAATGATTCATATCGCGGATATAATATATAGAAAAAAATAATATTTATTTTGATGTATATACATCAAAATAAATATTATTTTGTTCGTCTTAATTTATTCGTTCCGTTAGGTTCTGATAGGTTTATACTAATACATTTACATCCTGCATCATCCCTTATTTCATCCCCATGGGGGTTGAATTTATCAAAATCCTATTTAAGCGAACGTCTTCATCATAATAGCTCCAATCTTTAATTTCAGTTCAATCAGTCGAAAATCTAAGATTTATACAAATTTTCATCCTCTATTTAATCCCCTTAGGGGTGGAATTTATCAAAATCCTTTCTTAGGAGATGCCTACGTCATAGTGGCTTTATGCATGCAGTCTCAGCCCGATCGGTTTAAAATTGACAAAGTTTCATACAAACTTTCATCCCCTATTTTATCCCCTTGGGGGTAGAATTAGTCAAAATCCTTTCTTAGCGGATGCCTACGTCATAACATCTACCTGCATGCCAAATTTCAGCCCGATCCGTCCAGCGGTTTGGGCTGTGCGTTGATAGTTCACTATGTCAGTCACCTTTGAGTTATATATTTAGATTAATTATTTCTATATCCAAATACATAAAATAAAGTTTTTTTAAAGAGTAATAAATAAATCTTTTTTAAATAAATGTTTGCGCGTCAATCAATCGGGCAATCGCGGGTAATCTGCTGCTACGTTTACACTCAGCCACTTCCCCTGCCACTCGCGCTGCCGGAAATATTACCGGGCGACAACTGAGCGAGAGGGCTGAATGTAAAAACACGCTGCCACTCGCGCTGCCAGTCCTTTGACTCGCGCACGAAAGACCGACAATCGAGGGAGCGCCGGGCAGCGCGAGTGGCAGCGCCAATGGCATGGGAAGTGTTTCCATTCTCGCACTGCTCACTTCCCTGCCCACTCGGGCTAAGTGTAAATTGGGCATAAAAATTAAAAACTCTATTGCTAATTGACAGGCACAAACAAGAACCAAAGAGTAGATTAGTGTAAATAAAAGTGAATATAGTGGACAGTGTTGCCAACCTAATGAGAGAGTGCACAAAATGCAGCGTCAGCTGAGCAATGTTAGTGTAGGATCCTATCAGGACTACCAACCTAGTAGACGATACGGTAAGTGGAATATAGTTATGCAAAATTGGAGGGAAAATTCTGTGTTGATCATGTGATGAAATGTTTTTTAATGATACACTCGACTGCGCTAATGGTAGACGCTGGCGGGGCACCAGTGGAGGATGATAAGATGAGCATGAGGTCAGGTCAGTTAGCACATTGTGGCAAATTAACCAGGAATTTATCACGATGGCTTCCAGAAGTGGAGGTGCTGCGTGGAGGTCAACCTGACATGGTATGGTATCCCACATTCTATGTATATTATGTATGTATTTACAAAAAATATATTTAGGTAAATATTTCTATCAGTTGTCTAGTACCTATAATAATAATAATAATAATAATAATCTGCTTGCCATCTCCTCTCCTTAAGAGGGGAGATGAGAATTTTTGGATAAAAATAGTAATAATAATAACACCTGTCTCTTAAATTAAAAGGTTCTCAATATACACACACACACACACACAGACACACACACACACACACACAGACACACACACACACACACACACACATACACACACACACACACACACATAGACACACACACACACACACACAGACACATACACACACACACACACACACACACAGACACACACACACACACACACACACATTGTACTTACTTGGTTTTGGCCCGTAAGTGTGGTATACACCGCAAAGCATAAAAACCCAGCAATAAATGCTGACAAAACAAAATATACAAATAATAATCTCAGGACAATTCACACAGCGCCATCTAGACCCAAGTTAAGCTAGCTAAAGCTTGTATTATGGATTCTAGGCAACTGATACAAATACATAGATATATTTATTTTCGTAACTACATACATATTATACATAGAAAACACCCAGATACAAACAATCATACTCATGAGTACAAATGTTTGTGCTGTACGAGGTATCGAACCCGCGACCATCGGACGTAAAGCGGTGTGCTGGTCCGCTAGACCGCCGAGGTCGTCACCCATAACACGCAGTTCTTACCTTGGGACTAAATGACAATGTGAATTGTCCTGAGATATTAAAAATACAATACTGTAGTATGACTGACCACTAATTGTCCTTTATTCTCCTGGTGCTGATAAGCTGCTGTCAACACTGACTCCTTTGGATCCATAGCTATAAAATGCTGCCCTGATCATTCCTGTGCTACCAGAACCGCAGTATGAGCTCTGTGATATTCACTCTCTTCCGCAAGCCTGTTTCCCTGGTTCTATAAAATGTTCACCTGATGATTGGTGTGCTACCAGGCCCGCAGTGTGAGCCCTGTGATGACCTCTGACATTCCTATGCTACCAGGGCCGCAGTATAAGCCCTGTGATGTTCACTGATTGCCGCAAGCTTATTACCCTCATTCTATAAAATGCTGACCTGATGATTGGTGTACTACCAGGGCCGCATTGTGAGCTCTGTGATGACCTCTGACTGCCGCAAGCTTGTTTCCCTCGTTCTATAAAATGCTGACCTGATGATTGGTGTCCTACCAGGGCAGCACTATAAACCCTGTGATGTTCACTGATTGCCGCAAACTCATTTGCCTCGTTCTATAAAATGCTAATCTAATAAATGATTCCTATGCAACCAGGGCCGCAGTATGAGCGCTGTGATGCTCACTGACTGCCGCAAGTTCGTTTCCCTAGTTGTTTAAAATTTTCACCTGATAATTGGTGTTCTACCAGGGCCACAATATGAGCCCTATATTGTTCACTGATTGCCGCAAGCTTTTTTCCCTTGTTCTGTAAAATCGTGACCTAATCATTCCTATACTACCAGGGCCGCAGTGTAAGTCCTGTGATGCTCAATGACTGCCGCAAGCTCGTTTTCTAGTTTGCCTCGTTCTGTAAAATGTTCATCTGATGATTGGTGTTCTACCAGAGCCGCAATATGAGCCCTATATTGTTCACTGACTGCCGCAAACACGTTTGCCTCCTATAAAATGCTGACGTGATGATTGGCGTGTTACCAGGGCCGCAGTATGAGCCGGGCGGCTACGCGACCGCAGTGCAGCAGCGTACCAACATGACGCAGCGGGAGGACACCCTCAAGTTCGAGCAAGGTCGCATCAAGGCGCTCCAGGATGAGCGCATGTACATACAGAAGAAGACCTTCACGAAATGGATCAACTCGTTTCTGCAGAAGGTCAGTCCTAAAATTATCTTTTTTAAAATCTTTCAAGCTGACCTCGCAAACTTTTGCTATATGAATTAAAATCGCTTTAAAAAAATTCAGATGGTGATAGAAGGGTGAAAGTTAGGGTTGTATGTATTTTTTAATTCTATATTAAAGAAATAAAATTCCGAAATATTAAAAAATATGTTAGGGGTGACCAACCCTTATCACTTAGGGGTATGAAAAATAGATAGTAGCCGATTACTTTTTAATATATTACTGCATGTGCATATAAAATAATATATTTATTAAAATTAAAATTAATTTAAGCAGTTTTGAATAGTCAATTTTTTTTTAAATCTACCGCTTATCGGAAAGTTTCATCACAAGAAGAATAAGCAAGAAACTTGTGTGTTGCTCTTTTAAACAATCCTTGTAAGTTCACATTATACAAGTAGAAAAATCGGTCAAGTCGTATGGTAACTAACATTGTGTAACACGAGAATTTTATATATATAAGATAATCTGTCTGTAAGTTTATGTTGTCCTGGTACTTTCATTGTTATCATTATATCGTTATAAAATAAATCTATACATATAAATAAAATTGGAGTGTCTGTTTGTAATATTGAAATTACCGTCTTTTACTACATATATATGAATATAAATACGGTACATAGACCAAAATAACATTTTTTACAATTTTTGTCTATCTTACTGTCGGTCTGTTTGTTCCGGCTAATCTCTGAAATGGCTGGACCGATTTTGACGGGACTTTTATTGGCAGGTAGCTGATGTAATAAGGAGTAACTTAGGCTACTTTTATTTTAGAAAGATAAAGTTACTTCCACGCGGACGAAGTCGCGGGTACAGCTAGTTATAAAACAAAGTCGCTGTCTGTCCGTCCCTATGTATGCTTAAACCTTTAAAACTACGCAACGGATTATGAAGCGGTTTTTTTAATAGATAGAGTGATTCAAGAAGAAGGTTTATATATATAATATATGTACACCCGACCGAAGTCGGAGCGAGTAGCTAGTAGCGTATAAACTTCTAGGCACAGCTAGTGGTAGATGCAAATGTATTTATTGTATATTCTCGACCAGGCTCGTATGGAGGTGGAGGACCTGTTCGTGGACCTCGCAGACGGCCGTCGGCTGCTCAAACTCCTCGAGATCATCAGCGGCGAGAGGCTCCCCAGGCCCAACACGGGCCGCATGAGGGTCCACAAGATTGAAAATGTCAACAAGAGTCTGAGCTTTTTACATACGAAGGTGAGTTTCTTTTATTAAATCAACAGTATTGACACAGCGCCATCTAGTGCTTGACACAATAATTGTTTTTTTTATAACTAACTAGAGATGACTGTATCGACAAACAATCAAATGTATAGCCCGATGGTAAGTGGTCACCGTTATATACATGAACAGCACTACATACATCACGTTATCACGTGACGCCTATATCACACCTAAAGAGTTCATTCGTGACGACTAAGATCTCATCCGTACTATGTAAATATACTACTATTAATTCACGCTCCGAACCTTCTATGAATTCATGTTGTCCTGGTACTTTCTCTGTACTATATGATACATTCAACGAATGGTAATAAAGATTATGCCCCACCTGATGGTAAGTGGTAACTGTCACCTATATACGTGAACAGCACCACGGACATCACGTTATCACGTGACGTCTATATCACACCTAAAGAGTAGTCATTCGTGACGACTAAGATCTCATCCGTACTATGTAGATATACTAATACTATATAAATATACCGCTCCTATTGGTCATAGCGTGATGTTATATATATATAGATATACAAGCTGTCCCGGCAAACGTTGTTTTGCCTTAAAATAAAAAAAAAAATTGGTGTGGACTACCCCTAAACATTTAGGGGGATGAAAAATAGATGTTGGCCGATTCTAAGACCTACTCAATACGCTCACAAAATTTCATGAGAATCGGTCAAGCCGTTTCGGAGGAGTATGGGAACGAAAACTGTGACACGAGAATTTTATATATAAGATTAATTCACGCTCCGAACCTTCTATGAATTTATGTTGTCCTGGTACTTTCTCTGTACTATATGATACATTCAACGAATGGTAATAAAGATTATGTCCCACCTGATGGTAAGTGGTAACTGTCACCTATATACGTGAACAGCACCACGGACATCACGTTATCACGTGACACTCGTAGTACTCATATGGTATTCCCCAATTCTAAGATGCCACGCTTTGTCCCATGTAATTTCACTACAAAACATTTTATGCTTCAGACTATCTAGTAGTTCATGTTGTCCTAGTACTTTGACTGTAGTATCGCTGTATCACACTTCTCGTTTTTACGGAAATGTAAAGCTTACGTCCCACCTGATGGTAAGTGGTAACCGCCGCCTAAGAGTTCGTTAGTAATGAATAGAATAGAATAGAAAATCATTTATTCAAATAAACTTACATTGAAGCACTTTTGAATAGTCCTCACATTTTTTTTAAGCTACCGCTCATTCGGAAAGCTGTCTCATCACGAGAAGAACGAGCAAGAAACTTGCGTGTTGCTCTTTTAAATAATTTTATTCTTACTTTACAATTTAAGTTTAAGTGTGTGAATACAAACTACCGATTAGCACTAATTCAATTAAATAATCAAATAGAAAAAATATTGAATACACAGCAACTGGTTAAACAATTAATAAAAGGAAATCAGTCATAGTGATTAGAGCAGACCAGTCGCTACTAGCAGCACTCGTTCACGAGTATGACGGATAAGCCAGCCATCACTGCGCTCGGCCATATTTTAGAGAGCCCAATGACCCGGCCCACCACGCCGCCACAAGTCTGGACATTTTAGTGAGCATGACTACTCAAAACACCAGACCACGTCATAACTACTCACAATTGCCACCTGATAGTTATAGTATTCACATTTTACATAAGAATGCGTCACCAGACCACGTCATAACTACTCACAATTGCCATCTGATAGTTATAGTATTCACATTTTACATAAGAATGCATCACCAGACCACGTCATAACTACTCACAATTGCCATCTGATGGTTATAGTACTCACATTTTACATAAGAATGCGTCACCAGACCACGTCATAGCTATTTACAATTGCCATCTGATGGTTATAGTATTCACATTTTACATAAGAATGCGTCACCAGACCACGTCATAGCTATTTACAATTGCCATCTGATGGTTATAGTATTCACATTTTACATAAGAATGCGTCACCAGACCACGTCATAACTACTCACAATTGCCATCTGATAGTTATAGTATTCACATTTTACATAAGAATGCGTCACCAGACCACGTCATAGCTACTCAATGTGCACTAGTACTCCCATCACCTAACAATGTACCATGTCAGGTCAACCTCCACGCGGTTCACTTTAGAAATCATCATGATAAATTCCTGATGAATTTACTAACTGGCATTAGACAACTGATACCAATACTTAAATACATTTTTTTTGTAAATACATACATCTAAATATATATAACTCAAATGTGACTGACATAGTGATCTATCAACGCACAGCCCAAACCACTGGACGGATCGGGCTGAAATTTGGCATGCAGGTAGATGTTATGACGTAGGCATCCCCTAAGAAAGGATTTTGATAAATTCCACCCCTAATGATGCTAGAAATCTAATATAATTAATTGATATAAGATACGTGTACACTAATATACTTGTGTGTAGGTATAAAAGCTACTGTTTTATATATATAAACCTTCCTCTTGAATCACTCTATCTATTAAAAAAACCGCTTCAAAATCCGTTGCGTAGTTTTAAAGATTTAAGTCCCTATATATATAGGGACGGACAGACAGCGACAGCGACTTTGTTTTATACTATGTAATGATTTATATTAAACACGAATCGGGTGCTGCTTGTAGGGACTGGTCTGTTCAGGTTGTGAACAATGATTAAATTTTTTTGTTCTTTGCAATAGCATATGCTGGTGGTCACTCTATTCTCCCAAATTAGAATTTAAATGAATCTGTATTATTGTAAACATGTACAACATTCATTTGAAAAGAATACGAGCTGAGTTTCTTGTCAGTTCTCATCTCGATATCATTCCGAACTGACGGTAGATTTGACATATCATAAGAGTCATATCATAAGAGTCTGTAATAGACCTACAATATTTTGATTTTTTTATTAAACAATAATACTATATTACTATACTATACTTATGACGACCTCGGTGGTCTAACGGTCAAGCACACCGCTTTACGACCGATAGTCCCGGGTTCGATTCCTCGCACGGCACAAACATTTGTATTCATGAGTATGATTGTTTGTATCGGTCTGGCTGTTTTCTATATATAATATGTATGTATTTACAAAATTAATATATTTAGAATTTTGAATATTTGAATTTTGAAAGTTTACAAATAACTATACAGAAATGGTTATATTAAGAATAGAATAGAATAGAATAGAAAATCATTTATTAAAATAAACTTACATTGAAGCACTTTTGAATAGTCATAACATTTTTTTTTTAATCTACCGCTCATTCGGAATGCTGTCTCATCACAAAAAGAACAAGCAAGAAACTTGTGTGTTGCTCTTTTAAATAATTTATTCTTACTTACAATTTAAGTTTAAGTGTGTGAATACAAACCACCGATTAGCACTAATTCAATTAAATACTCAAATAGAAAAAATATTGAATTCATAACCAACTGGTTAAACAATTAATAAGAGGAAATCAGTCATAGTGATTAGAGCAGACCAGTCCCTACAAGCAGCACCCGTTCACGAGTATGACGAAGTTTATTTGAATAAACGTTATTTGTATATCTATATAAAAAAACATGTAAAGACTGAAGTGGGTGACACCAATAGCTGGAGGAAGCCCAACAAACGTTTCTAATACAAACTTGTATGGATTCAATAGCTGTGTTATTCTTACTCTTTTTTTTTTTATTGGATTGTTTGGGCTATTGTCAGATGTGTAGCACCTGTAGCACTGCGACCTACATAGATCTATTGTGCTCGCCCTTTTCAGAGTTCGCTTCCTAGACCCGTCAGGGACAAGAATTGAAGGATATTCTTAGGAGCGATCGTTTTTATCTCCTCGGGAAAGAGTGTAAACTTTTTGTCTGTCTGTTTATTCCGGCTAATCTCTGAAATGGCTGGACCGATTTTGACGGGCCTTCTATTGGCAGGTAGCTGATGTAATAAGGAGTAACTTATGCTACTTTTACTTTAGAAAAGGTAGCATAAGTTGCTCCTTATTATACTTACTACTTTTAGAAAAATAAACTGGTACAGCTAGTATATAAATAAAATGTCGAATTTCGACCAGTGGGCGATCACTAACAAAACTGTTGATTCCAGGTGCGCCTGGAGTCAATCGGCGCTGAGGATATAGTGGACGGGAATCCTCGCCTCATCCTCGGCCTCATCTGGACCATCATCCTGCGGTTCCAGATCCAAGAAATCGAGATAGACGTTGTGAGTATATATTTTGGAACTTCTTACATGTTCTGCTAAGATTTTCTATGCTATTTCTTCTTTTTTTTTGCCTGAGCTTAGGGTCTAAGTTTATTTATTATAATTTTTTTTTTCTATTATTGTCTGACCTTAGTCGCATATATTTTTAATTTTCAATTCACATTATTTTCCTTTGCCTGGCTTTAACCCCGTTTATTTTAAATTTATAAAGTTATTCTTTATTTTCTTTTGTCTGGCTTTAGTCCTAATTATCTTAAATTTATAAATGCTGTTCTTTCTTTACTTTTGCCTGAGCTTAGTCTCATTTATTTTAAAATTAGTCCTATTTGTTTTAATTTTGAAATGTTATTCTTTCTCTTCTTATATCTGACTTTAGATCCATCTTTTTTTTTAAATCCTATTCTTTCCTTTCTTTTGCCTGAGCTTAGTCTCATTTATTTTAAAATTTTAAATGTTACTCTTTTCAATTCTTTTGGCTGCTTATTAAATGTTATTCTTTTCTTTTACGTGACTTTAGTTTCATTTATTTTATTAAATTCTATGTTTTCTTTTCTTTTTCTTAGCCTGGCTTTAGTTCCATTTATTTTAAATTTTTAAATGTTATTCTTAATTATATTTTGCCTGCCCATAGTCCCTTTAACATTACACACGTTATGTTAATGTGTATTAATCACCATATATGTTTTATTAGGATGAAGAAAATGAATCATCAGAAAAGAAGTCAGCCAAGGATGCCCTGCTGCTGTGGTGTCAGCGGAAGACCAGCGGGTACCACGGCGTTAACATCCACAACTTCACAGACTCCTGGAGATCTGGTCTCGGGTTCAATGCTCTTATTCACGCTCATAGGTAAATATTAGAACTGCAGAATAGAATAGAATAGAATAATAATAATCTCAGGACAATTCACACAGCGCCATCTAGACCCAAGTTAAGCTAGCTAAAGCTTGTGTTATTGGTACTAGATAACTGATACAAATACATATTTTTTTGTAAATGCATACATATCATACATAGAAAACACCCAGATCGATACAAACAATCATAGTCATGAATACAAATGTTTGTGCCGTACGAGGAATTGAACCCGCAACCATCGGTACTAAGGCGGTGTGCCAAACCACCGAGGCCGTCGAATAGAAAATCATTTATTCAAATAAACTTACATTGAAGCACTTTTGAATAGTCATAACATTTTTTTAATAACCCCTACCTTTTAGGGGACTACCCCTAACATTTAGGGGGATGAAAAATAGATGTTGGCCGATTCGCAGACCTACTCAATATGCTCACAAAATTTCATGAGAATCGGTCAAGCCGTTTCGGAGGAGTATGGGAACGAAAACTGGGACACGAGAATTTTATATATAAGATATATAAATCTTTATTCAACAGTTACAAACATATAACATAACTAGCTCTCGCCCTAGCTGTGTATTATATATATAAATCTTCCTCTTGAATCACTCTATCTATTAAAAAAAACCGCATCAAAATCCGTTGCGTAGTTTTAAAGATTTAAGCATACATAGGGGCAGACAGCGACTTTGTTTTGTACTATGTATAGATAATTTAAAAATATATTATGTCAATTAGCCGAAATATAATGTTAAATGTCAAGTAATGCAGAGGAAGTCGCGCCGGTGAGGTAGTATTTAAAAATGTTTTTGTTAACCAGACCAGACCTGTTCCGGTGGGCGGAAGTGCCTGCTGAGGATCACGTGGAAACCCTGAACCATGCTTTCGACGTGGCACACAAACATTTGGGCATCCCTAAACTCCTCGACGCTGAGGGTAAGTGGTACCATCCATAAATAATGTCACACGTTGAGGAAAAGGGGATTAGTAATGTGGATTGATGATCTCATTGCTGGCAATGTCAGGTTGACCATGCGGTTCCCCCTGGAAACCATCGTGATAAATTCTTGATGAATTTGTCACGATGTGCTAACTGACCTGACCTCATGCTCATCCTATCATCCTCCACTGGTGCCCCGCCAGCGTATACCGTTAGCGCAGGCGGGTGCACCATTACATTATCATCCATAAAAAAAAGTCACACGTTAGTTTGGTGACCTCAATGGTCTGCGGGGAGTGGAATTGTTAGTAATGTGGACTAATAACCCATGTTGCAATGTACCATGTCAGGTTGACCTCCACGCGGTTCCCCCTGGAAACAATAGTGATAAATTTAAGAGTATCACATGTCGGGCTATGGGGTTTATTCTACACTTCGTTGCGTAGTTTTAAAGATTTAAGCATACATAGCGACGGACAGACAGCGACAGCGACTTTGTTTTATACTATGTAACGTACTGAAGTAAGGACTATTTCATTACATATCAAAATCATTCGGTAGATTTGACATATCATAAGAGTCTGTAATAGATCTACATGAATAAAGATATTTAGAGTTTAAATTTGTAATTTCCAACTTTCAGACGTGGACACGACTCGTCCGGACGAGAAGTCTGTAATGACTTACGTAGCTAGCTACTACCACACGTTCGCAAGGATGAAGAATGAACAGAAGAGCGGCCGGAGAATCGCCAACGTGAGTCTCTTTTATATTTATAATACTAACCTACCACTCCCAGCTCCGCACGGGCACATGTACTATGCATATAAACCTTCCTCTTGAATCACTCTACTGCTAAAAACTGCATTAAAATCTGTTACGTAGTTTAATAGATATCAGCGAATGTATAGCGGAAGCGACTTCATTTTGTAGTATGTGAACTTCACAAAAATAAATAAAAAATACTTACATATGTTCAAAATCTACCCTGTATCATCGTAAGCACAGATTATTATATTAGAGTCCGTTAGTTTGTGTTCCCGCGCGTTCCCTTCCCCTCCCTTACCTAGTAACAAACGGACTGTACAGCGGCCTTGACGCGCGCGCGCATTGTGTTGTGAATTAAAATAAATTAGAACTGTGTTAACCTACTGTGAAGCTGGAAAGCTAGCGAAGATACCTTCGAGACCCTGAAGCCTAAGAAATCCGCAGAACCATAAAGGTAAATGACTGACGCTTCCCTAACATTTTGGTAGCAGAGTAGTTTCCCAAACATTTTGGTAGCAGAGCGTGGTTTGGAAACCTCTGATTACATTGGATATATACATATAACCCGGGAAATTATTGTTTGACAGTAAATTAATTAGGTTATAAAATTATTAAAGTATTTTAATATACAAATTGCTCAAAAAAACAACGGTCGATGATAGAAGGGTGGAATTTGATGGAATGATAGATTTGTCCCATTATTATCATCATCATCATCATTATTATCAGATCATCGGCCAGCTCAAGGACTGCGACGACCGTAAAACAGAGTACAGCAGGCTGGTATCAGCCCTACTGGAATGGATCCGGCTCAAGATACAGGAGCTGAACGGCAGAGAGCTGCCCAACTCGCTGGACGGCATCCAGCGGTTGTTGCTGGCGTTCAAACAGTACAGGACGGTGGAGAAACCGCCCAAGTAAGTTACCGTCATCAGTCCCGGATCTTCATTTTTTTTCAGGCATGGCAAAAACTAAAAATGCGCCTGAAATCTTTTATTAGCAAAAATCTGCTTTACGTACTAATACAATATTAATTGCTACGACGATATTGTAGGCGCTTCAAAAATTATAACCTACTAGCAAGCAATTTCGTAAGGGCCCTATATTTGAGGTTCTTCATCTATTAAAATAAGGTTATGACAGGATCAGTGGTTTAGCGGTTTAGCACGCCGCCTTACTTACGATGGTCGCGGGTTCGATTCCTCGCACGACACAAACATTTGTTTATTTTTATGTGCTTGGATCTGTAACACTGTTACCTACATAGATCTATTGTGCTCGCCCTTTTCAAAGTTCGCTACCTACACCCGTCAGGGACAAGAATTAAACGATATTCTTAGGAGCGATGAAACACTAGTTCCGGCCCTATTTTTCAGTCACGACATTTTGCATTTGGTAGTTTTAAACATTACAGGCCCTTGGTACGTGCCTAGGTAGACTATTCGTTAGTCCGCTCTTAAGTTGAATAAAAATATATTGATTTCTTTTTCCAGATACAAGGAGCGTTCAGAGATCGAAGCCCTATACTTCCATATCAACACGATGCAGAAGAGCCTCATCGGGGAAGCGTGGGCGCCGCTCGAGGGACAGCTGCCCCAGGACCTAGAGAGGGCCTGGCAGCAGCTGGAACAGGTAAACTACTATGTAATTTTTTAAGTGTTGGTAGACTGTCGTTGTGTGGGCATGTAATGCGTAAGATTTAAGATAATATTTTAAAGAAGGTGTTACATATGAATGTGGATGGTTATAAAGGCAGAGGCAGGCCGAAGAGATGGATGGACTGTGTGAAATATGATATGATAAGAAAGGGAGTGAATAACGAGATGACTGCGAACAGAGATGAATGGAAGAGAAAAACATTACGACCACAAATAAATGGGATAAAGAAGAAGCAGATGATGCTACAGGACATTTTTACTTAGGAATATTCATAATTGAGTGATGAATTCTACTTCATCATATAGTATTGTGTAGTAGGTCTGAATTTTATATGTATACTAGCTTTTGCCAGCGGCTTCGCTCACGTTAATTTATCCCCTTAGGGGTGGAATTTATCAAAATCCTTTCTTAGGGTATGCCTACGTCATAGGAACTTTATGCATGCAAAGTCTCAGCCCGATGGGTGTAAAATTGACAAATTTTCATCCCCTATTTTATACCCTTGGGGGTAGAATTAATCAAAATCCTTTCTTAGCGGATGCCTACGTCATAACATCTACCTGCATGCCAAATTTCAGCCCGATCCGTCCAGTGGTATGGGCTGTGCGTTGATAGATCACTATGTCAGTCAGCTTTGAATTATATTTAGACTAGCGACTCATGGATGCGTTACAAATCTTTGAATTTCTGAACTTGTTCTATACTATAATACGCATATATTATATATATAAACCTTCCTCTTGAATCACTCTATCTATTGTTGGAAACTGTATTAAAAATCCGTTGCGTAATTAAAAAAAGGGAAGAGACAGCGGCGAAGTATGTTTTGTAGCGCGGTGGTATCCTCATCACTGTAGCATGTATATATTATTTATTGAATAGAATAGAATAGAATAGAAAATCATTTATTCAAATAAACTTACATTGAAGCACTTTTGAATAGTCATTACATTTTTTTTTAATCTACCGCTCGTTCGGAAAGCTGTCTCATCACAAGAAGAACGAGCAAGAAACTTGCGTGTTGCTCTTTTAAATAATTTTATTATTACTTTACATTTTTAAGTTTAAGTGTGTGAATACAAACCACCAATTAGCACTAATTCAATTAAATACTCAAAAAGAAAAAATATTGAATACATAACCAACTGGTTAAACAATTAATAAGAGGAAATCAGTCATAGTGATTAGAGCAGACCAGTCCCTACAAGCAGCACCCGTTCACGAGTATGACGGATGAGCCAGCCATCACTGCGCTCGACCATATTTTAAGGAGCCCAATGACCCGGCCCACCACGCCGCCACAAGTCTGGACATTTTAGTGAGCATGACTACTCAAAACACTAGACCACGTCAAAGCTGCTCACAATTGCCATCTGATAGTTATAGTATTCACATTTTACATAAGAATGCATGCGGCAATTAATACAAAAACCGCTACGCTTTCATATTTCTAAAATCAATCAATTAAATCAAGAAAGCAATGAGAAAATAAAATTATTGTAGTATATAGGTAGTGAGTATTCCGGTAAAATGATTGTACTATTTATTAGACATTATTAAGTTTATTGGTAGTGTGCTACAGGTTTTTTAATAACGCGTACAGTCGACGCGGAGTCGGGACGTAGACTGATTTTACACGTAACTTAAATCTATGTTACTGGAGACGTAATCTAATGGAAGGATCTCAAGTGTCGACAGAAATATTACAAGTGTAGGCACAGTTTTATACTGTGTAAAGATACTAGCTAATCCAGCAAATGTACAATCACATTGTGGAATCACCAATACTATATAGAAACCTTCAAAGAGCTTATTCCTTCTTAACAGGCCGGCAACGCATTTGCAATTGCTCTCAGTTTCAAAAGAGTTAGTGATTCCACTAATAAAAGCTTACGTAACAATAACAAACTGATTTTACCTAAATGTCGTTTGGCTAAAGTTAATAACTCGTTTTATGGCAATTGCGTAAGGTTTTACAATAAAATACCAGAGTCTGTTATAAATCTGCCAGAAAAAAGATTTAAATGTCAAATAAAACAGTTCCTTTGCAAAAAAAGCTTACTATAAAATTGAAGAGTTCGTTAAACATAATGATGTTTTTATAGAAAAACTTTAAATCTATAGCACTGACAATATTATCTGATTACACTAATAATGAGTGCGTAGCGACTTCTATGTTGATTATCGCATGCCTCTTACTTGTTATACTGTAATTATTTATATAAAAAAAACATCTATTAAAAAGAGCAACACACAAGTTTCTTGCTCTCATTCTTCTTGTGATGAGTCTGCGTTCCAAATGAGTGGTAGAATCAAAATATGACTATTCAAAAGTTGCTTGTAATGAGTTTATTTGAATAAAGATTATTTCTATTTCTAATTCTACTTCTACTTCTACTTCTATTTCTATTTCTGGTGTCGCTGGAGCTCATTGGCGGTGGTAACACTAATAAAAATAACGCCCGTTTGTCTGTCCATAGGCGGAGCACGCGCGTGAGCTGGCGCTACGTACGGAACTGCTGCGGCAACAAAGGCTTGAACAACTCAACTACAAATTTAATACCAAGGTATGTATATATATATATATAACTAGTTTTTGCCCCCGGCTGCGCTCGCGTTAATTTATCTCCCTAGGGGTGGAATTTATCAAAATCTTTTCTTAGGGGATGCCTACGTCATAGTAGCTTTATGCATGCAAAGTCTCAGCCCGATCGGTTTAAAATTGACAAAGTTTCATACAAACTTTCATCCCCTATTTTATCCCCTTGGGGGTAAAATTAATCAAATTCCTTTCTTAGCAGATGCCTACGTCATAACATCTACCTGCATGCCAAATTTCAGCCCGATCCGTCCAGTGGTTTGGGCTGTGCGTTGATAGATCACTATGTCAGTCACCTTTGAGTTATATATATATAGATTATTGTAAAGTATCATCAAAGTTGTTAAGTAGTTTTTGCGTGAACGAGTAACAAACATCCATACTTACAAACTTTAGCGCTTATAATCATCATCATCATCATCATCATCATCGCAGCCCGCAAGACGTCCACTGCTGGACATAGGCCTCCCCCAAAGATCTCCACGACGATCGGTCCTGCGCTGCTCGCATCCAATGCCTTCCCGCGATCTTGACCAGATCGTCGGTCCACCTTGCTGGAGGCCTTCCCATATTAATAAGATTTTCTAATTGTCCCAGCAAACATTGTAATGCCACTTTACTATCAATATTGCTAAAATTGGGGTTGGTGGTAGAAGGGTGAAAATTTGGGTTGGCAATTTAAAAATAAAAAAAATTGGTAAAATATTTTAGGGGTGGGTCACCTTTACCTTTGATTTTATTACCATTCACACAGCGCCATCTAGTCCTAAGCTATGGGTACTAGACAACTGAAATATCAGTTTACATACATAATCTCAGGACAATTCACACAGCGCCATCTAGACCCAAGTTAAGCTAGCTAAAGCTTGTGTTATAGGTACTAGATAGCTGATACATATACATAGATTTTTTTTGTAAATACATAATATACATAGAAAACATCCAGACGGATACAAACAATCATACTCATAAATACAAATGTTTGTGTCGTGCGAGGAATTGAACCCGCGACCATTGGAAGTAAAGCGGTGTGCTAGACCGCTAGACCACCGAGGTCGTCGAGGTTTATGTGTTGATGTTTTTAGTAGCACGACTTCGTCCGCGTGGAATTTAACTTTATTTTTCTAAAGTATAAGTTACTCCATATTACATCAGCTACCTGCCAAAAAAAGTTCCGTTAAAATCGGTTCAGCCATTTCAGAGATTAACCGGAACAGACAGACAGACAAAAATTGTAAAAAATGTTATTTTGGTGTATGTACCGTATTTATATTCATATGCATGTAGTAAAAAACGGTTATTGCAATATTACAAACAGACACTCCAATTTTATATGTATAGATGACATTCTAATTGCCATTGACAGTCGGTGCTGAGGAAAGGTTACCTGAAGGAGATGGTGCTGGTGCTGTCAGACCCTCGTTACGGGTCCAACCTGGCGCAGGTGGACGCCACAGTAAAGAAGCACGAGGCTATATCTGCAGACATCCTCGCCAGGTAATGTATACCATTTTTTTTATCACCTGAATTTCATAAAGCAGAATTTTTTCGAATTTTTCAAATATTTTGGGACGGGCTGACCTATACAGCTTCACCGAACGATAAGGGGCACTGCAGATGACGCTCCATCAGGCAGGATGTATGCTTGATGGCAATCCTCGTAAAAAGTAGGAAATGTACAGCGATACTACAGTCAAAGTACCAGGACAACATGAACTACTAGGTAGTCTGAATCATAAAATGTGATGGTGAAATTACAAGGGACGATATCGTAACAAAACTTAGAACTCCGTGATAGCAAGATAGGAATATCACGGGCGTCACATGATAACGTGATGTCTGTGGTACTGTTCATGTATATAGGCGACGGTTACCATTTACCATCACGCAGGATGTTTGATGGTAAATGATAGCATCTTCGTTATACAAAGTAGGAAATGTACTGCGATACTACAGTCAAAGTACCAGGACAACATGAACTACTAGATAGTCTGAAGTAACACAATAGTGAAATTGCAGGGAACGAAAGCATCTTAGAAGTGCGGAATAGCAAAATGAATGCTATGTTTGTAACATGATAACGTGATGTAGCTGTTTATGTATATAGACGACGGTTACCACTTACCATCAGGTGGGATGTTTGATGGTAAGCTTCGTTGTATAAAGTAGAAAATATACTGTGATACTACAGTCAAAGTACCAGAATAACATGAACTACTAGATAGTCTGAAGCACAAAATGTGATGGTGAAGTTATAGGGTGTGAAGCCGTGACGAGTGTTATATGATAACGTGATGTAGCTGGTCATGTATATAGGATATCGCGACCACTTACCATCAGGCAGGATGTTTGATGGTAAATGATAGCATCTTCGTTGTACAAAGTAGGAAATGTACTCTGATACTACAGTCAAAGTACCAGGACAACATGAACTACTAGATAGTCTGAAGCATAAGATCTGATAGAGAAATTACAGAGGACGAAAAATACAATAGCAACATGTGAATACTATGTACGTAACATGATAACGTGATATAGTGCTGTTCATGTATATAGACGACGGTTACCACTTACCGTCAGGTAGGATGTTTGATGGTAAATGGTAGCATCTTCGTTGTACAAAGTAGGAAAGGTACTCCGATACTACAGTCAAAGTACCAGGACAACATGAACTACTAGATAGTCAAGTATAAAATGTGATAGAAAAATTATCAAGTACCATCATACATCATCATCATACATCATTCCAATAATAAAAAAAAACAATTCCAGGACGGAGCGCTTCGACGACCTGTCAGCGATGGCAGCGGAACTGGTCCGCGAGAACTACCACGGCGCTGAGGCTGTCTCCCGCACGGAGCAGGCGGTGCTGCAGCGCTGGCGCGAGCTGCTGGAACTGCTGGAGAGGCACCGGACCTCGCTGGCGAGGCTGGCGCATTTGATGGCGTTGTTACGAGAAGCTGATACAGTAGGGCAGACGCTTATGGAAATGAAGGTATGTAGATTGTTTAGGGGCTGTTGCAAGTATTACGTAAGCAGATTTATCACAATTATTTACCCCCCATCCCCCGTTGTCAGCAAAAGTAAGCAAAGCTCCTACCCCCTCCACCCATGCTTACGTAAACATCTCTCAATTAATGTATTGTTTTTTTAGCAAAGACAATGTGAGGGTTGCCATTCGTGTAAAAAAGTAAATACGACCGATGACGTAATCATCATACAGACTCCCCCACCCCCATGTCATCCAAAATAAGCAAAGAAAAGACCCCCCCCGCCCCCCTATAGTGCTTACGTAATACTTGAACGGCCCCTTATCAATATACAAAACTTTTTTTTTGTACTGCGCTGATGGCAAACAAGCATACGGCCCATCTTATGGTAAATGGCTACCGTAGCCTATGACGCCTGAAACACCAGGGGTGTCACGTGCGCGTTGCCGACCCGTTATATTTTATTTATTTTATTGCTTTCTTAATTTAATTATTTTAGAAATATGAAAGCATAACGGTTTTTTGTATTGATTGCCGCATGCATTCTTATGTAAAACTAGCTTTTGCCCGCGGCTTCGCTCGCATTAATTTATCCCATTAGGGGTGAAATTAATCAGAATCCTTTCTTAGTGGATGCCTACGTCATAACATCTACCTGCATGCCAAATTTCAATCCGATCCGTCCAGTGGTTTAGGCTGTGCGTTTATAGATCACTATGTCAGTCACCTTTGAGTTATATATATATAGATTAGCTGTACCCGCGACTTCGTCCGCGTGGAATTTAACTTTCATTTTCTAAAATAAAAGTAGCCTATTTTACTTCTTATTACATCAGCTACCTGCCATAAAAAGTCCGGAACAAGCAGACAGACAGACAAAGATTGTAAAAATGTTATTTTGGTGTATGCCGTATTTATATTCATATGCATGTAGTAAGAAAAGGTTATTTCAATATTACAAACATGCAATCCAAATTTATTTACATGTATAGATAAGTATTGTCTTATATTTGAGTACACGTATGAGTAGCAAATTAACATACTAACTTAAAACATCAAAACATATTGCGTTACCCTGGTTTACCTATAACAAGTAAATAAATTTACCATGGTTACCATCAGGTATACTATCAGCCCCTTAACCTCAAACCTTAACCCTAAAATGCTTTTCCAGGCGCAGTTCCAATCGGAGGAAGTGGGTCGTCACCTAGTAGACGTGGAGCGGCTGCTGCAAGCTCACGCGCTCCAGGAGCTGCAGCTCGGAGCCCTGGACGAGAGCATCCGCAGACTTGTCCGGCAGGGGGCCGCCGCCGAAGGTCCCCCTCAACCCAAGCAGCAGCTCACACAGCAACTGTCGCAACTCGAAGATGCTTACGACAGGTACCTAACACATAATCTCAGGACAATTCTCACAACGCCATCTAGTCCCAAGTTAAGCTAGCTAAAACTTGTGTTATGGGTACTAGACAACTGATACAAATACATCGATTTTTTTTGTAAATACATACATATTATATTGTAAGAAGCACTAATTATGATGAACGACTGAGGCTTTGAAGCCGGCTACCGCAAGGGAAACCCCAAGTAGCGCCCGTGACTTGTGACACGGGTGTAGGTTTATAAGGCCCTTTTAGAATGCATTAACACTCACCTTCACTACTTGCAGCTTCCCCCCAGGCCCAACTAAGACCGAGATAAACCCATTTCTAATACAATTCACTTTAGTATCCAAAACACAACCGGCACGCTCTGCGCTCGTCGACTGAATGCCGCGACTCACGCAACGAAAGAGGATTATTCAACTACCGACCTCCGTATTTATAGACCAAAGTCAGTGTAGTAGGTCGGTCTATAAATACTAGATGGCGCTATTTACAATATTCGTAATAATCCTTACATTGGGTACTTCATTAGTACTAAAAACAAACTACCTTCTTTTAATATATTTTTAAAATATCGTTTTTTTTCTACAATAATGATGTGAATTCTAACAATATATAGAAAACACCCAGGCCGATACAAACAATCATATTCATGAATACAAATGTTTGTGCCATGCGAGGAATCGAACCCGTGACCATCGGACGTAAGGCGGTGTACACTAGCCATCCGAAGGTCGAATCCCTTAATTTATTTATTTTTTGAATTCAGGTTATTAATGTTCCAAATTTTCTTAAAATAAGTATGTACTGAGAATTGGCTACCTCTAAGTGATAGGTGTTGTCCATCCCTAACAGAATGTGGCATTAAAAAATACATACAACCCTAAATTTTCACCCTTCTCCCATCAACCCCTATTTTTTAATAGCTATTTTAATTTATATGTCAAAATAATGTTTGCGGGTTCAGATGTGGATAAGTTAAACGATTTTACCATTAAACATTGTAATAAAAAAGATATCGAGCGAAATGTGGACATGTCAAGTGTTGTTTACCACAACATGGACTGTTGATGATCTCTCTGACTACGCTATAAAAGATAATAGTCGTGAAGTTATTATTATTACCGATACTACAGTGAAAGTACCAGGAGAACATGATTCGCTAGTAGTCCAGAGTCTATTCTGTTGAATTAATGTTTTTATTATTTATATTATACCAAGGGAAATGTGGATATATCAAGTGTTGGGTTCCCAACATCGACAGTTGACGATGACTCTGATTACCCCATCAAAGGTAACGGTCGTGAAGTTATCTTATTGTTACCGATACTTCAGCTAAAGTACCAGGAGAACATGACTCGCAAGTAGGTTCGAGCCCACTTAGTGTTTGTGTAGCGAAATGTGAACATGTCAAGTGTTGTTCACCACAACATGGACTGTTGATGATCCCTCTGACTACCCCATCAAAGATAATAGTCGTGAAGTTGTCTCCTATTACCGATATTACAGTGAAAGTACCAGGAGAACATGAACTCCAAGTAGTCAACAGCCTACCGCACTCTATTGGATTATTGTGTTTAACTTCTTACTAACTAAACTATATGATTGTTACAGTCTTCTGGCCGCTGCCAAGGATCGCAAAGCAAGACTAGAAGATGCTAGGAACCTCTATCAGTTCCTAGAGGATCATGACGAGGAAGAAGGTAGGGTTTCATTGATGTTTTATTTAATTATAATGGTATTAATGTATTCTTATTGTTAAGTAGCTGTTACCCGCGACTTCGTCCGCGTGGAATTTAACTTTCATTTTCTAAAATAAAAGTAGCCTAAGTTACTTCTTATTACATCAGCTACCTGCCAAAAAAGTTCCATCAAAATCCGTCCAGCCATCTCCGAGATTAGCCGGAACAAATAGACAGACAAAAAATGTAAAAAATCTTAATTTGGTGTGTTTACCGTATAAACGTAAAAAACGTAAAAAACTGTTATTTCAGTATTACAAACAGACACTCTAATTTTATTTATATGTATATATATATAGATATATATAGATATATAGATATATATAGATATATAGATATAGATAAATAGACTAGATACCAGCCCCGTCTCTCCTAAGAATATGCTTCTATTCTTGTCCCTGACGGGTCTAGGTAGAGAACTCTGAAAAATTGCGAGCACAATAGATCTATGTAGATCTCAGTGCTACAGGTCCATGCACCTGACAATAACACAAATCCACCAATAAAAAAAAATACTCACCCCGGCTTCGCACGGATATACATGTATTATACATATAAACTTTCCTCTTGAATCACTATTTATTGCTCAAAACTGCATTAAAATCCGTTGCGTAGTTTAAAAGATCTAAGCGAACATACAGCGGAATGTTCATTTTATACTATGTCAAGATGATTTATATATCTGTCCCTACAGGTTGGGTGACGGAGAAGCAGCGTATATGCCGCGCAGACGTGGCGGCCAAGGATCTGCGCGGAGTGATGGCTCTGCGTCAGAAGCATACAGCGCTGCTGCACGAGCTGAAGGCCCGCGACCACGTCTCGCAGCGGCACAGGGCCAAGGGACACAGGTACGACATCGTTATCTTGATCATCATCTGCATTATCACTATGATAACGACTATGATCATCATTATAATTATAATATGATAATTAGCACTATGTTGATGATTATGATCATCATAATTAGTACCATGTTGATGATTATGATCATCATAATTAGTACCATGTTGATGATTATGATCATCATAATTAGCACCATGTTGATGATAGTCATCATCATAATTATCACCATGTTGATATAGTCATCAGCGTCATGATCTTCATCATTACAATCACAGATACTCACATAGATTATTTAATATACAGAAAGTAAATTAATTAGATATTTAAATAAATATTGTAGTAAAGTATGTTATTTTAAAGAAATATTATAAAAAAAAATGTCTTCCAGCTTGATAGACGCAAAGCATCCGAAGAGTGCAGAGATAGAGCGCCGGCTCTCGTCCCTGAACCAGCAGTGGGAGGCTCTGAGGGAGCTAGCAGCCGCCAGGGAGAAGCAGCTGGCAGACGCTGCCGAAGCTCACCAGGTAAATTACTCCTTAGAAATTGTTCAAACAGACTGCAAAAATATTTTAACAATTTTCGGCTGAGAGGATTTTTTTTTCGGACTACTCTAATGCTGTTGGCCGCAGCTGGCCTTTACAGCGTCATCGGACAGTAGGGTCGAGTGCAGATGACACTCCAAACCAAAGGAAGGACTTATGGAGCGGAAATCTGGTCACGACTCGTGAGGTGCTTATATTGCAACCTCAATCTTTATACTTCCTATACCTTTATGTTATCCTGGTACTTTCACTGGAGTGTTGAAGATTAAAGTATACGTCCAGCCTTATGCAAAGTATACGTCCAGCCTTATGCAAAGTATACGTCCAGCCTTATGCAAAAGTATACGTCCAGCCTTATGCAAAGTGTCGTCTATATATGACGGTGCTTTTTTCGGACTACTCTAATGCTGTTGGCCGCAGCTGGCCTTTACAGCTTCACCGGACGATAGGGGACGAGTGCAGAAATCTGATCACGACTACTCGGAAGGTGTTTATGTTCTAACTTCAATCTTTATACTTCCTATACCTTTATGTTATCCTGGTACTTTCACTGGAGTGTTGCAGTTTAAAGTATACGTCCAGGCTTCTGTAAAGTGTCGTTTATATACGACGGTAGTTTTTCGAACTGTTCTAAAGCTTTTGTCTGAGGGCACCGATGGGGGTTCGAACCTCGGCTCAAGGGGGCAAGGGGGTTGTTAAAATTGGTAACTAGTGGTTCCCATTGCCAGCAATGTACTATATTAGGTCGCCCTCCAAGCGGTTCCTTCTGGAAACCTTCGTGATAAATTGTAGGTGAATCTGACTTGACCTCATGCTCATCTTATCATCCTCCACTGGTGCCCTACTACGGATATCACGTTATCATGTGACGCCTGTGATAAAACTCGATAATTTCCTATCAAATCAAACTATCTACAAGTTCATATTGTCTTGGTACTTTCATTATAATATTGATGTATGAGAATATGATTATTTTTTGCCTAGATGGTAAGTGGTGGATGGTAACCGCCGCCTAAACACTACGGACATGATAAATTCCCGGTGAATTTATCACGATGGGCTAACTGACCTGACCTCGTGCTCATCCCATCATCCTCCACTGTTGCCCCGCCAGCGTATACTGTTAGCGCTGGCGGGTGCACCATTTCATTATCATCCCCAATAAAAAAAACCACGGCTCATGCTGTTGTAATTTCGATCCCCGTTTCAATTGGACAGGGATCGATTGAACGGGAAATGTTTGACGAAATTAGACCCTAGCTCGGAGCAGAGGAAAAAAACCTCGTCACAGGCCGTCGTAATATCGATCCCCTTTTCAATTGGACGGGGGATCGATTGAAGGGGAAATGTTTGATGAAATTGGACCCTAACTCGGAGCAGAGGCAAAGAAACCTCGTCACAGGCCGTCGTAATATCGATCCCCTTTTCAATTGGACGGGGGATCGATTGAAGGGGAAATGTTTGACGAAATTAGACCCTAGCTCGGAGCAGAGGAAAAAAAACCTCGTCACAGGCCGTCGTAATATCGATCCCCTTTTCAATTGGACGGGGGATCGATTGAAAGGGAAATGTTTGACGAAATTAGACCCTAGCTCGGAGCAGAGGAAAAAAACCTCGTCACGGGCCGTCGTAATTTCGATCCCCTTTTCAATTGGACGGGGGATCGATTGAAAGGGAAATGTTTGACGAAATTAGACCCTAACTCGGAGCAGAGGAAAAAAAAACCTCGTCACAGGCCGTCGTAATATCGATCCCCTTTTCAATTGGACGGGGGATCGATTGAACGGGAAATGTTTGACGAAATTAAACCCTAGCTCGGGTACTATCAGAGGAAGGAGGAAGTCATATATCTGTTAATTGCCATTGAAACGAAAGGACTTCTTTCGTTTCAATGAAAACTAAATATATTTTCCACAGAATGTGGCCACGACTTTTGCGCATTCTGTCGCATTTTCTAGATCTTTCTTTGTGCAGGATGTTGAGCACAAAGGACAGGTCAATAGATGGGCCATAGACCGGGATAGTGAGTTCGATACGACGGGTTCGTTAATGTTATTTTATGGTACGAAAATAAAGTTAAATTCCACGCGGACGAAGTCACGGGAATAACTGTTCCCGCTGTGCTCTGTTCCGCGTGGAATTTAACTTTATTTTTCTTAAATAAAAGTAGCCTAAGTTACTCCTCATTACATCAGCTACCTGCCAATAAAAGTCCCGTCAAAATCCGTCCAGCCATTTCAGAGATTCGCCGGAACGAAAAGACAGGCAGATAAATTTTGTAAAAAATGTTATTTTGGTGTATGTACCGTATTTATATTCATATGCGTGTAGTAAAAAACGGTTATTTCAATATTACAAATGGACACTACAATTTTATTTACATATATGTATAGATTATTTTACGGTACGATTACAGTTCTACGGCGACGCCAACGAAGCGGAGTCGTGGATGAAGGAGAAGCGACCCCTGGTGGCCACCGACGACGTCGGCCGGGACGCCCCCGCCGCCGCCGCGCTGCTGGCCCGGCAGCGAGCCCTGCACGACGACATCCGCGCCTACAGCGGCGAGCTGCGGGCGCTGTCCACGCATGCGGCCCGCCTGCTGGCCGCCGGCATCCACCAGCTGCAGGTGTGTACTGTGTACTGTGTACCGTGTACTCGCACGGCAGCGAGCCCTGCACGACGACATCCGCGCCTACAGCGGCGAGCTGCGGGCGCTGTCCACGCATGCGGCCCGCCTGCTGGCCGCCGGCATCCACCAGCTGCAGGTGTGTACTGTGTACTGTGTACCGTGTACTCGCACGGCAGCGAGCCCTGCACGACGACATCCGCGCCTACAGCGGCGAGCTGCGGGCGCTGTCCACGCATGCGGCCCGCCTGCTGGCCGCCGGCATCCACCAGCTGCAGGTGTGTACTGTGTACTGTGTACCGTGTACTCGCACGGCAGCGAGCCCTGCACGACGACATCCGCGCCTACAGCGGCGAGCTGCGGGCGCTGTCCACGCATGCGGCCCGCCTGCTGGCCGCCGGCATCCACCAGCTGCAGGTGTGTACTGTGTACTGTGTACCGTGTACTCGCACGGCAGCGAGCCCTGCACGACGACATCCGCGCCTACAGCGGCGAGCTGCGGGCGCTGTCCACGCATGCGGCCCGCCTGCTGGCCGCCGGCATCCACCAGCTGCAGGTGTGTACTGTGTACTGTGTACCGTGTACTCGCACGGCAGCGAGCCCTGCACGACGACATCCGCGCCTACAGCGGCGACATTCCGAAATACAAATTAAAAATAATTTATTCATGTAAGACATTTTTGCCACTTATGAACTTCAAATTCTTTATATTAAATTAACAGACTCTGCCACGCGTTGCTGTAGCTAGCAGTTTCTTCAATACATAGTATATCCGACAAATACGATGGTCCGACACTGCCCTGCAAAACGTTTGTCGTATAACCGGGGGTCCACTGTATACATACGACTAATAACGGATTATTACTCAATGATAGAATAACCGATTCATTTGAAACGATTTTCATGTCTCAGTTTTTATGGGTGGCTTCCGTATCCTATTATTATAGGATACGGAGACACTGTGTTCCTTCAGGCCACCCACGTGTCCTGAACAACAAATCTGCAGTACATGTCTGCGACCAAGACGAAACCGTAGCGCGTTTTAATTTGACCCTAGCGACATCTAGTTGGCGAGATGAGAAACAAACTAGAGTGAAACTAACTCATTTCAATTTAACAATACAGAGACATCTAGTATCGAGATAATAGTTAGAGAGATGAGAAGTAACGAAAACAACGCGCTTTACTTGACAGTAGCGACATCTAGTCAACGAGATAAGAAACAATGAGAAACCCTAACTCATTGAAAGCACTCTAGAATCAAACTGAAATGAAACCCTTATCCGTTTCTATTATACAATAATAGAGACATCTAGTTAGAGAGATGAGAAGAAACGAAAACTTAGCGCGTTTTAATTTGACAGTAGCGACATCTAGTCAGCGAGATGTGAAACAAATTAAAGAGAAACCTTAGCTCATTTAATTTGACGGTAGCGACATCTAGTTAGCGAGACGAGAAGCATACTTCTACTTTATTACGGTTGTGAACATGTGACTAGAACTTGCCAACTACAATCTGTCGCCTTGTAAGGTTTGCTTTCGTGCAAGATGCTGGATACAAAGAGCACTACAGGAGATAGGGATACGGTTTGATATAAATTACAGCGAAATTTTAGGGCGTATCAATTTGACAGTAGCGACATCTAGTTAGCGAGATGCGAAACGAAATAAATATAATTCACTTCTAGTAATTTGAAGAATATGTGCTATTAAATTTCGAATGTCATGAGAAAGTTATGGTCACTAAAATGACCAGACAGGCGGTGCAGATGTGGGAGGTGTCACAGAACTCTGTACAATATGGTTCCCCAGTTGTATTCGTGAACTGGTGTTGCTTGTAGGGACTGATCTGCTCTGATAACTATGAATGACATATTTTATTACTACCTATTCGCCCCGGCTTCGCACGGGTCGGTATACATGTATTATTATATTATATATTAAACTGAACCTATGAATTTATGTAGTCCTAGTACTTTCACTGTGTGTAATAATTATACTGCTAGGCTAGTGTATATAATACACTAGCTACTCGCCCCAACTTCGCACGGGTGTACATGTATTATATATATAAACTATCAGATGGCAATTGTAAGTAGCTTTGACGTGGTCTAGTGTTTTGAGTAGTCATGCTCACTAAAATGTCCAGACTTGTGGCGGCGTGGTGGGCTCCCTAAAATATGGTCGAGCGCAGTGATGGCTGGCTCATCCGTCATACTCGTGAACGGGTTTAACCAGTTGGTTATATATTCAATATTTTTTCTATTTAATTGAATTAGTGCTAATTGGTGGTTTGTATTCACATACTTAAACTTAAAAATGTAAAGTAATAATAAAATTATTTAAAAGAGCAACACGCAAGTTTCTTGCTCGTTCTTCTTGTGATGAGACAGCTTTCCAAACGAGCGGTAGATTAAAAAAATGTAATGACTATTCTAAAGTGCTTCAATGTAAGTTTATTTGAATAAATGATTTTCTATTCTATTCTTCCTCTTGAATCACTCTATCTACTAAAAAAACCGCTTCAAAATCCGTTGCGTAGTTTTAAAGGTTTAAGCATACATAGGGACAGACAGACAGTGACAGCGAATTTGTTTTATACTTACTTACTTATATAATGTAATGATGCACACAAAATTTTATGCAAGGCGCACTTAAGGCCAGATGGCTTAATAAGCTTTTTAAATGGCAACATCTTTAAATAATTTTAAAATATGGTTGTAATATAATTTTTTAATGTTTTGAACAGCTACCAACGGAGGTGGATGCGACCTCGAACCTGGAAGAAGAGGAATGGGTGAACGAGTCTCGGCTGGTGCCCACCGACGTGTGGGAAGAGGAGCCGGTCGAGAGACTGGAGCACAGGACTGTCACAGAGGAGAGGAGTGTACCACAGGTAACTGTTTGAAATATAAATCAAAACATATAAGTATAATAATAATAATCTCAGGACGATTCACACAGCGCCATCTAGACCCAAGTTAAGCTAGCTAAAGCTTGTGTTATAGGTACTAGATAACTGATACATATACATAGATTTTTTTTTGAAAATATATACATATTATACATAGAAAACAGCCAGATCGATACAAACAATCATACTCATGAATACAAATGTTTGTGCCGTGCGAGGAATCGAACCCGCGACTATCGGTCGTAAAGCGGTATCCTAGACCGTTAGACCACCGAGGTCATCATAAGTATAGTATAGTAATATATGAAATTTTTTTAATATTGTAGGTCTATTACAGACTCTTATGATATGTCAAATCTACCGTCAGTTCGGAATGATTTCGAGATGAGAAGAACTGACAAGAAACTCAGCTCGTATTCTTTTCAAATAAATGTTGTACATGTTTACAATAATACAGATTCATTTTTAATTTCAATATTGAAAAAAAAAATTGCTATAGGGACAGATAATGAGACCTTAGACGATTTTTAAATATTGCATGAGATTGAGCGGATCGAATGGAGAGTGGTAGAGAGTTCCAAAGGCGAATGGCTTGGACAGTGAAAGAGTTGGAATAATATGTAGAGGAGTGAGCAGGGATCGTCAGACAAAGGCTTCTGGTGCTACGCAAAGCAGAACCGGGGGATTCAGAGTGAAATAAAAAAATAGTTTTTAGATATTCTGGAGTAGACGGATGGAAAAGAATGGTGTAAAGAAGGAAAGAAGACCTTAGGGAAACGAATTGAAATATCGATTGAAAAAGATATAAGTTTTACAGAGAATTTTTTTTTTTTATTGGATTGTTTGGGCTATTGTCAGATGTGTAGCACCTGTAGCACTGCGACCTACATAGATCTATTGTGCTCGCCCTTTTCAGAGTTCGCTTCCTAGACCCGTCAGGGACAAGAATTGAAGGATATTCTTAGGAGTGATCGTTTTTATCTCCTCGGGAAAGAGTGTAAACTTTCCAAAGGAGATATTTCGTTTATGCACGAGTGGGCTACAACCACATAGGATGTGAAGCGGCGTTACCTCTTCAGTTTGGCAGAATCTGCAGATACTTGTCGTGCAGAGGCCTAGTTTAGCCATATGCTTGTTTAATTTGCAGTGTCCTGTGAGGGCCCTAGTCATCATGCATATGTTGTTTTTACTCAATAGCAGTTGTCTATTGGAGTATTTGGTCGAGAAGGCCGATATTAGGTCTTTTGAATGTGTTAATCTTTACAGAGAAAGTCTGTGCTAAGATTCTGTCTATATATATTCACAGGTCAAAGCTCTCTACGCGTTTACGGGGCAAGGCATATCGATACAGAAAGGAGAGGTGATGTTCCTCATAAACAAAACCAACCCGGACTGGTGGTCAGTGAGGAAGGCAGACCGCACCGACGGGTTCGTGCCCGCAAACTACGTGCGCGAGATCGAACCCAGACTAGTGCCGGTATGATAATGTCTTTTTTTTTTTAATTTTTTTTATAACACAGGAGACAAACGAGCATGCGGCTCACCTGATGGTAAGTGATTACCGCCGCCCATGAGCACCCGCAATATCAGGGGAATTGCAAGTACGTTGTCGGCCTTTTAAAAAGGAATAAGCTCTTTTCTTGAAGGTTTCAATATCGTATCGGTTCGGAAATACCATTGCTGGAAGGTGATTCCACAATGTGGTTGTGCGAGGCAAAGTTTCTAGAAAACCGTACTGTGGAAGACCGCCATTCATCCAGATGATCAGGATGGTATTTCAGTTTCTTTCTTATTATTGGATTGTTTGGGCTATTGTCAGATGTGTAGCACCTGTAGCACTGCGACCTACATAGATCTATTGTGCTCGCCCTTTTTCAAAGTTCGCTACCTAGACCCGTCAGGGACAAGAATTGAAGGATATTCTTAGGAGCGATCGTTTTTATTTCCACAGGATAGAGTGTAAACTTTCCAAAGGAGATATTTCGTTTATCCATGAGTGGGCTACGACCACATAGGATGTGTAGTAGCGTTTCCTCTACAGTTTGGCAAAATCTGCAGATTTCATTACTAATATTAAAAATGTGAAAGTAACTCTGCCAGTCTGTCTGTTTGTCGCGGCAGAACCCCTGTACTACTGAACTGATTGAAATTAAATTTGGTAAATAGATAATTTAGAGTATGAGAATGAATGTAGGAAAACTAATTCTCATATCAGCTCCATACAAATTCTTACTAATATTACAAATGCGAAAGTAACTATCTGTCTGTCGCGTGAGAACGCCTAAACTACTGAACATTTTTTAAATGAAATGTGAATTTCACAGCGATGAGCACAGGCTTGAGTTTCTCATATTTTTTGCCATTTGTCACCTCTCAAGCATACGGCCAATCTGATGGTAAACCGTCACTCAATTGAACACCATTTACCAGGTGCAAGTGCGGCGTCCAGAGAAGGTCAAGACCATTCAGAGGGTGAAGAAGACAGTGCTGGTGAAGCAGGTGGTACCCGTCAAGCGGACCAAACCGACGGCGAGGCGAGCCTCCAAGGCTACCATCGCTCCACAACGCGCCGCCAGCGTCGACACCAGAATGGCTGATATACAGAAGGATTATGGTGAATATATGTTTTAATATTGAATAAATTTAAACTATACTATACAGACACTCCAATTTTATTTATATAGACTAGCAGATCCGGCCACGCGTTGCTGTGGCCGTGCACTTTGATGCAACTTGTAAGATATCCTATCTTACAAGTTGCATATATATTATTAGTTATAAGTTGCATATATATTACGACTATAAATTGAGATGTAAGCTATCCAGCTTACAAATACAAGTCGCAATATTATTTTATTCAAGAATCTCAGCCACAGCAACGCGTGGCCGGGTCTGCTAGTTTTATCTGTATATTCACTAATTTTAAATTGTCCTGATTTCCAGATGAACTGCTCTCCCTGTCTGCCAACCGGCGCGCTCAGCTCGAAGACGCCATCAAGCTGTACAGCTTCTTTGCGGAGTGCGATGACTTCGACAAGTGGGTGCGAGATAAGGAGAAGATGCTGCGAGCTGATGATGCGGAGGATAGCGTCGATACCGCTAAGAGGAAGTATGAGGTGAGTCCTAACACAAGTCCTAATGTATCCTTAAGTAATATCCCTTAGGTCTAGACACGCGGGAGCGTCAAAGCCAAGTTCAATTATGAGAACTGGCGAGCAGCACCGTGTGTAGTTTTACACGAACCATTTGGAGCCACTTTTGACTCCCTCATAACTCAACGAAATATACTGTAGACTTCGCAAGTTCTAAACCTGTCACTTGTGGGTTCGTATTTTATTATTAGTAGTAACTAGCCATCGAAAGTAATAATTGGTATATCAGAACTGGCCAAGTTAGAACTTAGGCTACAGTATATTATCCTAAGTTATAAGAAGAAATGATATTTTATATTGTTATAAATACATTTCAGGACAGACCATTGAACTTGGCACCCATTTAGATCTCACCTCTTTTGTCGTAGAAGTTAACAATCAAGGCATATATCATAATATAGAACTTGGCTATCATTTCACATTTATGTTTTTGATGGGTGGGTGGATGGGTACCTAAATCAGACACTTAAGTACAAACCGTTTTCACCATCTTAGGTGCGCCCTATTTAGGAGTTCCTTAAGTAAGTGATAGGTTTTTTTTTATTAGTGAATCAAAGTATCGATTAAGTCGATAATGAATTTTTACTTAACGTAATTATACAACTAAGAACCTAAAATTAAAAAGCTTAAAGAATATAATGTAATAACTAAAATATATTATAAAAGGGGGGACCCCTTTAGGCAAAGTTCCGGAGATACTGGCAGCGTTCCCTCTTTGAATGGCTAGACTAATTAAATTAATGGATTAAGTTATCGATTGGTTACTGTTACGGTCGCCAAATGATCATTGATATAAAATAATTACAAGTTTTTAAATTGTTTATTGTTCATAGAGTTTGTACAGACAGACATGACAACAATGCAGAAAAGAGACAACACTCGTTCAGTGTTGCCAACCTTATCTCTATTTTAGGCGTGGACAGTTACTTTAGTTGCGATTATATTACATTTATCTTAAAATGTATAGTTATTTTGAAAGACTTTTGTATTATATTACTATTGTTAGGGTTCACATGGATTTTTTCGAGATATCTGATATTTTATATTAAAAGAAGGTAGTTTCATTATTACTCGGTATCGTTAACTAGTTGCATATAACCCCCACTCATATCTTCTCTGTATAAAAGGGAGGATTTTTGTAAGCCGCGGCATTCAGTGTTTGAGCACAGGATGTGCTGGTTGTATTTTAATTGCTAAAATGAATTGTGTTAGAGACATAGTTAAATTAATGTTATATAGTTGTTATTTTAGTATAATACATACTTTTACTAGTACATAGAGTTGATATATCTAACACTATATTGCATAATATAAATAATTTTAACATCGGTTTCTACTGCCAGAAGCTAAAAATTACTACAATTGTTACGAGTATATACGACCTACTTATTAATTTGTTATTTAATATATTACGAGTAATAGTTTGGTTGTCAAATATAGATTGACATTAGTGTAAAAAGAAAATTATAAAAAGAGACAATACAATTATTCTGCAAACATACATATTATTATTTAACACATCTCAACAAAAAAGAACCCCACAATGTGTCTTGGCTGTATGAACACCATTGCCAATTTTTGCCCAATGCTCAGTGGTCTAGCTGTTTCGCAAACTAATTTATTTCCCATGGTCGTGAGTCGTCTTATATGCATGTAGTAAAAGACGGTTATTTCAATATTACAAACAGACACTCCAATTTTATTTATATGTATAGATAACTAAACTATACTAAACAATATATGCTTACTAATATTATAAATGTGTAAGTAGGTATGTTTGTTACGCTTGCACGCAAAAACTGCTGAACCGATCATCATGAAATTCTGTACACATGATCTTGGAGGTATTGGAATATAATGACACAGAATAAATTAATATTGAATATAATATTGTTCCTTTAGAAATTCGTGACGGATCTATCTGCGGCCTCCAAACGTCTGGAACACATTGATGCTGCAGCCGAAGAGCTGGTGGCGGCTAAACATGGCCAAGCGGCCAAAGCTACCGCCAGGAGGCAGCAGTTACGCCAACAGTGGGACCGCCTCCTGCGGCTCAAAGAACAGAAGGAAAAGAACCTGGAAGGCGCCTCAAGGTTAGTTTTTTTAAACTGTGATAACCCTGGATTTATCAGCAGCTGGTGGTTCCTTCAAGTTGGGACATCTTCAGAATAGCTATCAGATCTCGATTAAGATCAGGCAATGAGGTCAGACCTCGTTTGAGAAGAATTATGAAGAGTTGGAGATCAACAACCCTCAATCAGGTCAAGAGTTGGAGATTCATCTTTCATTGACTACATTCAGAACATTAGCATGAGACCACAAATATTCAGTGTGGAAACCTGACCATTTCTACTGGAAGCGTTAAGACCTACTATTGGTGATCAAATTCCGACCGTTATTAAGTCTACACCCATATTGCGACACGTGTCTGAACGAGGCATCATCAGGCAATGAATAGAGGTCGGATATAGCTTTGGAACTTTTAAAGCTGTGATTATATTGTGTTATGTTATAATTACATAGATAAATAATTTTTAAACCTATCATTTTCTAAAAAAAAGTTTGAGAATCACTCTTTTTCTTTGTGTGCCACAACAAAAAGAAAGATTAAGAATCACTGCTCTAGAAATATGGACTCATACAAATTTGATCATAACGCTCTTTTGTATGGAATAAGAAGTTTTTTATACCACATAGGTGGCAAACAAGCATACGGCCCATCTGATGGCAAACAGTTACCGTAGCCTATGCACGCCTGAAACACTAGGGGTGTCACGCGTTGGCGACTTAAGAAACCTTAATATAATCTTCTTGAAAACCCCATGCTGTAGTCTCTCGAGAAAACCTCGGCAGGTAGTTCATTCCACAATGTAAGTGTACGCGGGAGGAAGCTCCTCTGAAACCGCACTGTCCGAGACCGAGATTGCAGCGTGTGATGAATTGTTGATGGCGAGCGGTGTGATGGTAAAAGGTGGCCGTAGGCATCATGTCGAAAAATTCCTCAGAACACAGTCCCTTGTATATTCGGTAGAACACACAAAGCGATGCAAAGTCTCGCCTCAAGCTAAGTGGCTCGATACCGTTTGAGAGAGATCATCGACAAATCTCATAGCACTTCTCAACATTACTTTTTGTACTCAAATACAGACTTTTCTCTTCACAGCGTGGAACTCTTCAGTCGTACTTGCGACGAGGCCCTCGACTGGATGGCAGAGAAGGAACAGCAGCTCGCAGCCAGTACAGACCCAGCTGCAGACCTTCGGACGGTGAGGGCGCTGCAGCGGCGGCACGCGCAGCTGGAAAGAGAACTGGAGCCGCTGAAGGAGAAGGTCAACACGGTGAACCTGCTAGCCGATTCGTAAGTAACCTGTTTATTTATACGTGAAGCAAATTCTTAGTACCCCATTTTAAGAAAATTGTATGAACCGAGAAGTATGAAATTTCGCACACTTATAGTTTACTATCTGCAGTCGAGTCTTCGTCTAACTAACTTGTTTTCTAAAATAAAAGTAGCCTAAGTTACTCCTTATTACATCTGCTATCTGCCAAAAAAAGTCCCGTCAAAATCGGACCAGGCATATCGGAGATTAGCCGGAACAAACAGACAGGTATATCTGTCACCTGCCAATAAAAGTCCCGTCAAAATCGGTCCATCCATTTCAGAGATTTACCGGAACAAACAGACAGACAGATAAAAATTGTAAAAAATGTTATTTTGGTTTATGTACCGTATTTATATTCATATGCATGTAGTAAAAAATTGTTATTTCAATATTACAAACAGACATTCCAATTTTATTTATATGTATAGAGTATAGATTTAGAAGAGTGCAGATTTAGGCATAAAAATACATTAAATTAATAAAAAAAATATTACACCCACAAACAATTATGACACACATACACTGGGTGACCACTAGTTATATGAGAAACTGAAGCTGAGCAGAGCTTATGTTATAGGTACTAAACAATTACCAACTTATTTTTAAATAATTGTATACAATAATATACATAGAAAACACCCAGACCAATACAAACAATCATACTCACGAATACAAGACTTTGTAGTTCGAGGAATCGAACCCATGACCATTGGAAATCAAGCGGTGTTCAACCGCTAGACTACCGAGGCCGTTAGGTGTCTAATATCTAACCCATTAAGATATCTATAGTGCTACATTAATATTGACTGGCAGTTTTGTTTTCCTTTATCCCATAATTAAATCAATAGGTACATTAAGGGTCTTATTACAAAAAATCTGTTAAAACTCGGACGAAACGTGGTCTAAATGGTCGTGGTTTAAACCATTCCTAAAGTTAATACTTGGAATAAACCTAACATTATTACGAATCCAGATCTAACAGAGGACTACTTAGTACTACAGTTAAATCGTTCATTATGTATTCCATACAGAAATCAGTCACCCATGTCTGTCACCGTACAATTACGTTCCATTTTACCAGAAAACTGCAAAGATCAAAAATAATATTACTTCAAATAAAAATGTATGAACTAAAAATAAATTTATTTCCATTTATCTATGTCTTCATTATAACTATTTCATTAATATATAATATTTGTTAATGTACTATTAGGCTGAAAATCAGTTTTAAATTACAAGTAGGAGTCCTATACGGAGAAAAGGAATGGCGGGATATTTTTATTGGATCTATTCGAATTGTGACTATTTCAAACTCAAATGAGTGAAAAAATAACAAATAACGTCTTTTATATATTTTTATTATCGTAAAATTTGCTTTAAATATTTTTAGTTAATATATTTTAAATTTAGTTAAAATATTTTTCGAAAAACAACAACTTACAATACAATTTTTAAAATGGAGTTTTACTTTTTGCATTTAGACCACTGTTAAACTAGGGGCATCGCAGGTCTAACTTTAGACCATAGAATTAGAGATAAACTTCATTTTGTAATAAGGAATACATCGGTGAATGGTTTATTACTAGTGCTAAAACAGGTTTATCTTTTTGTAATAAGGCCCTAAGGGTCGACAACGAGCACGTGACACCCCTGTTGTCTCAGACGCCCATAGGCTACGGTAACCGTTTACCTTAAGGGTTGACAAAGCGCACGTGACACCCCTGTTGTCTCAGGCGTCCATAGGCTACAGTAACCGTTTACCTTAAGGGTTGACAACGCGCACGTGACACCCCTGTTGTCTCAGGCGTCCATAGGCTACAGTAACCGTTTACCTTAAGGGACGACAAGGAGCACGTGACACCCCTGGTGTCTCAGGCGTCCATAGGCTACAGTAACCGTTTACCTTAAGGGACGACAAGGAGCACGTGACACCCCTGTTGTCTCAGGCGTCCATAGGCTACAGTAACCGTTTACCTTAAGGGACGACAAGGAGCACGTGACACCCCTGTTGTCTCAGGCGTCCATAGGCTACAGTAACCGTTTACCTTAAGGGTTGACAACGCGCACGTGACACCCCTGTTGTCTCAGGCGTCCATAGGCTACAGTAACCGTTTACCTTAAGGGTTGACAACGCGCACGTGACACCCCTGTTGTCTCAGGCGTCCATAGGCTACAGTAACCGTTTACCTTAAGGGTTGACAACGCGCACGTGACACCCCTGTTGTCTCAGGCGTCCATAGGCTACAGTAACCGTTTACCTTAAGGGACGACAAGGAGCACGTGACACCCCTGTTGTCTCAGGCGTCCATAGGCTACAGTAACCGTTTACCTTAAGGGTTGACAACGCGCACGTGACACCCCTGTTGTCTCAGGCGTCCATAGGCTACAGTAACCGTTTACCTTAAGGGTTGACAACGCGCACGTGACACCCCTGTTGTCTCAGGCGTCCATAGGCTACGCTAACCGTTTACCATCAGATGGGCCGTATGCTTGTTAGCCATAGTAGTATAAAAAAAACTTACGTCTTCTTCTCTTACACGCAGCCTTCTGAATTGTGAGAGGTACTGTGTAATTTATATTATGTTAGCTATCTGCGAGTTAATGTCCCGTCAAAATCGGTCCAACCGTTTCAGAGATAACAAGGACAAACAGACATCTTTTCAGGACATATTAGCCGCTTATGAAGGTCAAATTTTTTACATTACAATTTTAAATGTTTCCCTACCGTCCAGGTCAGTATATAGATCCAATTGAGATGAACTGGCAAGAAACTCAATTGAATTACTTTTTTTTTAAAAGTCAGTTTATTTACAATGTATATTTATATAGGTATCTATGTCTAACATTAAATGAAAATCCCGTGCATGAACAACTATTGCCATGCACACTCGTCGTTCAAGTAATCGTTTAGTGAGTAGGCTTTGCTCAGTAAATATGATTTAACAGATGTTTTGAATTTATTTAAGGGTAATTCCAGTATATCCTTTGGTATCTTATTATAAATTTTTATACCTATTCCCATAAAACATGGATTTTACAGAAACTTCACAATAATAGAACTTATACATCAGAATAACCCAGGCTATATAAATTTCAGATTTAGTATATATAATATAATATAATTATCTTTTCTTAAATTTATTATTTGCACTCCTGTGACCCACACACCACATCCAGAGTCACGCTGTTTTGTGTTGACTGGAAGAGATCTCTTTTAGAGATAAGTCCCGTTTGCAAACAAAACTTATAACATATATTCAAAACTTGTATATAAAAGTGCAATAAAGTATATATATATAATAATAAATGAATGAACATTTGTCTTCAGCGTCAAGTCGCAGTACCCTAACGAGAGAAGCAACGTGGAAGGTCGCCAGCGGGAGATACAGCAGATGTGGGACAGGTGTCAGGCACAAGCCGCCGAGAGAAGGAACCGGCTGGAGAGCGCCGTCGGACACCAGATCTTCGGGAACAGCGCCACGCAGCTGCAGGATTGGCTCCAGGTCAGTCAAATTGCATTTCTTTAAGACAATTCACACAGCGCCATCTAGACCCAAGTTAAGCTAGCTAAAGATTGTGTTATGGGTACTAGACAACTGATACAAGTACATAGATATATTTTTTTCGTAAATATTATATATAGAAAACACCCAAACCGATTTCCGACCGATTCTGACAGACAACCGAGTGTGTATGACTCTTATAAAATAACATATTGTATTGTTGACTATATCCTGACGAAAAGTAACCTGACATAGAGGGTGACGCAGCTGGAATCGAATCAAAACGCGAGCTTCAGAGTTCGTTGCCCGCGTCCCCACCAACATGCTTACCTTCCGAGGGGGGTGGTCTATCGGCGTTACCGTGGCAGATTGCCGTCGTTAGTCCCGTGATCATAGAGACAATTTTATTTACACATTTTATTATTATTTCTTATGTACATAAGAAGCACTAATTAATGATGATGACTTAGACTTTGAAGCCGGCTACCGCAAGGGAAACCCCAAGTAGCGCCCGTGACTTGTGACACGGGTGTAGGTTTAAAAGGCCCTTTTAGAATGCATTAACACTCACCTTCACTACTTGCAGCTTCCCCCAGGCCCAACTAAGACCGGGATAAACCCATTGCTAATACAATTCACTTTAGTATCCAAAACACAACCGGCACGCTCTGCACTCGTCGACTGAATGCCGCGGCTCACGCAACGAAAGAGGATTATTTAACTACCGACCTTATTTATAGACCAAAGTCAGTGTAGTAGGTTGGTCTATAAATACTAGATGGCGCTATTTACAATATTCGTAATAATCCTTACATTGGGTACTTCATTAGTACTAAAAACAAACTACCTTCTTTTAATATCATTAGGATTTTTTCTACAATATTGATGTGAACTCTAACATGTATCTTAGTCTATAAGGTATTTATAAAATAAATAAATTTTAAATAAATCACTCGATCCATTACCGTATCCGGAGGATGCCAATCCCACCCTAATCCGCTTATAGTCAGGGGGGTCAACTACGCATCGAGGAGTATTATCCGACATACACGACAACGTCGCCCGAGGCACGTTTTTATTGACCCCGACGACCCCATAACGGCAGGTAACCTCCCCACGGGCCCACCCGTTCCACCCCGACCACACTTACACACACACACGACACCGTCCTCGCCGGCGAAGACGACGACCTCAAACACACAATATCGCGCATTCAACCGGGCGCCTGCGCGCGCCCGGGCGCTCCACACCGGCGCCCCCGGGCGCCCCTCCGATCGATCCCCCAATTCAAACGGGGATCGAAATTACGACGGCCTGAGCCGAGGTTCGAACCCCTAGTGGTGCCCTCAGACTAAAGTCGTATCCGTCGGGCAGGAGTTGGCCTTCAGCCGCTCCATAAGTCCTTCCGCGGGTTTGGAGTGCCATCTGCACTCGCCCCATAACGTCCGGTAAAGCTGTAAAGGCCAGCTACGGCCAACAGCATTAGAGTAGTCCGAAAAAAAGGTACATTCCATTTCGCTTCCATTGCCATATTGCATATTCCAAATATTGTTTTCTAGTTTCCACCTGCACCCGCAACCCTATAATCGAGTACGGGGCTAGTCACCCATACAATTTTTTTATGTCGGATATCCGATAGTTTGGGTTACGGAGCTCCGTAACTTCCCTGGTGTATGACTACTCTTATAAACGATTTACTGTTCGTAGACTGCCAACGCTCAGCTGGCGCAGGAGGCAACCGCCAAGGACGTGGCCACTGCGGAGGCTCTCCACAAACAGCACCAGGAGTTGCTGGACGACATCAAAACGCACAACGACGAGTAAGTTTTAACCTTATATTATTACTAGCTTTTGCCCGCGGCTTCGCTCGCGTTAATTTATCCCCTTAGGGGTGGAATTTATCAAAATCCTTTCTTAGGGGATGCCTACGTCATAGTAGGTTTATGCATGCAAAGTCTCAGCCCGATCGGTTTAAAATTGACAAAGTTTCATACAAACTTTCATCCCCTATCTCATCCCCTTGGGGGTAGAATTAATCAAAATCCCTTCTTAGCGGATGCCTACGTCATAACATCTACCTGCATGCCAAATTTCAGCCCGATCCGTCCAGTGGTTTGGGCTGTGCGTTGATAGATCACTATGTCAGTCACCTTTGAGTTATATATATTTAGACTAGCTGTTGCCTGCGACTTCGTCCGCGTTCTGTTGTTTTTCGTAAAATAAGTAGCCTATATCCTTACTCACGGTTCAGTGGATTTGATGTGTATTCCTAACATTACCTCACTGCTATGCTCCTATTGATCGTAACGTGATGAAAAGTATACTATAACCTGCTCGGTAGTATGAAGAATAATTGTACCATTTTTCGTTAAGATCCGTCGAGTGGTTTTTGTTTCTATAACGAACATACAGACAGACATACAAAAATTTTACTGATTGCATTTTTGGCATCAGTATCGATTACTGATCACCCCCTGATATATATAAGAGAAACAATGACGAAGCAATCCGTATATAAAAGTATGAACAGAACAGAGACATAAAACATGTTATTGTTAGATAGATATCCGCCATCTTGTAGCTACTTTAAAAGTACATCCATAACACGAGTCTTCTTTCATACAATCTAAGACAGACTCATTCTACGCACTTCGCTCCCATTCCGGGACAATCGGCTTAAACACACTTAGTCATTGAAATATATTTCATGTACAGAATTGACCTCTCTACAGAATAGAATAGAAAATCATTTATTCAAATAAACTTAATTTAAGCACTTTTGAATAGTCATAACAATTAGTTTTTTATCTACCACTCGTTCGGAGAGCTGTCTCATCACAAGAAGAACGAGCAAGAAACTTGTGTGTTGCTCTTTTAAATAACCCTTGTAAGTTTACATTTACAAGTCGAAACGTGTGAATACAAACTACCAACAAGCACTAATTTTTTGGGTCAAATATAATCAATGCAATAAGATTAAATCAGTCGTAGTGATAAGAGCAGACCAGTCCCTACAAGAAGATTTATTATAAGTATAGATTAACTCTACATTTTCTCAGCTTTTGCTGAGTTTTTTTCCACTCATTATTATTAACTAGCTGTACCTAAACTAACCTGCGACTTCGTCCATGTGGAATTTAACTTAATGTTTCTTAAATAAAAGTACCCTAAGTTACTCCTTATTACATCAGCTACCTGCTAAAAAAAGTCACGCCCAAATCGGTTCAGTGATTTCATTTCATTAGACAGACAAACAAAAATGGTAAAAAATGTTGTTTTGATGTATGTAGTCCAAATCGGTTCAGTGATTTCAGAGATTATCCGGAACAAACAGACAGACGGACAAAATGGTAAAAAAATGTAATTTTGGTGTATGTACCGTATTTATATTCATATGCATGTAGTAAAAAATTGTTATTTCAATATTACAAACAGACACTCCAATTTTATTTATATGTATATATTATTATAGTCTGGTTGACTAAAAACATAAGCTACAATAGTAAATATAATAGAATAGAAAATAATTTAGTCAAATAAACTTAATTTAAGCACTTTTGAATAGTCATAACAATTTTTTTAAATGATGTTTGCAGGTTTAAAGAGGTGATTGCTCTCGGTCAGCAACTTCTCGCCAACAATCCCGCACTGACAGATGTTGCGGAGAAGATCAAGCTGCTGCAAGATGAGCAGAAGGCACTCGACAAAGGTTTGTACCAGAGACACACTATATTTCTGACTGACCCCCCGTATAGAAGAAATCTATCAGAAACCAAAAATTTATCAAATAAAAAATTCCTTCTCATCTTGACGGCCTCGGTAGTCTAGCAGTTTAGCACACCAGTTTGTTTCCAATAGTCGCAGGTTCGATTTCTCGCACGGTACAAACATTTGTATTCAAAATATCTTTATTAATGTCTTAATCCGTTGCGTAGTTTTAAAGATTTAAGCATACATAAGGACGCACAGACAGCGTCAGCGACTTTATATCTTCTTATATATAAAATTCTCGTGTCACAGTTTTCGTTCCCATACTCCGCCGAAACGGCTTGATCGATTCTCATGAAATTTTGTGAGCGTACTGAGTAAATCTGAGAATCGGCTAACATCTATTTTTCATCCCCCTAAATGTTAGGGGTAGTCCACCCCAATTTTTTTTTTATTTTAAGGCAAAACAAGGTTTCCGGGACAGCTAGTTATACTATGTAACGATACAAGTACAGCCGTGCGAAGCCAGGGCGAGTAGGTAGTTAATAATAACATTATTGTCACAGCCTGGGAGGAGAAAGAGGCGTACTTGAAGCAGCTGGTACAACTGCAATGTTTCAATAGAGAGGCCGACCAAATAGATGCCACCAGCGGCGCCCACGAAGCTTACTTGGAGTACAAGGAGTGTGGGGTGAGTTACTGACGATTATTGAAGAATAAATTCATTTATTACAGGAAATTAATAAAGGACCGCGAATTGGCAAACGTAGTGTAGGACGCCCCGCAGCTAGGTGGAGCGACGACTTACGTAGGGTTGCGGGTAGTAACTGGATGAGAAGGGCTGAAGATCGTGCCCAGTGGCGTGCCTTGGGAGAGGCTTATGTCCAGCAGTGGACTGCAGTGGGCTGATGATGATGATGATGATGATGATTACAGGAAAACCAAGGAATTGCTATGTATCTATATAGTTATATATCTCTTTATATATAAAAACTAGCTATACACGCGATTTCGCGTGGAATTTATCTTTATTTTTCTAAAAAAGTAGCCTAAGTTACTCCTTACTACATCAGCTACCTGCCAAAAGAAGTCCCGTCAAAATCGCTCCAGCCATTTCTGAGATTAACCGAAACAAACAGAGAGACAGACAGACAGATAGGAATTGGAAAAAATGTTAGGGTGGTGTAGGCATGTAGTAAAAAACGGTTATTTGAATATTACAAACAGACACTCCAATTTTATTTATATGTACAGTTGTATAGACTAGCATTTACCCGCGGCTTCGCTCGCATAACTTCATTAATGGCTGCTAGATGGCGTTGAAGTAGCAAAATGTTGAAATTTTATTGTTTTTTTTTTAATAAAAAGTATCCTATGTTCATTCTAATACCTGGAGGTATTAGAATGAACATGTGTACAGAATTTCATGATGATCGGTTCAGTAGTTTTTGCGTGCAAGCGTAACAAACATACCTACTTTCACATATATAATATTAGTAAGGATAGGAAAACCAAGTACCTATATTATTATTTAAATATGTTTTTAGTGTACAATAATTCGAGGTAGACATTATTTAACCCTTACATTTATTTCAATTAAAGTGCCCACGGGTGATCATTCGGTCCCAACGTGTATATTCACTTTCGTTGCGGAGTGACCCACAGGTGGGCATGCGGCCTTTATCGGGTTAAGTGAGTCTCTCAGTTCATTGGAGTTAGGCCTATTTTTTTTCTTTTTATTGTCAGGTGTTTGTTTGTTTGTTTGTAATACTTTATTGTACAATAATATTATAAATAAAAGGACACAATTGGTGTTTGTAGCACCTGTAGCACTGCGACCTACATAGATCTATTGTGCTCGCCCTTTTTCAAAGTTCGCTTCCTAGACCCGTCAGGGACAAGAATTGAAGGATATTCTTAGGAGCGATGGTTTTTATCTCCTCAGCATAGAGTGTAAACTTTCCAAAGGAGATATTTCGTTTATGCATGAGTGGGCTACAACCACATAGGATGTGTAGTGGCGTTTCCTCTTCAGTTCGGCAAAGAGTTAGCTATATTTAAAATGTATTTCGAAGTGATATATTTATTTATCTGTTTGTTGTATGACCGTGTGTGTGTGTATGTCAGTCGTCGGTGGACGAGGCGGAGGCGCTGCTGAAGCGTCACGAGGAGCTGGAGGCGCGGCTGGCCGCGCAGGATGAACGACTCGCTGCTTTCCAGACGCGCGCACAGGACCTCGAGCGGATCCCGCACTACGCCAACCAACAGTGAGCATTTTATACTCTTAAGACGAAGTGTAATGTATTCTGTTGGTACAACTCCCAACAGGGAGCTTTACATATTTTTAAGGCGGGGAGTAATGTATTTTGTTGCTACGCCTCCCAACTGGGAGCATTACATATTTTTTAAGGCAGGGGGTAATATATTCTGTTGCTACGCCTCCTAATAGGGAGCATTACATATTTTTAAGGCGGGGAGTAATGTATTCTGTTGATACGACTCCCAATAGGGAGCATTACGTATTTTAAGGCGGTGAGTAATGTATTCTGTTGGTACGACTCCCAACAGGGAGCATTACGTATTTTTAAGGCGGGGAGTAATGTATTTTGTTGTTACGCCTCCCAATAGGGAGCATTACATATTTTTAAGGCGGGGAGTAATGTATTCTGTTGGTACGACTCCCAACAGTGAGCATTACATATTTTTAAGGCGGGGAGTAATTATAATTTGTTAGTACAACTTCCAACAGGAACCATTACATATTTTTAAGGCGGGGAGTAATGTATTCTGTTGCTACGCCTCCCAACAGGGCGCATTACGTATTTTAAGGCGGGGAGTAATGTATTTTGTTGCTACGCCAACCAACAGTGAGCATTTTATATTCTTAAGACGAAGTGTAATGTATTCTGTTGGTACGACTCCCAACAGTGAGCATTACATATTTTTAAGGCGGGGAGTAATGTATTCTGTTGGTACGACTCCCAACAGTGAGCATTACATATTTTTAAGGCGGGGAGTAATGTATTCTGTTGGTACGACTCCCAATAGGAAGCATTACATATTTTTAAGGCGGGGAGTAATGTATTCTGTTGGTACGACTCCTAACAGGAAGTATTACGTATTTTAAGGCGGGGAGTAATGTATTCTTGTGGTAGGACTCCCAACAGGGAGCAGTGGTGGCAGCCTAAAATATTATGTAACTAGCAAACTAGACCCGCCGTCTTACTGCGATTATATTATTCATACAAAACGGTTCCCACCCTATATAAGCCAACAACCTGTATCTGTATGTTATTATTGTTTGTGTTGTATGTCGAGTATGAAACTTTTTTACAAATATTAAATATCGTGGTTAGGTTGCTTAGATAATTTATTATTTTAGGTTTAGTTAGGTTACCTTACAAGGGTGTATAAAGCCATGGTTGGGGGGGGGGGGGGTGTACTTTTGCCCCCCACCTTTCCCTACTGTGGGCTTCACCCTTGGGTCTCCATTAATTATGCGTCTTCCCTTGCAGTATCGCATCTCGCCGCGCAGCAGCTGCAACTCGTCGGGATGACGTGCGATCTGCCGCTGCAGCTCGCCGTAGACACCTGCAGGCTGGACTTGCTCATCATCAGGTACTCTATTCCTCATATCCACGTCTTCCACAGCCCTGATTATACTCCCATACTCATCTACTTGATTTTTTGAGACTATTCTAATGCTGTTAGCCAGCTGGCCTTTAAAAGCTTCACCTGACGATAGGGGGCGAGTGCAGATGGCACTCCAAACCAAAGGAAGGACGGACTTATGTGGTGTATGAAGGACAACTTCTACCTGATGGACACGATTTCGCCTGAGGGGTTTGCCTCTGCTGGAGGTTTGAATCTCGGCTTAGTTCATCGTGATTTCGATCCCCGTTTAAATTGGACGGGGAATCGATCGGAGTCACTTGTACACACAATTCACTTTATATATACCATTCACGATACAAAACTTTAATAGCGCGTCTCAGGATACCCCCTTTCAAAGTTCTCTAAACCAGCGGAAGGACTTATGGGGCGCATGAACGATAACTCCTGCCTGACGGAAACGACTTTAGTCTGAGGGCACCGCTGGGTGTTTGAATCCGCTCAGGTTATAGTAATTTCGATCCCCCCGTTTGGAATTGGACGAGGGATCTTTTAGAAGGGGATTAAGAGAAGATTGTCATTTCTAATTTATAATAAAATAAGAAAAAAATACGTACAAAAACCTTGACATAAATTTATAACTTTTTTAAATAAATTATTTTACGACAGTTCGTAGCGGCCGCAGAGGAGCTGCAGGGCTGGATCGACGACAAAACCAGAACAGCTAAAGACCAGAGTTACAGGTAATAATACTGCCTGTCTATGGTCTTACTCAGCCTTTGCAAAGTGGGCGATAACGCCCCCTTGTGGGCGCTGCAGGGCTAAAGGGAGACGAGGAGAGAGAAAAGGGAGAAGTAAGAGACCCGGAAAGAAATGGGAGTGTTGTGTAGAGGCTTGGGGGTGATTTGTAACTTCATTTAGCTAGGAGGTCTCTTAGACACCGACATGAGGTATCGACTCTCAACTACAACTTGTGAACATCAACTAATGATTACTTAAGACATTGCTCAAAGTCGGTTCGATATTTCTCTCCACATAATTCACGGCTTCGTACGGTTGTACATGTATTATACATATAAACCTTCCTCTTGAATCACTCTATCTATTAAAAAAAAGTCTTCAAAATCCGTTGCGTAGTTTTAAATATTTAAGCATACATAGGGACGGACAGACAGCGATAGCGACTTTGTTTTGTACTATGTAATTATGAAGTGTGTAGTCAAATTGAGAATAGACTAATATTGTTTGTCTATGTTAAATATAAATGTAAAATGTAATGTTTATATGTATAAATGTAATGTTTCTGAATGTTAAATTAAATGTAGAATTTCGACCATTGAGTGATTACAATTGTATAAAAATCTATAACTAGCATATCACCATTTACAGTTAATTCAATATTATCTATGGAACACAGTTACCTACATTCATCAATATAATAATTGCATTTAATAATGTCTAGTAAGACATTCAATATTAAGAAAATTCAATATTGTGTACTAAGCACTGCCGAGTCAGAGTAAACTGTGTCACCCCACCTTACATTTTCCTATTGTTATTTAGTATATAAGATTAATATTTTTATATACCATACAAATTAATAAAGCTATTAAAAAATAGGGGTTGGTGATAGAAGGGTGAAAATTGAGGGTTGTATGCATTTCATTATAAAAAAATAAAGTTGAACAAGAAGAAAAAATATTAGGGGTGGACAACCCTATGAAAAATAGACAGTAAGCGATTCTCAGATATACTGAATATGGATATAAAATCTCATAAAAATCGGTCAAGCCGTTTCGGAGGAGTATGGTAACTAACATTGTAACACGAGAATTTTATATTATACTAGCTGTCCCGGCAAACGTTGTTTTGCCATATAAATTAATAATGCTATAAAAAAATAGGGGTTGATGTTAGAAGGGTGAAAATTTAGGATTGTATGTATATTTGTATGTTGTACCATAAAAAAATAAAAACTAAAACTTTTGTCTAAAAAATAAAAAATTTAGGGGTGGACTACCCCTAACATTTAGGGGGTTGAAAAATAGATGTTGGCCGATTCTCAGACCTACTCAATACGCTCACAAAATTTCATGAGAATCAGTCAAGCCGTTTCGGAGGAGTATGGGAACGAAAACTGTGCTATGTTACATATAAAATTCTCGTGGTGATTGTCAGTCTATTATCATATTTAATATACATCGTCGTATCACTAACCTGCAATATTATATTCTTAATATTTACGAGCAGGGATCTTGCCAATTTGGAACGCAAGCTGCAGAAGCACGAGGCCTTCGAGAGGGAGCTTCAAGCCAACGAGAAGCAGCTCAGGAATGTGGAGAGTGTGAGTTTCACATTTCATTCTTTCATTATATACCACGGTGATCTAGCGGTCTAGCACACCGCTTTACGTCCGATGGTCGCGGGGTCGATTCCTCGCACAGCACAAACATTTTTGTATCGGTCTAGGTGTTTTCTATGTATAATATGTATGGATTTACGAAAAAATTATCTATGTACTTGTATCAGTTGTCTAGTACCCATAACACAAGCTTTAGCTAGCTTAACTTTGGTCTAGATGGCGATGTGCTGCGACATCTCTTCTTGAACGCATGCTATCAGTCCTCTTTTACTAGCTCTGCCGGAGTTACTGATTCGCGAACTTTTGAAATTTTTTGCCAAGCACAACCACATTGTGGAATCACCTTCCAGCAATGGTATTTCCGAACCGATACGATATTGAAACCTTCAAGAGCTTATTCCTTCTTAAAAGATCGTCCACGCACTTTCAATTCTCCTGGTGATGAGGGTGTTCATGGGCGCCGGTAATCACTTACCATCTGGTGAGCTGCAAGCTCGTTTGTCCCCTTTGCTGTAAAAAAAACTTCAGCAATCTCCTGAAAATCTCCTCAGAAGACACCAAGTCAGGATACTACACCGGACTCTCCTCTTCACCCTCACCACTAACGTATTTTCTGCCGCACCTTCCCTTAAATCGGAATAGAGTGAACACTCCCACAGGACGTGATGGTCAGATTGGTAATGATGGAACATGATGTGTACAGATCGGACAGTCGCTGCAGCAGGCGGACCCCTCGCGTGCTGAGGAGGTGGCGGCGCGGCTGCGGGCGCTGCGGGACGCCTGGGAGCGGCTGGTGGCAGCCTCCCGCGACAAGGGCAGCAAGCTGCGACAGGCCGCGCTGCAGCGAGTGCACCGCAGGTAGGGGGGCTCACTGCAGGCTACCAGGAGGTGGGGGGCGCTGCGGGACGCCTGGGAGCGGCTGGTGGCAGCCTCCCGCGACAAGGGCAGCAAGCTGCGACAGGCCGCGCTGCAGCGAGTGCACCGCAGGTAGGGGGGCTCACTGCAGGCTACCAGGAGGTGGGGGGCGCTGCGGGACGCCTGGGAGCGGCTGGTGGCAGCCTCCCGCGACAAGGGCAGCAAGCTGCGACAGGCCGCGCTGCAGCGAGTGCACCGCAGGTAGGGGGGCTCACTGCAGGCTACCAGGAGGTGGGGGGCGCTGCGGGACGCCTGGGAGCGGCTGGTGGCAGCCTCCCGCGACAAGGGCAGCAAGCTGCGACAGGCCGCGCTGCAGCGAGTGCACCGCAGGTAGGGGGGCTCACTGCAGGCTACCAGGAGGTGGGGGGCGCTGCGGGACGCCTGGGAGCGGCTGGTGGCAGCCTCCCGCGACAAGGGCAGCAAGCTGCGACAGGCCGCGCTGCAGCGAGTGCACCGCAGGTAGGGGGGCTCACTGCAGGCTACCAGGAGGTGGGGGGCGCTGTATGCCGCATTGCCCCTCGTTGTACAACAAAGTAGGAAATGTACTGTGATACTACAGTCAAAGTACCAAGACATCATGAACTACTAGATAGTCTGGAGCATAAAATATAATAGTGAAATTACAGGGGACCAAAGCGGGGCATCTTAGAACCGGGGTAATACCAACATATGAGCACTACGCGTGTCACACGTGTTAATTTGTCGTTTTAATCAATAACCTCATATTCTTTTGGTCCTTCGAGCCGGATACAAGTGACGGTTAATGGTTAATACTAGATGGGCCGCCAGTTTGTTTGCCTGTTCAGTTTTATATAAAAACCACTATGTGCAGATCTGTGGAGGACGCGAAGGCCCGCCTGGTGGAGCTGGAGCGCGACCTTCGCAGCGAGGAGGTCGGTACCGACCTCAGGAGCTGCCGGCGACTCCTCAACCAACATCAGGTTAGTCTTATTTAGAACTTACTTATTGTAGGAAAACTAGCTTTTTTCGCATTAAACAGTAGCTTATTTCCTTTCTCAGGGTCGAGACTATCTGTGTATCAAATTTAATTCGGTCGCGGGTTCGGTTCCTCGCAACGCACAAAGATTTATATTCATGATTATGATTGTTTGTATCGGTCTGGGTGTTTTTTATGTATAATATGTATGTATTTACGAAAAAATATATCTATGTATTTGTATCAGTAGTCTCGTACCCATAACACAAGCTTTAGCTAGCTTAACTTAGGTCTAGATGGCGCTGTGTGAATTGTCCTGAGATTATTATTTTTATTATCCCTCTTTCGTCCTAGTTACTAATACATCCCCATACTCACAGCTGTTAGAACAAGAGCTGGCGTCCTGGGACCAGAAGGGGCACAGCCTGGCGGCGCAGGGCGCTGACCTGGTCTCCGATGGCCACTTCGACGCTCCAGCCATTGAGAAGGAGTCCACGGTGCTGCTTCAAGCTGTTCAAGCGATGCAGCCGAGAATAGACAAGCGGAGACAGGCTCTCGAGAGTAGTCTACAGTGAGTACAGAATTACATTTTTTTTTACTACTGTTAATTAAAATAAACCTTAGTTAGTGTCGACGGGTTCGGTGATCTAGCAATATAGCATACTGCTTTACTTCAGCCGGTTGTAGGTTCGATTCCTCGTACAACACTAACAATTGATTTCATAATGATTGTTTGAATCGGTCTGAACCCATAACACATAGTCGTGGTCAGAAGCAAACTTAGCCGTGGTCACGGTCAGACTGACAGCTAGCTGTGGTCACGAGCAGACTGTCAGCTAGCTGAGGTCACGACCAGACTGTCAGCTAGCTGTGGTTACGAGCAGAATGTCAGCCGTGGTCACGATCAGACTGTCAGCTAGCCATGGTCACGATCAGACTGTCAGCTAGCCATGGTCACGATCAGACTGTCAGCTAGCCATGGTCACGATCAGACTGTCAGCTAGCTGTAGTCACGATCAGACTGTCAGCTAGCCATGGTCACGATCAGACTGTCAGCTAGCTGTAGTCACGATCAGACTGTCAGCTAGCCATGGTCACGATCAGACTGTCAGCTAGCCATGGTCACGATCAGACTGTCAGCTAGCCATGGTCACGATCAGACTGTCAGCTAGCTGTAGTCACGATCAGACTGTCAGCTAGCTGTAGTCACGATCAGACTGTCAGCTAGCCATGGTCACGATCAGACTGTCAGCCGTGGTCACGAGCTAACTGTCAGCCGTGGTTATAAGCAGACTGTCAACCGTGATCAAGGGCAGAGTGTCAGCCGTGGTCGCATGCAGGCTCAGGCGTGACCTCGTGACCACGTCTACTGCAACCTATTTACAATAAAATTATTTATTTTAAAATCTAAATAATGTGTTAAAAATTACAGACTACACAAATTCGCGGCCGAGGTGGCCGGTGAACTGGACTGGCTATCGGAACGTAAGGCGGCCGCCTCCTCGGAGGCCATGCCGGGCGACCTCCACGCGGCGCAGTCAGCGCAGAAGAAGCACAGCAAGCTGCGCAACGAGCTGCTCGGACGGAGACCGCTCATAGAACGAGTCATCGCACAGGGCAGGGCCTTAATTGAGGAGAAGCATCCTCAGGCTCAGAAGGTATATTTATGGTTAATTTAAATAAAATAATAATAAATTGTGTAATTTTCCAGCTTTTTTTTTATACCACGTAGGTGGCAAACAAGCATACGGCCCATCTGATGGTAAACGGTTACCGTAGCCTATGGATGCCTGAAACACCAGGGGTGTCACGTGCGCGTTGCCGACCCTTAAGAAACCTTAATATACCCTTCTTGAAAAACCCCATGCTGTAGTCTCGTGGGAAAACCTCCATATAAATAAATATATATAACTCAAAGGTGACTGACATAGTGATCTATCAACGCACAGCCCAAACCACTGGACGGATCGGGCTGAAATGTGGCATGCAGGTAGATGTTATGACGTAGGCATCCGCTAAGAAAGGATTTTGTTTAATTCTACCCCCAAGGGGATAAAATAGGGGATGAAAGTTTGTATGAAACTTTGTCAATTTTAAACCGATCGGGCTGAGACTTTGCATGCATAAAGCTACTATGACGTCTCAGCCTGATCGGACCTATTTTATCCCCTTGGGGGGAGAATTAATCAAAATCCGTTCTTAGCGGATGCCTACGTCATAACATCTACCTGCATGCCAAATTTCAGCCCGATCCGTCCAGTGGTTTGGGCTGTGCGTTGATAGATCACTACGTCAGTTACCTTTGAGTTATATATATTTAGATGTACAGATCTCGACAACATATTGTTAACACCTTGTTGTTTACCTACATTTGACAAATATAGTATTATTATTATTATTATTATATTTATTCACAGATCGAAAGTCATTGCAAGGAGTTGGAACAAGCGTACTCCGAAGTATCGGATGCAGCTGAAGCCCGCGCGCAACGCCTGGAGGCGGCGCTGAAAGCGCAGCAGTTCCTCCACGAGGCGCTGGAGGTAGACTCCTGGCTCGCAGACAAGGCTGCGGCCCTGAATTCGGCTGATGTGGGCCACGACAGGCACAGAGCTACACAGCTACTTACCAGACATAAGGTGATTATGTTTAATTTTAATTTATATTTTAATGTTTAATCTATATTTTAAACTAGCTGTACACGCGACTTCGTTCGCGTGGAATTTAAGTTTATTTTTCTAAAATAAATGTAGCCTGAGTTACTCGTTATTACATCAGCTACCTGCTAAAAAGTCCCGTCAAAATCGGTCCAGCCATTTCAGAGATTAGCCGGAACAAACAGACAAACGAAAATGTATAAAAAAATGTTATTTTTGTGTGTGTACCGTATTTATATTCATATGCATGTAGTAAAAAGCTGATGTAATAAGGAGTAACTTAGGCTACTTTCATTTTAGAAAAATAAAACGCGGACGAAGTCGCGGGAACAGTACTAGCTGTTCGAAAGAAAATATCATCATTAAAACGGCGAGGCATTTGACGGCCTCGGCGGTCTAGCGGTCAAGCACACCGCTTTACGTCCGATGGTCGCGGGTTCGATTCCTCGCACGGCACAAACATTTGTATTCATGAGTATGATTGTTTGTATCGGTCTGGGTGTTTTCTATGTATAATATGTATGTATATACGAAAAAAACAAATATCTATGTAATTGGATCAGTTGTCTAGTACCCATAACACAAGTTTTGGGTACTAGACAACTGATACAAATACATAGATATTAGTTTTTTTTTATTATTAAAAGTTTTTATTATTATTATTAAAAGTTGTTTTGTTATATCTTTAAAACGTTCTTTATTTTGAAGTCGGATAAAAATATGTATATTAATGGTAATGTTTAGGAGGTGGAGTTAGAACTAGACAACTAAACCAGAGAAAAATTCATTAACCTGCAAATTTAGTACTGGACACTGTCAAAGTACAGGACGAAGGTTCTACCAGAAAGACGATTTGTTCGAGACTGTTTAATAAAAGAACATGCAATACAGTACCCACATAATATTCGTAATACGGATACTCACACCCAATTTGCAATCACACTGGTTGTTTTTTTATATCTTTATAACTTTCTTTCTTCTATTTTGCACACCTCTTACGAGGTTAATGTACGGATCTCAACAACATATTTATAACACCTTATTGTTTACCTACATTTGGCAAATAAAGTATTATTATTATTATTATTATTATTCTTTGTCTTGAAGTCGGTTAAAATATGTATATTAAACATAATATTAAACATGTTGGTAATGTTCAGGCGGTGGAGTTGGAACTGGACACGTACGCGGCTATAATATCTGAGATGGGCCACGTGGCGAGCTCGATGGCCAACAGCGGACACCCCGAGGGCCCGGCGCTGCTGCAGCGCCACGAGCTGCTCGCCGGCAGCCTCGCGCGCCTGCAGAGACTCGCCGCGCTCCGGCAGAGGGCGCTCGTAGAGAGCGTCTGCAGGTAACGCCGCCCGGGACACTCGCCGTCACTCCCGACCACTCGCCACCGCTCCCGACCACTCGCCACCGCTCCCGACCACTCGCCACCGCTCCCGACCACTCGCCACCGCTCCCGACCACTCGCCACCGCTCCCTACCACTCGCCACCGCTCCCGACCACTCGCCACCGCTCCCGACCACTCGCCACCGCTCCCGACCACTCGCCACCGCTCCCGACCACTCGCCACCGCTCCGAACCACTCGCCACCGCTCCAAACCACTCGCCACCGCTCCGAACCACTCGCCACCGCTCCGAACCACTCGCCACCGCTCCGAACCACTCGCCACCGCTCCGAACCACTCGCCACCGCTCCGAACCACTCGCCACCGCTCCTAACCCCTTGCCATTACTCGTCATCACTCCCCATCACTCTCCACCACTCTCCACCACTCGCCACGACTTGCCATCACTCTGCTCTTTTAAATAATTGAGTTCTGGACGTTAGAGGACGAGTGCAGATGGCACTCCAAACCCGCGAAAGGACTTATAGAGGCCTACTTCCGTCTGACGGATACGATTTTAGTCTAAGGACACCGGGGTTCGAACTTCGGCTCAGGCCGTAGTAATTTCGATCCACGTTTGGCTTGGACGGAGGATCTATCGGAGAGAAAATAATACACATAACTTTACATTACTAAGTTGAAAATTGTGAAAACAAACCAACCGACACCGATTCGTTAGACTCAAAATATTAAACAAACAACCAACTGGTTGAGTAACTAAATAAGAGTAAATCAGCGTAGTGATAAGACCAGACAAGTCCCTACAAGAAGCAGTTCACGAGTATGACGGATGATGATTCCTAAAATATGGAGCGCAGTGATGACTGCGCTCCATATTTTAGGAAGCCCAATGATAGGCGTGATCGTGTATATTTTATATGTTATTGCAGACATGAATATATAGCGGAGAGCGCTGAGCTGGAAACCTGGATTCAGGAGCAGTACGCGGCAGCCTCCAGCGAGGACTTCGGCCAGGACTACGAACACCTTCTGGTCTGTATCTCAGGTTCTACCTCCTTGTAGAGTACTTAGAGTTTATGAAGGGTCGTCTGCATGAGTGCCGTCAATCTCACCTATTTGGGTCAAGCATCTCGCTTTCTAAGACGTAAAAGTACCAGGACGCCATAAACTTATAGGCAATAAATTTACCAAGGTAGACTTTATATAGAGTCGTTTGCGTGTGTTTCATCTGTTTGAGCCAAAATATGTGTAAAAGTACCAGGATGACATGAGCTTATAGGCAGTGAAATTACCAAGGTAGACTTAGTATAGAGTCGTCTGCGTGGGTGCCTCAGTCTCATCTATTTCAGCCAAGCAACTCGCTTTCGAAGATGTGTGAAAGTACCAAGACGACATGAGCTATAGGTATTGAATTTACCAAGGTAGACTTTATATAGAGTCGTCTGTGTTGGTACCTGAGTCTCACCTATTTGAGCCAAGCATCTCGCTCTCTAAGATGTGTAAAAGTACCAGGACGCCATAAGCTTGAGGGCAGTGAATTTACAAGAATGGATAAGATGAATGAATTCATTAGAGGAAGTAGAAAAGTGGCGCCGGTATCGGAGAGGTTGAAGAGTAATCGTCTGTCGTGGTATGGACATGTAATGTGTAATAATAATAATAATAATAATAATAATAACTTTTATTGGCCAATAAAACACTTTTACATTCAATACACATTACTGCGAACCACACACTAGACATGCAAGTCTGTATCGTGTGGTTCAGAGGAGATCATTACACATAATTGATATGTTAGGTGCTCGGCTGACTTTAATGAAATAACTTAACAATATCATGCAACACTTATGGCGTTATATTACAAAGTATATATATAATAAATAAATATCTATAAATAGTAATAAATATAAAATATATTAATACATACAATAGACATACACATATTAAGTACTACTGAGGCTTTATGTAATTAAAATTCGGTTTGAAACAATTTCTCACATTGATCATAGTCCAGACTTATTAAAAAATCTTTTATTTTTATTTTGGCTTGAGCTAGAGAACATTTTTTTATATCACATGACTTGCTTATTCTATTATATAAATTTACAGCTATATATGGGCTAAAACGTTTAGCAAAGGTTGTCTGTACCATAGGCAGGGGTATCTGAAAAACTCTTTTTTTTAACAGGTTTCCATATTTGGTGGAATTCAGTACATCTTTATGAGTGACTAAAGTCACTTTCCTCAAAAATTGTTTCCTAACACTAAGTACTTTGCATTCCTTATATAACTTAGTTGTAGAATACCTATATCTTTTTTTCAGCATTGTTTTAAGAACTGATCTTTGGGCTCTTTCGACTTCAATCATGCTTGACTTGGCTGCACCTCCCCAGCAGATGATGCAGTACGACAACACAGAGTGACAGAGGGCATAGTAAACAGTCATGAGTGTATTTATGTTAGCCGACTCTCGTAGTTTACGCATCACATGAGTTATGTTTCGAATTTTGTTTGATGTCATTGAGATATGTTTTTTAAAGTTAATGTTTTGGTCAATATACACTCCGAGATATTTTGTGTCATAAACTTTGTTTATACATTGGCAGTCGCACGCTACGTTATTCAAACATTGATTGTGAATTTTAATTTGCAACCCTAAAGGCGGTGCTGACATTCTAGTTTTGTGGAAACAAATATAATTTGTTTTTTTAATATTGATAGTTAGAAGATTCCAATCTAACCATTTGGTTATTTGAGCCATTCCTCTTTCGGCTTTTGAGTAAACACTCTCCCATGATTTGTCCCAAAACAGTAAGACTGTATCGTCGGCATAACATATCATTTCACTATTTTCTAACTTAATATTATGTATATCATTTAGATATAATATAAATAGTGTGGGGCCGAGAATGCTACCTTGCGGTACTCCGAAATTTGTGGTATGGGTATTACTTGTGAACTGTCCCAACCTTAGACAGTGCCTTCTGTGGTTTAAGTAGCTGCTGAACCAATTTAATGCTAAACCTCTGACACCTGACTTTTCCAGTTTTTTTAGAAGCAGTTTATTAGACACTGTGTCAAAAGCCTTAGCCAAATCCAAAAACACACCTACACATTGTAATCCTTGGTCAAGTTTGGAGGTGATAGTTGTAATAAGTAGAGACACGGCATCCTCGGTGGACTTTCCTGATCTAAAACCGAACTGTTTATGAGATAGCAGATTTTGGTTTTCAAGGTATTTAACTAATCTTTTGTTGACAAGTTTCTCCAGTAATTTTGAGAAAGTTCCAAGTAGTGCTATTGGGCGGTAATTATCTGGAGAGTATTTACAGCCTCCTTTATGAATTGGGTATAATAAAGCTGTTTTCCAAGAGTCCGGAAAGATACCTGATACAAAACTAAGGTTATAAATGTGTACTAGAGGTGTTAAAATGAATTCCTTTATTGTTTTGATTAAACTATTGGTTGTTCCATCAATTCCAGGAGATTTATCATTTTTTAACTGAGTAATTAGGTCACCTATTTCAAATTCATCAGTCGGAGCCATGAAAAAAGATCCCAATACGCCATCCATTTTAGGCATCAAGTTCTCCTCTTTTTCTTTTAACTTTTCTAAAATATTATTTGCAAGTGTATTACCAGTGGTTGAGAAATGGATATTGCACATGTCAAGTGATGTCTTTTCGTCAATTGAGTTTTCTATGTATAATAATTCTGTTGATTCTTTCTTGTGTGTTTGAATATCACAAATGTTTTTTATTGTATTCCACAATTTCTTAGGATCACCTTTATTTTTTAATAATTGTTCTTCTTCAAATTTCGATTTCAATCTATGTAAAAGGTTATTGCAAAAATTACGATATCTTTTGTACGTTGTTTGTATTATTAAGTTTTGTGGATTCCTGGTAGCCCGTTGATGAAGCTTATCTCTGTGTTTTATACAGCGTATAATACTTGGAGTAATCCAGGGTTTAATACTGAATTTGGAGCGACTTACTTTAACTTTGCGGGTATGAACGTTAATAATGTTTTTCAAACAGTTTTCGAAATTTGTGACTGCCTCATTGACATCTTCTATATTAGTTACTATTGACCAGTCTATTTCGGCAAGATCTTGCTTTATCGCTTCAGCATTAATTTGAACTTTTTCTTTGTTCATACTCTTCTGTTTTGGTATTTCTAAATTTATTCCAGCAAGAACCATGTTATGATCTGTCACATCACATGTACATACAATGCCGAAAGAAACTTTATTTGAAAGTGTAGGAATGAAGATGTTTAAAGAAGGTGTTACATATAAATGTGGATGGTTATAAGGGCAGAGGAACACCGAAAGAGATGGATGGACTATGTGAAAGATGATATAGTAATAAAGGGAGTAAATAACGAGATGACTGCGAACAGAGATGAATGGAAGAGAAAAACTAATCACTCCAACCACAAATAAATGGGATAAGAAAGAACTTTCCCGAATGTGTTGCGCCTGAAAGAACGTATCATATAATAGGAGATACAGTGAATATATTGTTAGTCGTTCAAATGAATAAAAAACTAATTTTATCGTTATTTTACGAACAGATCCTCACATCAAAGTTCGAGGAGCTCCGCCACCGTGTGGAGAGCGGCGCTGAACGATTCAACCAGTGCGAGGAGCTCGCCAAGAAGCTGCTCGCCTCCGAGAGCCCCTACATCGAGGACATTGAGAAGCAGCAGGAGGCACTCGGGTAAGTCACCAACCGTTGATGATTATGAGGTACCAGGGCGACATATTATGTATGTATTTAGAAAAAAAAATGTATGTCTATCAGTTGTTAGTGCTTAGCTTGGGAGTACAAGGCGTTGTATATATTGTTTTGAAATACCAGGACGACAGAAACCTGTGAGGTGGTTTGTGAAACAGGTAGCGATGGCAGCAGCCTGGTATTACGTGTATCAGTTGTCTAGAACTCATAACACAGGCTCTACATAGCTTGGGACTAGATGGCGTCGTGGTTAGAGATCATTATGTGAGGGAGTGTAAATGAGTGAGGTAGTATATGAAATGAGTGGCGAATGCAGCGGCTGGAGTAGAAATAGAAATAGAAATAATCTTTATTCATATAAACTTAATATAAGCACTTTTGAATAGTCAAGTTTTTTATTCTACCACTCATTCGGAATGCAGATTCATCACAAGAAGAATAAGCAAGAAACTTGTGTGTTGCTCTTTTAAATAAATATTGATTTACTTATATTTAATTAACAACAAGGATTAGGCATGCGACAATCAACATAGAAACCGCTACGCACTCTGTTCAATCAGATAACATTGTCAGCGCTATGAATTTTATGTTAGATATTTTCTACAAAAACATTATTATCATTTATAAATTCTTCAATTTTATAATAAGCCTTTTTACAAAGAAAATATTTTATGACACATTTGAATATTTTTTTTCTAATTGAGTAGTAGTTAGTGAGTAGTAGAGTTATTTGTGTAGTACTCCTAACACAAGCTCTGTTCAGCTTAGGAATAAATACTGCTGTGTGAATGGTCCTAGGTTATTATTACCAAGTACCAGGGCAACAGAAAGCTGTAGGTGGTGGTGGTAAACAGGTCGCGATGGCAGCGGCTGGTGTGTTACACTAGAGTCTGATACATATGTACAGAGATACTGCTCTGTTCAGCTTGGGATTAGATGGCGCTATGTGAATTGTCCTATATTATTATTAACCAAGTACCAGGGCAACAGAAAGCTGTAGGTGGTATGTTAAACAGGTGGCGATACCAGCGGCTAATGTATCCGACACTAGTTCTGTTCAGCTTAAAACTAGATGTCGTCGCATTATACATATAATATGAAGTACCAGAGCAACAGAAAGTTATGGGCGGTATTTTTTTTTTTTATGGATGATAATGGAATGGTGCACCCGCCTGCGCTAACGGTTTACGCTGGCGGAGCACCAGTGGAGGATGATAAGATGAACATGAGGTCAGGTTAGTTAGCCCATCGTGACAACCTCACCACGAACTTATCACGATGGTTTCCAGGGGGAACCGCGTGGAGGTCAACCTGACATGGTACATTGCTAGTAATGGGGTCAAGAGTCCACATTACTAACAATCTCCTTTCCCCCCCTAAATAAAATATCAGGTCGCGATGGCAGCGGCTGGTGTGTTACACTAGAGTCTGATACATATGTACAGAGATACTGCTCTGTTCAGCTTGGGATTAGATGGCGCTATGTGAATTGTCCTATATTATTATTAATAAGTACCAGGGCAACATAAAGTTATAGGTGGTTTGTTAAATAGGTCGCTGCGCGCGCTGGAGTAGTTGTCTAGAACCCTTAACACAAGGTCTGTTCAGCTTAGGATTAGATGGCGCTGTCTGAATTGTCCTAGGTTATTATTATGAAGTACCAGGACGACAGAAAGTTATGGATGATATGTGGAATAGGTCGCAGTCGGCAGCGGCTGGTGTATCACACACTGTTCCGCTTGGGGATAGCGTTGTATTTTATTATGAAGTACCAGGGCAACAGAAAGTTACAGGCGACGATATATGAAACAGGTCGCACTGGCAGCGGCTGGTGGAGCAGCTGGCCGCGCGCGGAGCCCGACTGGCTGCTGCAGGCGAGATCCACAGGTTCCACCGCGACGCGGGTGAGCTGCGGGCACGTGCTGCAGCCAAGCGCGCGCAGCTTGCACGTGCAGCTCGCCCGAGGGATCTGCCGCATGCGACCGCACTGCTGCGTGACCACGGCAAAGCTGAGGCCGAGCTGTTAGCCGTTGATGCTCAGCTGCAGGTAACTAACCGGCCTATCTATACATGTAAATAAAATTGGAGTGGCTGTTTGTAACATTGAAATAACCATTTTTTACTACATGCATATGAATATAAATACGGTACATACAACAAAATAACATTTTTTACAATTTTTATCTGTCTGTCTGTTTGTTCCGGCTAATCTCTGAAATGGCTGGACCGATTTTTTGGCATGTAGCTGATGTAATAAGGTGTAACTTGGGTACTTTTATTTTAGAAAATAAAGTTAAATTCCACGCGAACGAAGTCGCGAGTACAGCTAGTATAAAATGGAGTTAGATTATTTGCTTGAACATTTACAGTGTAAATCTTATAAAATACAATGCTAACGCTACTTTAATTATTTAATTAATTAATTATAACACTTTATTGCACCAACATATAAAGGACATGAACAAAATTAAAAACATAAAAAAAAACTAAGTACAAAAGGCGGTCTTATCGCTAATGCAATCTCTTACAGACAACTTTTGGAATAGAGTATTAACAAAAAAAAATAGAGCAATTGGCGCATTATTGGAAACAAAAATTATATACACTTATGTAAACAAAATATAGTACATACACAAGTTTAGAAGCCAGGACTACACAGAAATACTAAAATGATTGATATTGTTAATGAAGTTATTTGAATAAATGTTTTTCTATCCTATTCTATTGTATTCTTGTTAATTTGGGCTTAAAAGGACTTGTATCCAGAGACGTAAAACATATTAAGAAAAAAAACGGATATACAAATCTCCAAATTTAAGAATATTATTATTAAAAAAAGTAATTCAATTGAGTTTCTTGCCAGTTCTTCTCAATTGGATCTATACACCGAACTGGACGGTAGGGAAAAATATATAATGTATAAACTTGACGTTCATAAGCGGCTAAAATGTCCTACATGAATAAATTATTTTTGAATTTGAATTTGAATTATTATTAGGACGAACAAGTTACTCATTTATTTTGCTATCAGCAGCTCTGTCTACCATCATGACCTATGCGTCCACAGGTGCTACAAGAAGAAGGGACACGACTCCAGAAACTGTACCCTGGTGGGAACGTACAGCAGATCACGCTGCAGCAGGAGGCGTTGGCGGAGGCCTGGACGTCGCTCCGAGCCGCTGCCGACGAGAGGAAGCACGAGCTGCAACAGCATTTGGAGCTGCATCAGTTCCTTACACAAGTTTGTATATAAATTTCATATGTTTTTTTTTTGTTGGAATGATCTCTAAATTTAATTAAATAAAAGAAATTTATAACAAATCGTATAATTAATTTTAACAAAATCAGTACAAAGTATAACTAAAATTATATAAAGCAAACACTGTATGATACGGAGATTCGTTCGAGAGCACGTCTCTCGACCAAAAGACAGTTGCTGTTGGCCGCAGCTGGCCTTTACAGATTCACCGGACGATAGGGGGCGAGTGCAGATGGCACTACAAACCAAAGGAAGGACTTATGGAGCGGCTGAAGGCCAACTCCCGCCTGACGGATACGACTTTAGTCTGAGGGCACCACTAGGGGTTCGAAGTTCGAACCTCGGCTCAGGCTATCGAAATTTCGATCCCCGTTTGAATTGGACGGGGGATCGATAGGATATATATATATATATATATATATATATATATATATATATATATATATATATATATATATATATATATATATATATATATATATATATATATATATATATATATATATGTATTCTTAATATCTGTTTGCCCTATGGTTGACTGAAAGAAAATGCCTCGTGGTGTCAAGTCCGCTATATGCGCCTTTATTTTTTTTTGTATTTGTGCATTAAGTTTTTATAAATAAAAAAAATAAATAAAAATTATAAAATACGTGTATTTACATAAGTTAATTTATTAGAATAGAAAATTATGGACATATATCAAATAGATATATTTCATAATTTAAATATTCAAACTAGCGACTGGTGGCCAGTATATGACAAAAATATAAACATATATGTTTACAAAAAAATATATGTATGTATTTATTTCAGTTGGGTAATACCTGTACTGCAAACTTTGTTTAGTTTGAGACTAGATGGCGCTGTGTGAATTATTTAAGATTATTATTATTATAAATATCTGTATTAAAAGAATCATCCTAAATGTGGGCAAATTCTCAGCAATTTGTACTAAAGGATTCACTCTAACCTTAACAAATCCCCCACTCTTAAAATAATGACCTGCAATACGTTGTTGTCAGGTCACAACCTGAGCACGTAGATAAGTTTTCCCTCTCGAAATAATAAACCTTAATGCCTCCTCTTTTCAAGTTCTCCTTAAATAATAACCACCAGCGTCATGTCATGCGCGTCCACCTCTCGATCTGAATGTTCCGTTGTCATGTGCACGACCTTAACACATGGGCAAGTTCTCCCTCCCTAAGTAATGAACACCAGGTACTAAAAGATTCATTCTAACCTTAACAACTCCCCCACTCTTAAAATAATGAACTGCAATACGTTGTTGTCAGGTCACAACCTGACAACAACGTAGACAAGTTTTCCCTCTCGAAATAATGAACCTTAATGCCTCCTCTCTTCAAGTTCTCCTTAAATAATGACCTTAGCACGTGGGCAAGTTCTCCATCTCTAGATAATGAACACCAGGTTGTACTAAAGGATTCACTTTAACCTTAACAACTCCCCCACTCTTCACATAATGAATTGCAACACGTTGTTGTCAGGTCACAACCTGAGCACGTAGACAAGTTTTCCCTCCCCAAATAATAGTTCTCCCTCCTTAAGTAATGAACACCAGGTACTAAAACATTCATTCTAACCTTAACAACTCCCCCACTCTTCAAATAATGAACTGCAACACGTTATCAGGTCAAAACCTGAGCACGTAGACAAGTTTTCCCTCTCGAAATAATGAACCTTAATGCCTCCTCTCTTCAAGTTCTCCTTAAATAATAACCACCAGCGTCATGTCATGCGCGTCCACCTCTCGATCTGAATGTTCCGTTGTCATGTGCACGACCTTAACACATGGGCGAGTTCTCCCTCCCTAAGTAATGAACACCAGGTACTAAAAGATTCATTCTAACCTTAACAACTCCCCCACTCTGAAAATAATGAACTGCAACACGTTGTTGTCAGGTCACAACCTGAGTACGTAGACAAGTTCTCCCTCTCTAAATAATGAACCATAATTCCTCCTCTCTCCGCAAATAATAGTCCTCTTTGAGCAATAAGCAGTAACGTCATGCGCGTCCACCTCTCAAGCTGAATGTTGCGTCGTCAGGTGCGCGACCTTAGCAAGTGGACAAGTTCTCCCTCTCTAAATAATGAATATCAGGTTGTACTAAAGGATTCACTTTAACCTTAACAACTCCCCCACTCTTAAAATAATGAACTGCAACACGTTGTTGTCAGGTCATAACCTGAACAAGTGGACAAGTTCTCCCTCCCTAAATAATGATCAGCAGCATCATGCGCATCCACCTCTCGACCTGAATGTTGCGTCGTCAAATGCGCGACCTTAGCACGTGGGCAAGTTCTTCCTCTCTAAATAATGAATACCAGGTTGTACTAAATGATTCACTCTAACCTTAACAACTCCCCCACTCTTAAAATAATGAACTGCAACACGTTGTTGTCAGGTCACAACCTGAGTACGTAGACAAGTTCTCCCTCTCTAAATAATGAACCATAATTCCTCCTCTCTTCCCAAATAATAGTCCTCCTTAAGTAATGAGCAGCAACGTCATGCGCGTCCACCTCTCAAGCTGAATGTTGCGTGTCCAGGTGCGCGACCTGAGCACGTGGGCGGCGGGCATGCGCGCGCAGGCGGCGGGCGGGGCGCGCGTGGCGGCCGCGCACGCGCACGCCGCGCGCGCCGACCACGACGCCGCGCGCGCCGAGCTCGACGCGCGCGAGGACTCCTTCAGGGACGCGCTGCACCACGGCCACCAGCTCGTGCGGGCCGGACATCCCGCCGCGCAGGTCTATATCACTTTCTTTTATAGGGTGGAGAGGTTTCGGAGGACCATGCTGGGAATTCATCACACGCTGGAACCTAAGTGGTCTCGGACAGTGCGGTTTCAGAGGAGCTTCCTCCCGCGTACACTTACATTGTGGAATGAACTACCTGCCGAGGTTTTCTCGAGAGACTACAGCATGGGGTTTTTCAAGAAGGGTATATTAAGGTTTATTAAGTCGGCAACGAGTATGTGACACCCCTGGTGTTTCAGGCGTCCATAGGCTACGGTAACCGTTTACCATCAGATGGGCCGTATGCTTGTTTGCCACCTAAGTGATATAAAAAATATATGTGCTATTCTTAGCCACTAAGAAATCATGGGATATAGATTATTACCTTAGTTTTTACGAATGGCAACATTTTTTTTTATGGTCGATAATGAAATAGTGCACCCGCCTGCGCTAACGGTTTACGCTGGCGGGGCACCAGTGGAGGATGATAGGATGAGCATGAGGTCAGGTCAGTTAGCCCATCATTACAAATTCATCAGGAATTTATCACGATCGTTTCCAGGGGGAACCGCGTGGAAGTCATCCTGACATGATCATCAGTCCACATTACTAACAATTCCCTTTCCCCTACAACATAATATATAATATTATTGTATGCGATACTAAATAATGTTACAAAAGTACCAGGACGAGATGACCTCGTAGAGAGTCATTTGCGCAGGAATGTTATGGATATGAAATTTCGGATACGGATAGGTTTCGGATACAGGAATGATTATTATACCGGTTGCGGATATGAAATTATTTCTGATTATCCGTTATGATAATTTCTGTTACGGATATTAATTTTTTAAGGAATTTCTAAAGTAAAATACAATCAGCTAATAAAATGGTTACATAACGTGTCTCAATTAGGCTCCGCCCCTATCCGATATTATCCGACACTTATTTCAGCTTCGGTTACGGTTACGGATATTTTTTTTTATCGGATATCCGATAGTTTCGGTTACAGCTACGGAGCCCCCTAACATCCCTGCATATGCGTGGATATCTTAATCTTATCTCACTCATTGCAATTTCCCTGATGTTGTAGATGCTCCTAGGCGGCGGTAGTCGCTTACCATCAGGTGAGCCGTAAGCTCGTTTGTCCCCTGTGCTTAAAGACATCAATTTTCATTCGTTCACTATGACACCTGATCAGATCTATATGGTTGTTTGTGCAGGAGATTCAGGAGAAGTGCGAGGCGCTGTTGGAGGAGCGTGGGAAGCTGCAGGCGGCGTGGGCGTCGCGTCTGGTGTCTCTGGACCAGCTCATAGACCTGCACTGCTTCCTGCGGGACGCCAACCAGCTCCACGACCTGTGCGCCACCCAGGAGGCCACCCTCAGTCAGTACTTAGATAGATAAATAAAATGTTTATTCATGACTAGCTGTTCCCGCAACTTCGTCCGCGTGGAATTTAACTTTATTTTTTTTATATAAAAGTAGTCTAAGTTACTCCTTATTACAACAGCTACCTGCCAAAAGAAGTCCCGTCGGTCACGCCATTTCAGAGATGAGCCGAAACAAATAAACCGACAGACAGATAGACAAAAATTATAAAAATACATCACCTACCTGCCAAAAAAACGTGCCATCAAAATCGGTCCAACCATTTCAGAGATTAACCGGAACAAACAGACAGACAAAAATTGTAAAAAAATATTTTTATGTATGTACTATATTTATATTCATATGCATGTAGTAAAAAACGGTTATTTCAGTATTACAAAATTCAAAATTCATTTATTCATGTAGGACATTTTAGCCGCTTATGAACGTCAAATTTTTACATTAAAATTTTATTTTTTCCCTACCGTCCAGACACTTTATTACAAACAGACACTCCAATTTTATTTATATGTACATAGAAAAAAGCCAAGTAAAATAGTAATACAGATATTACATGTAATAATTATTATTACAGGCACAGAAATATCACCACAGAGCAGTGTAGAGGAAGTGGACAACCATCTGAAGAAGCACGAGGCATTCGAGAAGCTTCTCGCCACGCAGGTAAATATTTACGATCTTTTTAACTTACAATGTTAGTCGCAATGTAGGGGCGATATTCTATTTGTTTAAAAGAGCAACACACAAGTTCCTTGCTTATTCTTCTAGTGATAAGACAGCTTTCCGAATAAGCGGTAGTGTCCAAAATCTACCCTGTACCATCGTAAGCACAGATTATTATATTAGAGTCCGTTAGTTTTCTGTTCCCGCGCTTTTACTTCCCCTCCCTCACCCAGTACTGAACTGACTGTACGGCGGCCATGATGCGCGCGCGCCTTTGTTGTGAATTAAAATAAATTAGAACTGTGTTAAACCTACTGTGAAACTGGAAAGCTAGCGAAGATACCTTCGAGACCCTGAAGCCCAAGAAATCCGCAGAACCATACAGGTACGTGACAGACGTTTCCACACATATTTTTACGTATATATATACATAGTACTTTCCCTAACATTTTGGTAACAGAGCGTGGTTTTCCTAACAAATGTTGACTATTCAAAAGTGCTTAAATTAAGTTTATTTGGATAAATGATTTTCTATTCTATTCTATTTCTCAATTTTCTCAAGCAACAGTCAAAGGATGGATGCGTTTTACTTAAAATATTTAACTTTTATTAGAGAGAAGATAGAAAAATATTTATTGACAACCACTATTGATATGAACATACATTTACACATACATGACATAGGTACATGTTACATATATAGTTGCTTTTGGTGTCAGTAACAATAATGACATCTGACAGATGTCAAAGGTCAAAATAACTGAGACATCGAGCGGTACGTGATGTCACTAATGGCAGGCACAGAATACCAGCGCCGTGACAGTTAGTTAGTGTGTATGTATGCATATATGTATATGAGTGTGTCTGTGCATATGTGTATATATATATGTGTAAAATGTACATTTGTCAAATGCGTAAATGTAATAATGGTTGTCAATAAATGTTTTTCTTTCTTTCATTCTTTCTTTATATATATACATATGTATGTATGTTTGCACACATACACACAGACACAAACCGGCCGTATGCTTGATTGCAATCATAGTAGTATAAAAAAAATTAATACTACGGCAGTCATATGATTACGTCCGTGATACTGTTCATGTATATAGGTGATGCTCACCACTTACCATCAGGTGGTCCAGCGACTTTGGCCTTCCTAATATGTAAAATAAATTTTATTACTAAAACAATAATGTTCATTTTAGGATGAGAAGCTGGTAACGCTGAACACCCACGGCGCGAAACTACTGGAACAGAACCACGTGGAGAGTCAGCATATTGCTGATGAGCTCCAGAAGATCAATGAAAGAAGGAAGAAGGTAAGAAAGAAAGAACGTACATTTGATGTCAAAAAAATTAAAACAATTTTGGGAGGACAATTCTTATCATTTGGGGGTAGGAAAACTAGATAATATTCGATTCTCAGACATATTGAGGATATGCGTATAAAATTTCATAAAAATCGGTCAAGCCGTTTCGAAAGAGTACGGTAAGTAACATTGTGAGTCAGTCTGAAATTATGGATGAAAAATTTATAAAATACTAGCTACTCGCCCCGACTTCGCCTGGGTGTACATGTATTATACATATAAACCTTCCTCTTGAATCACACTATCTATTAAAACAAGCGCTTCGGAATCCGTTGCGTAGTTTTAAAGATTTAAGCATACATAGGGACGCACAGACGGCGACAGCGACTTTGTTTTGTACTATGTAATGATTGGTGTGATGTGGTGAGATGTAACGGTGTCGGCCGTAGGTGCACTCGCTGTCGTCCCGGCGCCGCTCGCAGCTGGTGCGTCTGTCTGCGCGCGCGCAGTTCGCGCGGGACGCGGCCGAGGCCCGGGGATGGGTGGCCGACAAGCTGGCCAAGCTCAACGCGGACCAGCACCTCGGTAACTACTGCTTTGACACCGTCCATTAAACACTTGATGTTTGTTATCATTTTTAACACCCTCTCGCTCCACCCCCTCCACTCCCTCTTCACTTCCCTCTCCCCCTCAAATCTCCCTCTCCACTTCTCCTCAAATACCCCCTCCCCCTCAAATCCCCCCTCCACTTCCCCCTCCCCCTCAAATCCCCCCCTCCCTCACCACTCCTCAAATCCCTCCTCCACTTCCCCCTCCCCCTCAAAACCCCCCTCCCTCTCCACTCCTCAAATCTCCCCTACACTTCCCCTTCCCTCCCTCAAATCCCCCCCTCCCTCTCCACTCCTCAAATCCCCCCTCCACTACCCCCTCCCCCTCAAAACCCCCCTCCCTCTCCACTCCTCAAATCTCCCCTACACTTCCCCTTCCCTCCCTCAAATCCCCCCCTCCCTCTCCACTCCTCAAATCCCCCCTCCACTTCCCCCTCCCCTCTCAAATACCCCCCTCCCTCTCCACTCCTCAAATCCCTCCTCCACTTCCCCCTCCCCCCTCAAATACCTATAACCCTCCCCCTTTTTGATGTTTATTATAATTCTTACCATCCTCTCTACTTCCCCCCTTCCCCTTTCCCTCCCCCTTCTCCTTCCTCCCCTTAAATTCAAATTCAAAATCATTTATTCATGTAAGACATTTTAGCCGCTTATGAACGGCAATTTCTTACATTATAATTTTATTTTTTCCCTACCGTCCGTCGTCTTAATGATACATGGTGGTATTTCTCCCACTTGGTACTTTATACGTGGTCAGGTTTAGGAGTAACCAAAAAAAACACGTGTACTTTCTAGTACCTACACTGAGAGTTAAATTAAATTTTTATTATATAATCTTTCAACAGGTATAAAGTGTAATCTAATTTTATTCCAGAAAATTCGAATAGTTTATTTGTGAAGTACAGATTACACATACTATATATACCACTGGCTGTTCCCGCGACTTCGTCCGCGTGGATTTCAACTTTATTATTTCTAAAATAAAAGAAAATTTCCAAAATAAAAGTAGCCTAATTTACTCTTTATTACATTACCTACCTACCAATAAAAGTCCCGTCAAAATCGGACCAGCCATTTCAGAGATCAGCCGGAACAAACAGACCGACAGACAGACAGACAGAAATTGTATAAAATGTTTTACGTTTATTTTGGTGTATGTACCGTATTTATATTCATATGCATGTAGTAAAAGACGGTTATTTCAATATTACAAACAGACACTCCAATTTTATTTATATGTATAGTGGTAGAATAATATGTTTCATATATCAGGTGAAGTAACGAACTTGGACGATAAAATCAAGAAACTACAGAAACACCAAGCTTTCACCGCCGAGCTGGCGGCCAACAGAGCAAGACTCGACGAGATCAAAGCGCTGGCTGACCAGCTCAAGCCTGACGAAGAGGTGGAACAGCAACTCGCTGCACTGCAGAGTGACTGGAGGCTACTGGAGCAGGCGACCGAACAAAGAGGTAAGTAGTTTGGGAGCCTACTCATTTTGACATCCGCATTCCTTAGTTCATCAACTGCGGTCGGCGTTATATAGTTTTTATTTTAACTAATTAAAACATTAAAACATAACTAATGTAAGATTATTAATTCCAGTCAGTAAAATGACATTTCCAGTGTTGCAGGTTTTTAGTCCCAAATAAATAGTGATGTGGTAGAATCCAGTTTTAACAATTAAAAGTTAGTCGAGATTACATTTTTTTTATTCAATATCAAATTGCCTTTATACAAATAAAAATTCTAGTATTAATTCCTCTGAATCTCTTTTTACATTTTTTCCCAGCTTTTGTAATAATGTTGTAGTGAGAAATTTTAATATGCTGGTAAGGTCCATATTTCTAAAATCGTATTGTTTAATACGATATGTATTAAATATTTAAAATTAAAAAAAAAGTCTTCGATACCTAATAAAATAAAGCATGACTAAATGTCTAAGTCTATTGATTGCTGAACATCACTATTGTAGCGGGTCACACTTTTCTGTATCAGTGACAGTTGCACTTGTCATTTTACTGACTGGAATTAATAATCGTACTTTAATTAAAACATAAAACATAACTAATTAAAACATAAAACGATTTCCTGATTTACTGGTGAAAATTCACCGGTAAATCAGGAAATCGTTTTATCATATAACTAGCTTTTGCCCAGTATTATTATTAATTAGGTGTAGTTTTTCCGGCTTTACTTTTGGTTTAGCGTGTGTAAAACATTAGGGTCTGCGAAACTTGTTTCTATACAATATTCTTAACTAATCTATTGTCAACATTTAGAACAGATATATGGGGTAACTAGCTGTTCCTGCGACTTCGTCCGCGTGGAATTTAACTTTATTTCTCTAAAATAAAAGTAGCCTAAAGAACTAAAAATTATTTTGTTCATCTTAATTTATTCGTTCCATTGGCTACTGATAGATTCAAACTAATATATTTACATTCTGCATCATCCCCTATTTTATCACCTTAGGGGTGGAATTTATCCAAAATCCTTTCTTAGGGGATGCCTACGTCATAATATGTACCTGCATGCCAAATTTCAGCCCGATCCGTCCAGTGGTTTGGACTGTGCGTTGATTGGTTGCTCGAGTGGGCATGGGAAGTGTTTCCACTCGTGTTTACACTCTCGCGCTGCTCACTTCCGATCTCACTTCCCTGCCCACTCGGGCTGAGTGTAAATTAGGCATTCATTTCATTGGAATGAATAGAATAGAATAGAATAGAAAATCATTTATTCAAATAAACTTAATTTAAGCACTTTTGAATAGTCATAACTATTTGTTTTTTATCTACCATTCGTTCGGAAAGCTGTCTCATCACAAGAAGAACGAGAAGAAACTTGTGTGTTGCTCTTTTAAATAATCCTTGTAAGTTTACATTAACATTTATGAACTTCCTGTCGAGAGACTACAGCGTGGGGTTTTTCAAGAAGAGTATATTAAGGTTTCTTAAGGGTCGGCCACGCGCACGTGATACCCCTAGTGTTTCAGGCGTTCATAGACTACGGTAACCATTTACCATCAGATGGGCCGTATACTTGATTGCCACCATCGTAATATAAAAAAAAATTACAACAATCATAAAAAAAGGAAACGCTTCCATTACTTAACACTAGAGCGCCATCTATGCCGAAATATTGTAACTAATTTTAGCCAGCAATGATGAGTTATATGTGTCAATAGGTCGCGGTTTGGAAGAAGCTCAAGACATCCTGGAGTTCAACCAACAGCTGGATAAGATAGAGGCCTGGATAAGAGACAAGGAGATGATGGTAAGTGTAACATTGTCACGGCATTGCATTGTTATTTGCACCTATTTATTACTAATAGAATAGAATAGAAAATCATTTATTCAAATAAACTTAATTTAAGCACTTTTCAATCGTCAAAAATCACTCAAATCACTAAAATATCCTTTTCAGAAGATTTTGTATTAGACGACTCTTGATGTAATGAGTGAGACAGTTGTTTAATGGAATGGATGAATTTCATATTAATTCGTCCAATATTCATCCATTCCGTTGCTTAACGGAATGGATGAATATTGGATTGGAATTTTAGATTCATTTGAATGGATATAATAATAACTGAGTATAATAACATAAGTTACGAAAAGAGTAAAAATATTATTGTAAAGAAGTAAACATATTATTTCTTAATATATATTCTTAATTCGTAAATATTATAGCATTAAAGGCTGTTCAAGTGTTACGTAAGCAAATTTATTACAATTATTTACCCCCCATCCCCCTTGTCAGCAAAGGTAAGCAAAGCTCTTACCCCCTCCTCCCATGCTTACGTACACATTTTTCAATTAATGTATTGTTTTTTAGCAAAGACAATGTGAGTGTTGCCATTCGTGAAAAAAATAAATGACTACCGATGACGTAATGATCATCTAGACTCCCCCACCACCACATGTTATCCAAAATTAGCAAAGCAAACCCCCCCCCCCCCTTTCATAGTGCTTACGTAATACTTTATAATGGACATACATTTTTTTTTATTAATACTGAGAATCTCTTTGGTGTACTCAATGCTTTAGCGTTTGCGCCTGTGATTTACGCTCGCTTCAGCAGAGTTTATATGTATTTACAAAGTTATGATTTTAATAGAGGTGTAATTTGAATATAGTTATAGAAATATATACATTCTTATACATATATACAATTATTTATATAAGAAATCATAAGACAAAATTAACGAGGTACCAAAATAAAAAGCGAAGACAATCAAAACAATATAAAAACAGAAATAAAAGAACAAAACAAAACAACAATAGAGGTAAAACAAACACTAACAAACGTAAGGTGGAGCAATGACATATATAAGGTTGCGTGTAATCATCGAACGAGAAAGGATGAAGATCGTACCCAGTTTCGTGCCTTGGGAAAGACCTATATCCAGCAGTGGACTGCAATGATCTGATTATGATAATGATGATGTACAGGTGCAAGCGCACGAGTTGGGCCGTGACTACGAGCACTGCAGCGCGCTTCTGCGCAAGCTGGACGACCTGGACAGCGACATGAAGGTGGACGACAAACACGTTAAGATCATATGCGCCCTCGCTGACAAGCTGCTTGACCAGGTAAATAATAAATGTGATTTTTCCCATTACTTCGTCTGTTATACTTTCTGATTTTACCGAATGGTTGGCTTAGACATATTATACACATTTTTAATAGCACAATAAATAAATTAGTCATATAGTGCATGTTAGGGAAAATATTATATGTGGAAACGTCTGTTTCGTACATTGTTCCTTCGGATTTCTTGGGCTTCTTAACACAGGCTAGCATCTCGATGCTATTTTCACTAGCTTTCACAGTTTCCAACTTGTTTTAATTTATTTTAGTATAGGAATTAGACGTGCGCATCTAGGCCGTCGTACGGTCAGTTCTGTCATAGGAAAGTTGGCAATAGGAGCTGCCTCAGCTGTTGCTGATACAAGTACAACCTCAATGAGGTGCAGCATAATGTCACATCTGAACATCCGGCTCGAAGGACCAAACTGTTTAATTGTCTTTTTTTATTACTCTTTAATATTGATTGAATTACAGTTAGGCATACAAGGGTACTTCCGTTGATTGCGGGTTCGATTCCTCGCACGGTGCAAACTTTTGTATTCATGAGTATGATTGCTTGGATCGGTCTGCGTGTTGGCTGTGTATTTTATTCATCAGTTACCTAGTCCCCATATCAATAGCTCTGCTCAGCTTGGGACTATATGGCGCTGTGTGATTAGTGTATTATTTTTGTTCAATCCAACATTAACCCATTTGCTCCTACGAGCTTTAATTAATTTAAGTCACTACATTTCTAAAGACTTTATAGTAAATTTGTATCAAGTATTTGTTTGATGTATTGTCCCCTAGGGTCCGACACAGCAGGCTGATGCGGTATCAGACCGCCGAGCAGCCTTCTTACAGAAGTGGAGGGCCCTCAGCGGAGCCCTACAGCAGTACAGAGACAATCTTTCAGCGGCTCTAGAAATACACTCATTCAACAGGTCAGTTGATATATAGCCTTTTTATTAATTACTAGCTGTTTCTGCGACTTCGTCCGCGTGGAATTTAACTTTATTTTCCTAAAATAAAAGTAGCCTAAGTTACTCCTTATTACATCAGCTACCTGACAAAAAAAGTCCCGTCAAAATTGGTCCAGCCATTTCAGAGATTAGCCGGAACAAACAGACCGACAGACAGACAGATAAAAATAATAAAAAAATTGAGAAAGAAAGTAAGCCGGAGATTCCAGTTATTCTAATTATAAATTCTGAAAAAATTATATTTCTAACTGACTGTCCGGCGATGGAAACATTGGTAATAAAAAAATATCTGAAAGATCGCTTCTCGACTCCTTGGATTCAAAATTTCTTTTTTATTTTAATCAAGAGTTTGGTTAATATGAAACTAACCTCAGATTCAGGAATTTGTACTAGCTCTTCGATAGAAACTCTAACCACACAGTAAGGAACAAGTTGCTCATTTATAAAATGGCCATTCAAAAAATTTTGAGAAATTTGGAAACATACCGACCAAAATGGATATCACGTTTAACACAACGTGTTATTTTGTCTTTCATCATGTTCTTTGTTATTAAATTTTTTTTTCGTGATATCTTTTACTCGAGATATTTCACATATTGAATACCTCCCTCCCTTACTCCACCAATGTTTGTGACAGAGACGTGGAGGACACGGAGGAGCGTATCGCGAAGAAGGCGGCGCTGTTCAGCAGCTCGGAGCGCGGCCGCGAGCTGAGTGCGGCGCACGAGCTGCAGCGGCGGCACGAGGCGCGCGTCGCCGAGGCGCAGGCCGTGCGCGACAAGATCCGCGCGCTCCACGCCGAGGGGCAGGCCCTAGCGCGCAGGTACGGCCGACAGTGTCACGAGTGCGGCGCACGAGCCGCAGTGGGAGCACGAGGCGCAGGCCGTGCGCGACAAGATCCGCGCGCTCCACGCCGAGGGGCAGGCCCTAGCGCGCAGGTACGGCCGACAGTGTCACGAGTGCGGCGCACGAGCCGCAGTGGGAGCACGAGGCGCAGGCCGTGCGCGACAAGATCCGCGCGCTCCACGCCGAGGGGCAGGCCCTAGCGCGCAGGTACGGCCGACAGTGTCACGAGTGCGGCGCACGAGCCGCAGTGGGAGCACGAGGCGCAGGCCGTGCGCGACAAGATCCGCGCGCTCCACGCCGAGGGGCAGGCCCTAGCGCGCAGGTACGGCCGACAGTGTCACGAGTGCGGCGCACGAGCCGCAGTGGGAGCACGAGGCGCAGGCCGTGCGCGACAAGATCCGCGCGCTCCACGCCGAGGGGCAGGCCCTAGCGCGCAGGTACGGCCGACAGTGTCACGAGTGCGGCGCACGAGCCGCAGTGGGAGCACGAGGCGCAGGCCGTGCGCGACAAGATCCGCGCGCTCCACGCCGAGGGGCAGGCCCTAGCGCGCAGGTACGGCCGACAGTGTCACGAGTGCGGCGCACGAGCCGCAGTGGGACCACTTATCTAAGATTTTCATCATAAATATCTGATAATTTATCTCTCTCTCTCTCTGATCTAAATAAACTAAAAGAATTAAATAGGATCCATTTCTAGCTACAAGTATATTAATTTAATTAAAAACCAATCTTATTTTAATAGAAATAAGAGTTATATTTGTAGAACCGCTGTCTGTGCTCTACAAACCACATTATCAAATACTCTATATAATTTACAAATGCTACTTACCATATATATGATTGTAATTAAACATCAATCTTATGTCAATAGAAATAAAGGTTATACTTGCAGAACTGCTCTGTGCAGTATGCACTAAGTACATCATCAATTACTCTATGTGTATATTTATCAATGGTAAATATAAATTAAATTAATTTAATATTAATAAAAATAAGAGTTATTTTTACACTAACACTCTTATAGATCATATCCTCAGGCTTTACCACTTATTAGTTGTATAAGAATTTACTTAAAAATCAGTCTAATTGCAATGTAAATAAGATTTATATTTGTACAGCCACCTGGACCATATGATACACATCGACAAGTCACTCTATATACATTATCACTTGTTACTGAATCAATTTAATTAAAAATCAATCTAATTACAATGTTAATAAGAGTTATATTTGTACAGCCACCCGGAGCATGCGGAGCACATCGACAAGTCACTCTATATAAATTATCACTTCTTAATTAAAAATCAATCTAATTACAATGTATATAAGAGTTATATTTGTACAGCCACCCGGAGCATATGATGCACATCGACGAGTCACTCTATATAAATTATCACTTCTTAATTAAAAATCAATCTAATTACAATGTATACAAGAGTTATATTTGTACAGCCACCCGGAGCATATGATGCACATCGACGAGTCACTCTATATAAATTATCACTTCTTAATTAAAAATCAATCTAATTACAATGTATATAAGAGTTATATTTGTACAGCCACCAGGAGCATATGATACACATCGACAAGTCACTGTATATAAATTATCACTTCTTACTGAATTAATTTAATTAAAAATCAATCTAATTACAATATAAATAAGAGTTATATTTGTACAGCCACCCGGAGCATGCGGAACATATCGACAAGTCTCTGAAAGGCTTGCAAGACGGCTGGGACAAGCTGCAACAGCTGGCGGCGCAGCGGACTGCACTGCTTGATGAAGCCATTGCGGAACACAAGTTCGATGACAGCCTCAAGGTATCCTAACATTTTTATATAGTATAAAATTAAGTCACTTCTGCTGTCTGTATAGATAGATAGATCTTTTCAGCTACGCAATGGATTTTCATGCAGTCTTTAATAGTAGTTAGTTATTAAAGCTTACTACAAAATTGAAGAATTCGTTAACGATAATAATCTTATATATAAAATTCTCGTGTCACAGTTTTCGTTCCCATACTCCTCCGGAACGGCTTAACCGATTCTCATTAGATTTTGTGAGCGTATTGATTAGGTCTGAGAATCGGCCAACATCTATTTTTCATCCACCTAAATGTTAGGGGTAGTCCACCCCAATTTTTTTTTTATTTTAAGGCAAAACAACGTTTGTTCGGACAGCTAGTGTTTTTATAGAAAAACTTTAAATCCATAGCACTGACAATACTATCTGATTACACTAATAATGAGTGCGTAGCGATTTCTATGTTGATTATCGCATGCCTCTTACTTGTTATACTGTAATTATTTATATAAAAAACATCTATTAAAAAGAGCAACACACAAGTTTCTCGCTCATTCTTCTTGTGATGAGTCTGCGTTCCAAATGAGTGGTAGAATCAAAATATGACTATTCAAAAGTGCTTGTAATGAGTTTATTTGAATAAAGATTATTTCTATTTCTATTTCTATTCAAAACGAAAGTTTATATACGTGTACACCCGTGCTAAACCGAATCAGATGACTAGTTTATTCTAAGTTGATAACGGTATACGCTGGCCAGGCGCCAGTGCAGCATGATAGAGTGAGCATTAGGTCTGGTCAGTTAGCACATTTTCTTACCTCTAGCGGTACCCTCAGAGTAAATTCATATCTGTGAGGCAGGAGTTGACCTTCAGCCGCTCCATAAGTCCTTCCTTTGGTTTGGAGTGTCATCTGCACTCGCCCCCTATCGTCCGGTGAAGCTGTAAAGGCCAGCTGCGGCCAACAGCATTTAAAAAAAATTTACTTGAGTAACAAAATAATTTATAGGCTATTGCACCAAATATAGAGAAGTCCGGATGAGTGAGTAGTATAGTGATATATGAATGAGGTCATAACGTTCGGTTCCTCAGGAGCTGGAGGTGTGGGTGTCGGAGACTGTGAAGCGGATGGACGAGAGCGAGCCGCCCGAGAGCGTCGCCGACGCGGAGGCGCTGCTGGAGACGCACCACGAGCGAAAGGTAACGTATTGGGGTTCGATTCTAACGTAATCTTTACTGCCTTACTAATATTATAAATGGGAAAGTATGTATATATATAACTCTGTCTGTCTCGCTTTCACGACAAAACTACTGAACCGATTTAAGTGAAATTTGGTACACAGATAGTGTAGATCCTGAGAAAGGATATAGGTTACTTCTTAATGTGAAAAAGGGTTGTAAGGGGTTGAAATGGACAAATTGACATTTTAAAAGCTAATTTTTAAGCTTGAAACTTATTTTTCTGTCTGTTGATTACATTGTATGGAAATTCGTCATTTGTGCAGCTAGAACAATATCTTTTTTAATTGGCTTTTATTGGGTTAGATTATTAAATATTTTTATTGTATTTGGGTAAGGTGACTATTTTACATGGACAAAGTCGCGGGTTAAGCTAGTTGTTTAATAATTCGTAATGTAAAATATTATCCACTAGCTGTGCCCGCGACTTTTTCCGCGTGGAATTTAACGTTATATTTGAAATAAAAGTAGCCTAAGTTACTTCTTATTACATCAGCTATCTGCTAAAAAAAAGTCCCGTCAAAATCGGTCCAGCCCTTTCAGATATTAGCCGGAACAAACAGACACACAGACAAAAATTATAAAAAATGTTATTTTGTTGCATGCAACGTATTTATATTCATATGCATGTAGTAAAAAGCGTTTATTTCAATATATAAACAGACACTCCAATTTTATTTATATGTATAGATAATATAGTAATTATAGACATTTTGTACAAGATTATCTGATGCTTGCGCTGTAAGCGTTTTGAGTTTACTATATTACTAAGATTACAGTCCTACCATCCACCACACGATCTCACACATCTCAAAGTGTTCACCATCTCTTACCACCAGGCGGAGATAGACGGGCGTCAAAAGGCGATAGCATCTCTCCAGAAGGAAGCACCAATAGCACAAGCCCCGGAGAAGTTGAAGCGAGTGGAGAACCTCTCCGCCACATTGGACAAAGCCTGGCTGCAGAGGAAGCAGTACCTCACACAGGTACGAGGTCTTATATATAATAATAATAATAATAATAATAATAATAATAATAAGGCTAAGGCCCGCGTGTTTGACTATATTACCCCCGTAAAAAGGGAGGTATAATAAATATATATATATATGTAATAATAATAATAATCTTAGGACAATTCACACAGCGCCATCTAGACCCAAGTTAAGCTACCTAAAGCTTGTGTTATGGGTACTAGATAACTGATACAAATACATAGATATTTTTTTTTGTAAATACATATTATATATAGAAAACACCCAGACCGATACAATCATACTCATGAATACAAATGTTTGTGCCGTGCGAGGAATCGAACCCGCGACCATCGGTCGTAAAGCGGTGTACTAGACCGCTGGACCACCGAGGTCGTCAATATATAATAAATATAGCTGCAAGCAACTGCTGCAACAGGGGGGAAGCGGATTGTGAACGAAGAATGTGGACTGATGACCCCATTGCTAGCAATATACCATGTCAGGCTGATATCCTCGCGGATCCCCCTGGAAACCATCGTGATTTCTTGGTGGATATGTCACGATGTGCTAACTGACCTGACCTCATGTTCATCTTATCCTCCACTGGTGCCCCGCCAGCGTAAACCGTTAGCGCAGGCGGGTGCACCATTCCATTAAAAAAAAACTATAATTAACAATGTATGTATAGACGACCTCGGTGGTCTAGCAGTTTACCACACCGCTTTACGTCCGATGGTCGCGGGTTCGATTCCTCGCACGGCACAAACATTTGTATTCGTGAGTATGATTGTTTGTATCGGTCTGGGTGTTTTCTATGAATAATATGTATGTATTTACGAAAAAATATCTATGTATTTGTATCAGTTATCTAGTACCCGTAACACAAGCTTTAGCTAGCTTAACTTGGGTCTAGATGGCGCTGTGTGAATTGTCCTGAGATTATTATTATTATGTATTATATATACATATACACACCTCATCACATCATACACAGTGATACAGTGATGAGATGATAATCACAACGGTACAGTTATGTCATATAAATATGGGTGTTTAATAATAAGTAAAAAAACCGGCTGGTGTATACAGGCTCACCAACTGCAGCTGCTGAAGGACCAGGCAAGGCAGACGGAGGACTGGCTCGCAGCCAAGGAAGCCTTCCTCAACAACGACGACCTTGGAGAGGACCTGGACGGTAAGGTCTTATTTTATACTAGATACGCGCTCCGGGTGTACATATGTTATACATATAGTCGATTCAAATTCCAAATATCTTTATTCATGTAGGTCTATTACAGACTCTTATGATATGTCAAATCTACCGTCAGTTCGGAATGATATCGAGATGAGAACTGACAAGAAACTCAGCTCGTATTCTTTTCAAATAAATGTTGTACATGTTTACAATAATAAAATTCAAAATTCAAAATTCAAAAATCATCTATTCATGTAGGACATTTTAGGGGCCGTTCAAGTATTACGTAAGCACTATAGGGGGGCGGGGGGTCTTTTCTTTGCTTATTTTGGATGACATGGGGGTGGGGGAGTCTGTATGATGATTACGTCATCGGTCGTAATTTACTTTTTTACACGAATGGCAACCCTCACATTGTCTTTGCTAAAAAAAACAATACATTAATTGAGAGATGTTTACGTAAGCATGGGTGGAGGGGGTAAGAGCTTTGCTTACTTTTGCTGACAACGGGGGATGGGGGGTAAATAATTGTGATAAATCTGCTTACGTAATACTTGAACAGCCCCTTAGCCGCTTATGAACGTCAAGTTTTTTACAATATAATTTTAATTGTTACCCTACCATCCAGTTCGGTATATAGATCCAATTGAGAAGAACTGGCAAGAAACTCAATAGAATTACTTTTTTTTAAAGCCAGTTTATTTACAATGTATATTTATATAGGTGTCTATGTCTAACATTAAATGAAAATATTAATTTACTAGCTGTACCCGCGACACCGTCCGCTTAAAATGACCTTGACCAAATAATAAAAAAAATATTTAATGACCTAACCCAATAAAAGCCAAATGAAAAAGTTTCATCGTTTCATCTTCAAAAATGACGACACTTCCATATGGATAGCGGCGACAAATCTCGACACAAAATGTGTTTTTTTTTTTGTATAGATGCACATGCATTGCATGCATGTCACGTGTCCAATAATATCCGTATATTATTATTATTTATGTAGTAATTTGTTAAATTTTTATTTCATTATGTTGTGGTATTGTTGTCTAGCACGTGTGATTAGGTACGCCTGCGTAGGTACAAACTGAAAACCAGCGCTGGACGCCCATCAGTCCAGCAATAGCTGAGTTTGTACCTATTGCCAATCATGTTAAATATGTATAAATGTGTAGCTGTGTAACTGTGCTGATGTTGGCAATAAATGGATTTATTATTATTATTATTTATTATTTATTATTATTATTATTTATTATTATTATATAACTGTTTCAACCCGTTATAACCCTTCTAACGCTAACAATACAACACAATGTAATGAAAACTGTGAAATTAGTAGTAGTGTAAGATTTATATAATTGTATATGCATATTGGTAAATGTAACTGGCTCCTAATAAAGATTGGTGACACTGCATGTTGTCAACTCACCCGGCCGGCCAGCGGTGGTTCTGGACCAGACGGATAAGGTCTGCCTCGGTGTCACTGTTAGGCAAATTGTAACATCTCGGCTGGAGTTGTACAAAAATGGAAATTATAATTAGAAATATAATAATATTAAAGTAAATTAAAAAAAGGCACGGACCAATATGTCTGTGGAAAAATGTATTTAAAAAATAAAAAAATAAGCCCTTCTATCGCATTCAAAAGTAGCCTATGTCCTTTCTCAGGGTCTAGACTATCTGTGTAGCAAATTTCATTTAAATCATATGTATACTAAATTTCATTTAAATCGGTTCAGTAGTTTTGGCGTGAAAGCGAGACAGACAGACAGACACAGTTACTTTCGCATTTATAATATTAGTAAAGAGTAAGGATTATTATTTACCCAAGTAATTGGTTACCAGCCGTGGAGACGCTGATCCGTAAGCACGTGGAGTTCGCCAAGTTGCTGGACAGCCAGCTGGGTCGAGTGGACGAGCTGGAGAAGTTCGCAGTCGGGATGCTGCAGGACGGGCACTACGACAGACCCTACATCCAGCGCAGAGTCGCAGACATCCTCGCCAGGAGAGACAAACTCAAGGTACTTACGTCCTTATCGACTTTGTATACTAGCTGTTCCCGCGACGACGTCCGCGTGGAGTTTAACTTTATTTTTCTAAAATAAAAGTAGCCTAAGATACTCCTTATTACATCAGCTACTTGCCAAAAAAAGTGCCGTCAAAATCGGTCCAGCCATTTCAGAGATTAGCTGATTTCCCACGGTATAAAAATCGTCTCCTCCCCAGGAGTCGTGTACGCATCGCGGCGAGATGCTGGAGCAGTCTCGACAGCTGCACCAGTTCCTGCGCAACCTGAACCATGAGAGAGAGTGGATAGCACTGAAAATGCAAATGGCGAATGATCAGAACTACAGGTGATACCTACTTTTATTTGAATGGTAATTAGACTATATCACACCTGATGGTAAGTGGTAACTGTCTACATGAACATCAGTATGGATATTGTCATGTGACACCCGAGATACCACTCTGTGAATGAATATCTTCGGTGAATTCATATTCCCCTGGTACTTTCTCTATAGAATATTATACCTACAACGAGAATGGCAATAATGCTTACCACCTGATGGTAAGTGGTAACTGTCTACATGAACAGCACTACGGATTTTATCATGTGACACCCGTGATACCACTCTGTGAATTCATGTTCTCCTGGTACTTTCTTTGTACTGTATTGCACGTACAAAGAGGATGGTAATACCTCCCACCTGATGGTAAATGGTATCGTTTGTAAACATGAACAGCATTACATATATCACGTTATCACGTGATGCCTATATAACACCTAAATAAAAAAATAAATAAAAAAGGGTTGTGAGGGGTTGAAAGTGGGGATGAAAGATTGTATGGAAGAATCGTCATTTTTGAAGCTAAAAGCTTGAAACTTATTTCTGAGGCTGTTGATTAAATATGAATAAATATGACATTCAAAGTTTGTAAAAATTTTACCCTTAAGGAGGTAAAATATCATATATACTATAATTTATAAATATATTATATAAAGATAAGTGTGATACAGACGAGGGGGAGCTAGTAGTAATATAAAGTAAAAACATTATCTGCAGAGAATTATCGAACCTACAAAGTAAAATCCAGAAGCATGCGGCTTTTGAGGCTGAGCTGGCGGCCAGCGAGGGACGCATCAATGACGTCACCAACAACGGCGAAGACCTTTGCAGTAAGTAATTTGTATAATCCGTCATACTCGTGAACTGACGCTGGCGTTCGGGTTACGGCCACTGGCCATATATTACATTATTTACTTTTCTAAAAATCGAATAGCATATGCTGGTGGTCACTCTATTCTCCCAAATTAGAACTGAAATGAATTTGTATTATTGTAAACATGTACAACATTTATTTAAAAAGAATACGAGCTGAGTTTCTCGTCAGTTCTTCTCATCTCGAAATCATTCCGAACTGACGGTAGATTTGACATATCATAAGGGTCAGTAATAGACCTACATGAATAAAGATATTTTGAATTTGAATTTGAATTTGTCTGTCTCAAATACATGTTACTCTGTCAGTCGGTAGAGTTCTTATTATATGTATAATTTTTATATATATTTTTTTATATCATCTTCTGTCAGTGATATATAGTTTACTGAACTACCCATATACTATTTTATACATTTACTAACTGACACCGCAAATGTTGTTTGTTTGTTTGTAATACTTTATTGTACTATAATATTGTGGAATGAACTACTTGCCGAGGTTTTCTCGAGAGACTACAGCATGGGGGTTTTCAAGAAGGGTATATTAAGGTTTCTTAAGGGTCGGCAACGCGTATGTGACACCCCTGGTGTTTCAGGCGTATGGGCCGTATGCTTGTTTGCCACCTAAGTGGTATAATAAAAAAAATATAAATAAAAGGACACAATTGACTTAGAAAAAACCATGCGTACAATGGCGGACTTATCCCAGAAGAGGGATTTCTTCCAGTCAACCTTTGAGTTGTTTTGCCATATAAATCAAAATCGCTATTAAAAATAGGGGTTGATGGAAATGTTGAAGGATGAAAATTTAGAGTTTTATATTTATTTTATATAAAAAAACGTTATTTTTCATACCCCTTATCACTAAAGGGTATGAAAAATAGATAGCCGATTGTCAGACCTACTGAATATGTATATAAAATTTCATAAAAATCGATCAAGACGTTTCAGAGGAGTATGAGTACGAGTATAACATTGTGACACGAGAATTTTATATATAAGATATATAATTGTATTTTCAGCCAAAGGACATTATGCAGGGGAAGAATTGTTGCGCCACGTCGACGACTTGGAGAAACTGTGGCGAGAACTACTAGTGAGTTATGACTTTTAGTATTTTTTTTTTATTGGATTGTTTGGGCTATTGTCAGATGTGTAGCACCTGTAGCACTGCGACCTACATAGATCTATTGTGCTCGCCCTTTTCAGAGTTTGCTTCCTAGACCCGTCAGGGACAAGAATTGAAGGATATTCTTAGGAGCGATGGTTTTTATCTCCTCGGGAAAGAGTGTAAACTTTCCAAAGGAGATATTTCGTTTATGCACGAGTGGGCTACAAGCACATAGGATGTGAAGCGGCGTTTCCTCTTCAGTTTGGTAGACTCTGCAGATACTTGTCGTGTATATACCTAGTTTAGCCATATGCTTGTTTAATTTGCAGTGTCCTGTGAGGGCCCTAGTCATCATGCATATGTTGTTTTTACTCAATAGCAGTAGTCTATTGGAGTATTTGTTCGAGAAGCCCGATATTAGGTCTTATGAATGTTTTAATCCTGGCATTTCTTGCCAGTGCTTCTCGTTTGGTTATTAATTTAAGATGTCCCAGTTTTAGGCAACGAGGCACACCACAGAAGGGTTCGGGGCCCAGTTGGACGGTTTTTGCCCCTAACTTTGCCAGATGGTCGGCATTCTCATTGCCTTCAATATTTGAATGCCCGGGGACCCATCTCAGTATAATATTATTTCTGCTTCCTACTTATTTATTAGAGAGATGACTTGCTCTTATTTATGATCTCCGATCGATCCTTCGTCCAATTCAAACGAGGATCGAAATTACGACGGCCTGACCCGTTGTTTGAGATCGCATATAGTCCTTTACTTTATTTAAAAAAAAAATTTTAAAATTTCAAATTTCGACCGAAGATCTATGTTATTTTATATACAATTTTGCAGTCCTTCTCGAACATTCCGTGGCGTCACTATTAAAATCAACGTACAATACAATCTAAATATTCTTTTTATTTCACAATAAAACAAATCAACCACTGCAATATTCCTACAGCAAACACCCGTTGTTACCTTTCGCAGTGCTTTCAGACTAAACTCAAAGAAAAAGTTGCTATTTCAATGTTTTTATTAAAACTATTTGAAGCACAGATTCTATATAACTCATATGTTTAACTAGCTTTCGCCCGCGGCAATGCTCGCGTAGTAGTAAGTATTATTATTAATTAGGTGTAGTTTTTGCGGCTTTACTTTTGTTTAGCGTGTGTAAAAAATTAGGGACTACAAAATGTAAGGAGATTTATACAAACTTTCATCCCCTATTTTATCTCCTTAGGGGTGGAATTTATCAAAATCTTAGGGGATGCCTACGTCATAGTAGCTTAATACATGCAAAGTCTCAGCCCGATCGGTTTAATATTGACAAAGTTTCATACAAACTTTCATCCCCTATTTTATCCCCTTGGGGGTAGAATTAATAAAAATAAAATCCTTTCTTAGCGGATGCCTACGTCATAACATCTACCTGCATGCATATTTCAGCCCGATCCGTCCAGTGGTTTGGGCTGTGCGTTGATAGATCACTATGTCAGTCACCTTTGAGTTATATATATTTAGATTGCAGAAAGTTTTATTTTTTAGTTATTGTTTTACTTAACAATTGTTGCTGTTGTAGGTAGCATCAAAACTCAAGAAAACAATTGTTATTGTTTCGACTTGTAAATGTAAACTTACAAGGATTATTTAAAAGAGCAACACACAAGTTTCTTGCTCGTTCTTCTTGTGATGAGACAGCTTTCCGAACGAGTGGTAGATAAAAAACAAATTGTTATGACTATTCAAAAGTGCTTAAATTAAGTTTATTTGAATAAATGATTTTCTATTCTATTCTATTCTATATTCTGTTGTAGGTAGCATCAAAACTCAAGAATGAACGACTCCAAGAGGCGTACCAGGCGCGCGTGTACTTACGTGGCTTGGATGACTTCACCACGTGGCTGGACGATGTCGAATCACAACTCCTCAGTGAAGATCACGGTGAGTGAGATACAATATTGTTTGTATTTGGAAAGCTGGAATTGATTCATGAAAGTTACTTTGTCTATACATCTGTGGGGGTTGTTGAGCTGTATGAATGATGTATGATCTGATTACATTAATAATGAGTGCGTAGCGACTTCTATGTTGATTATCGCATGCCTCTTACTTGTAATAGCTAAATGGGTTTTTTCTAGCTATTACCAGAAATGAAAACGTATTTTATATTCTAATACTTTATTTGTACGTCTTAACACAACTGTGGCCAAGACAAGAATGAATAATTATCTCTAAATATCGTTTACAGATCAGTTTTGTACCCTCACTATTTTTATAAAAATTATGAAACTAACTCGGTCGATATCAATAACATTACTTCTATTTATAATTAAACAATTCATTATTAATCGGCATATAAGATCATGTCAACATTCAATTATTATAAATATATCTGCTATGCAACTCTGTATATTTATTATCGTAACTATTATAATCTAACACTTGTTATACTGTAATTATTTATATAAAAAAAACATCTATTAAAAAGAGCAACACACAAGTTTCTTACTCATTCTTCTTGTGATGAGTCTGCGTTCCGAATGAGTGGTAGAATCAAAATATGACTATTCAAAAGTGCTTGTAATGAGTTTATTTGAATAAAGATTATTTCTATTTCTATTTCTATTTCTATGCGGTGTGCCGTATGTGGGGTCGGTAGTAATTATAATGTAAATAAAATAGACCCTCAGCAAATGATAAAATGTATATTAAAGAAAATTATATAAATCGATACTAGAAAATATTATTACAATTATAGTTGTATGTGGCGAGTGACGGATGACGTGAGAATATTTTATAGATGAAAATATGGAACGTGTCTGTCTTGTCTGTAAGCGGCCAGTTGTCATGAAAAGAGGTAATGATGTGAAATGATTATAATACAAATATATACAGTACACATACGTATATGGATATGAAGGCTGAGTAGCCTATACATCTATACCATCATTTTCATTGCCTTGCCTTTATCCCATTATTTGTGGTCGGCGCAGTATGTCATTCTCTTCCACTGCTCTCTATCGGTCGTCATATCTAAACATACTCTTCTTTTATTCATATCATCTTTCACACAATCCATCCATCTTTTCTTAGGGCGTCCCCTCCCTTTACATCCACACTATACATATAAATAAAACTGGAGTGTCTGTTTGTAATATTGAAATAACCGTTTTTTACTACATGCATATGAATATAAATATGGTACATGTACCAAAATAACATTTTTTTTCTGTCTGTCTTTGAATGTAGGTAGTCTAAGTTACTCCTTTTTAACTCAGCTACCTGCCAATAAAACTCCCGTCAAAATCGGTCCACCCATTTAAGAGATTAGCCGGAACAATCAGACAGACAGACAAAAATTGTAAAAAATTATTTTGGTGTATATACCGTGTTTATATTCATATACATGTAGTAAAAAACGGTTATTTCAATATTACAAACAGACACTCCAATTTTATTTATATGTAGGCGACAGTACTCTCTTAAATATATTTTTTCTACTTTTTTTTTAATTACAAACACGTCAAAATCCAGGCAAAGACCTAGCGTCGGTGACGGCGCTGCTGAAGAGACACAGCAGACTGGAGCAGCAGGTGTCCAGCAAGAGCGACGTCGCCACGCAGCTGGCTGACAACGCGCGCCAGCTCGCAGACAGCAAGCACTTCATGGCCGACGAGATACTGGAGAAGGCAGACGACGCTGTCAAACGGTGAGTTCGTAATGTCAACTAATAATTGTTTGGGAAACTACTCTGCTACCAAAATGTTAGGGAATTTACTATGTATAGGTAAAAATAGGGAGGGGCGTCAGTCTAAATACCTTTATGGTTCTGCGGATTTCTTGGGCTTCAGGGTCTCGAAGATATCTTCGCTAGCTTTCCAGTTTCACAGTAGGTTTAACACAGTTCTAATTTATTTTAATTCACAACACAATGCGCGCGCGTCATGGCCGCCGTACAGTCGGTTCAGTACTAGGTAAGGGAGGGGAAGGCAAAGCGCGGGAACAGAAACTAACGGGCTCTAATATAATAATCTGTGCTTACGATGGTATAGGGTAGATTTTGAACAATAATAATAACCCAGGACAATTCGTAAAGCTCAATTTACACTCAGCCCGAGTGGGCAGGGAAGTGAGCAGCGCGAGAGTGTAAACACGATACTTCCCATGCCATTGGCGCTGCCACTCGCGCTGCCTGACGCATCCTCGATTGTCGGTTTTTCGTGCGCGAGCCAAAGGACTGGCAGCGCGAGTGGCAGCGGAAGCGGCTGAATGTAAACGTAGCATAAGGGATTATAAGCAACGCGCACGTGATAACCCATGGTGTCTGTGGCGTCTACGGTAACCCTTTACCATCAGGTGGGCCGTATGCGTGATTGCCACTACGGTGTCTTAGACGTCTACAGGCTACGGTAACCGTTTACAATGGGCCGTATCATCAGCGCCATTTAGTCTCAAATTAAGCAATGGTTGCGTTATGGGTACTAGACTGCTGGTAGAAGGAGTTTATGAACGTAATATACATAGAAAACATCCAGACCGATACAAACAATCATACTCATGAATACATATATTTGTAACTTGCGAGGAATCGAATCCGCGACCATCGATAAAGCTAGACCGCTAGACGACCGAGTCTTTCGTGCACATGTCGCTAGCAAAACTAGGAATAGAAGGAGATCTTCTCACCTATACATTCTTCTCTGGAATATCTACCTTACTCCTATAACTTTAAATTTGATTTTTCAACATTCTACTGGCAATTTAGACATATATACATTTTGGAATATGAACCTAATTGTATAAAACTTAAGGTCGATTTTTAAATATACTATTATTATAAATTTTAGAATATCTACCTTATTGCTGTAATTTTTCCACATTTAACTTACAAATATAGATATTTTGGAATATGAAACTTATTTTATTAACTTTAAAGTCGATTTTTATTTTTTAATAGAGTTTAATATATGTATATATATATATATTGCAGGTACCGTCAACTGCAAGAACCGATGCAGAACAGAAGAGACAACCTCGAGGATGCCGCTCTCCTGCACCGCTGGGAGAGAGACGCGGACGAGGAGATGACATGGTAAATACACTCTTATGTAGTACACATACTGCTCAATTTGCCATGGCTTGTATTATGTAAGTAATGGACAACAATCTATCTGATGGTAAGTGGTAACCGTCGTATATATACATGAACACAGGGGCGGATCTACCTAAGGGCTTTTTGGGCTGCAGCCCAGGGCCCCGATGATACAAAGGACTCCCAGTCCCCACTGAAACGATATTTAGAATATAAAAAATATATAGAATGTTAAAAAACCTATATCATAAGGTTGGCAACCCTGAGATCAATCAACCCATGCAAGTGCGCGTCTATCGAAAGGAACGGGTAATTTCTGGTCGCTTGTTTTTGGTCGGTGTATTTTTTTAGTTGAGTAATATAATTAAGTAGGACCCTAAGTAGATTTAGCCCAGGGCCCCACAAATTCATGGCCCGCCCCTGCATGATCAGCAATACAGAGATCAGGATATCATGACACATCTATAGCACACCTAAAGAGTGGTCATTCGTGACGACTAAGATCTCATCCGTACTATGTAGATATGCTACTATTAATTCACGCTCCAAACCTTCTATGAATTCATGTTGTCCTAGTACTTTCTCTGTACTATATGATACCTGCAACGAATGTTAATAAAGATCCCACCTACCTGATGGTAAGTGGTAACTGTCACCTATATACGTGAACAGCACCACGGACATTACGTTATCACGTGACGTCTATATCACACCTAAAGAGTTTTCATTCGTGACAACTAAGATCTCATCCGTACTATGTAAATATACTAATATTAATTCACGCTCCGAACCTTCTATGAATTCATGTTGTCCTGGTACTTTCGCTGTAGTATCGCTGTATCACACTTCACTTGTTTCAATGGGAATGGTAATAAAGCTGTTCCACCTGATGGTAAGTGGTAACCGTCGTCTAACATACATAAACACAGTATCACGGACATCACGTTATCATGTGATACTCGTAGTACTCATATGGTATTCCCTTTTCCAAGTTCTAATGATGCCACGCTTTGTCCCCTTTAATTTCATTATCGTATTGCTTTAGACTATCTAGTAGTTCATGTTGTCCTGGTACTTTGACTGTAGTAGCACAGTACACTACCTGCATGATGGTAAGTGGTAACCGTCGTCATTACAGAGGACTAAGATGTCATGCCTCTTATCCTGTAATTGCACTATTATATTTTATGATTCACACTATCTAGTAGTTCATGTTGTCCTGGTACTTTGACTGTAGTATCGCAGTACATTTCCTACTACACAATACGCTTACCTGCATGATGGTAAGTGGTAACCGTCGTCATTACAGAGGACTAAGATGTCATGCCTCTTATCCTGTAATTTCACTATAACATTTTGTGCTTCAGACTATCTAGTAGTTCATGTTGTCCTGGTACTATGACTGCAGTATCGCAGTATATTTTCTATTTTGTACAACGAAGATGGTACCACTTACCATCAAACATCCTGCCCTGTAAGTGGTCACCGTCGTCTATATACATGAACAGTACTACATCACGTTATCATGTTACGTACATATTATTCACATTTTGCTTTCGTTCCCTGCAATTTCACTATTGTGTTACTTCAGACTCTCTAGTAGTTCATGTTGTCCTGGTACTGGACTGTAGTATCGTAGTATTAAAAAAAAGACTATTAAAAACACTACTTATATTGAGTTTAGTTGAATAAAGATTATTTCCGGCAGGTTACGCGAGCGTGCAGCTGCTGCTGGGTCCTCAGAACTTGGCGCCACCCTGGCCGATGCTCAGGGTCTGCTGAAGAAGCACCTAGCACTCGAAGCGGAGATTATTGCCAGGTAATAATTATTCGATTAATTCTATTTCGAACTAGCTGTTCCCGCGACTACGTCCGCGTGGAATTTAACTTTATTTTTCTAAAATAAAAGTAGCCTAAGTTACTCCTTATTACATCAGCTACCTGCCAATAAAAGTCCCGTCAAAATCGGTCCAGCCATTTCAGAGATTAGCCGGAACAAACAGACAGACAGATGAAAATTGTAAAAAATGTTATTTTGGTGTTACATACACCAAAATAACATTTTTTACAATTTTCATTTCTTTTCATCTGTTTTTATATTCATATGCATGTAGTAAAAAACGGTTATTTCAATATTACAAACAGACACTCCAGTTTTATTTATATGTATAGATAATTAACGATCTGCTCAAGATCGCTGGAAGTTTCTTGCTCGTACTTCTTGTGATGGGACAGCTTTCCGAAAGAGCGGTAGATAAAAAACAAATTGTTATGACTATTCAAAAGTGCTTAAATTAAGTTTATTTGAATAAATGATTTTCTATTCTATATTATTTGGTATGTTTCGTGGTGTAGGGAACCAACAATCAGCGGATTGATCGGACGAGCCAACCAGCTGTCTCGGCGCGGTCACTTCGCTGCTGCAGAGCTGGACGGCCGCGCTCGAGAGCTGGCTGCAGCGCTGCGCTCGCTGGTGGACGCGGCCGCCGTCAGGACCACCAGGCTGCGCGAGCGCTGCGACCTGCTGCAGGTATGTCATCAAGCAACGACTGCAGCGCTGGACGGCCGCGCTCGGGAGCTGGCTGCAGCGCTGTGACCTGCCCTAGGTATGTCATCACGCAGCGGCTACAGCGCTGGATTGCCGCACTCGAGAGCTGACTGCAGCGCTGCGAACTGCTTCATGTATATGGGCACGCAGCGGCTGCGGCGTTGCACGACAGCGCTCGACACTTATCTGCAGCTATATTCATTCAAATTCAAATTCAAAATATCTTTATTTATGTAGGTCTATTACAAACTCTTATGATAATCATTATAGATGGTAGAAAGTCCCTAAATTTAAAAAGAAATAAAAATTATATACTTGATTGTGATTTCATTGTAGATTGATCGATCGATTGAACGATTTACTGATCGTTCGATCGATAGATTGTTTCATTTATTGATTGATTAAATCGATCGATCGATCGAATGATGTGGTATAACGAACGCGTCGCCCGGCAGCTGACGGGCGAGATGTCGGAGGCGGAGGCGTGGCTGGTGGAGCGGCGGCCGGCGCTGGTGTCTGCGGAGGTGGGCCGCGACGAGGACTCGGTGGCGTCGCTGTGGCGGCGGCTGGCCGCGCTGCAGCGGGAGCTCGCCGGGTTCGACGCCGTCTACGGCCGCCTGGACAAGGCCGCCACCGCGCTGCTGGTCAGTACCGCTACCGATCACCACTCGCCGCTATCCATTCTTCACTCACAATTCGCAATTCTTGACTCTTCATACTTGACTCACAACTCGCAATTCTTCACTCGTCACTCGCTTCTCGCAATTATTGACTCTTCATACTTCACTCACAACTCGCAATTCTTCACTCGTCACTCACAGCTCACAACACTTCACTCATCACTCACCACTACTCAATCTTCATATTTCACTCAACACATACTGCTCACTAGCGTCGTCTTCTATCACTTTATAGTAACAGAAGACAATTTCTATTCAATAGTTCTTAAAATTAGCTTCTGTTAATCTTAGACTATTTTTTAGCCAAAATACACTTTATACAAAGTGGTCTGCGTGACCTGTTTTGACATCACGACAGACAAAGACTGTTTTTTATCTATTTATCTAAAAAAGTAAATGAAAGCGTGTGTGGTGTAGGTGAAATTAGAGAGAACTCGTAATAAACAACTCGAGAAATAACTGAAATGAAATTTTCCGATCATTTCATATCATATAATTTTCACTCGTCACAAATGTGACATTTTCATAAAAAATATAATTTGCACATTTTAACCCACTCAACACTTCCTATGCCACGCTCTATTGGGTTGACTGGAAGAGATCTCTTTTAGAGATAAGTCCTCCTTTGTTAACATTAGCTGTAATTAATTTACTTATAAATGTATTTAAGTGCAATAAAGAATATTTAAAAAATGTTTCAATATTGATTTGAGGTCGTTAAAATTTATTTTTTCTCATATTCATCTGGTTATGTTATCATTAAAATGATTATGCGTTCGTTCTATAAGTCCTTCCGCGGCTTTGAAGTGCCATTTCTACTCGCCCCCTATGATTCGGTGATGCTTTCAAACCTAACTGTGGCCAAAAAAGAAATTATTCCAGGTAACTCTAGTTACCTTAATTGCAACTCGAGTTATCTGGAATAAACTTTTGTTTTTGTTTTTTGTTTTTATTTTGTCGAACAAATCTAATTGTTTTTATGTTCAGGAGCGGAACACACCAGATAAAGAGGTGATCAGCGAGCGTCTGGCCGAGCTGAAGAACAGGTACGAGGAGATGAAGCTCCTCTCAGCCAAGCGTCAGCAGCGACTGCAGCAGAGCCTCAAGTACTTCAAGTGAGTCAGTTTCTTGAAGTAATTATTGAAAGACTTTGTATAAAGTCAAAACGACTTCTTACACTTTTTTACATAGTATAAAACAAAATCGCTGTCGCTCTCTGTCTGTCCCTATCTATGCTTAATTCTTTAAAACTACGCGACGGATTTTGAAGTGCTTTTTTTAACACTTAGAGTGATTCACGAGGAAAGTTTATATGTATAATACATGTACACCCGTGCGAACAGGGTGGGTAGCTAGTATCAAATAAAACTCTGTTGTATAAAGGGACCTTGAAGTCCCAACTGCAGAATGTTTAAATTAACTTTATTTACATTACTAATATTATTTATTTTTACATTTGTACAAAAATAATATAGTATTTTTTATTTATTTAGGTCTTAGTAATGTTATAAACGCAAATATTTATGAGTGTGAATGGATATATTCTTCTAGAATCACTATCTATTAAAAAAACCGCTTTAAAATCCGTTGCGTAGATTTATAGATTTAAGCATACATAGGGACAGACAGACAGCGACAGTGACTTTGTTTTATACTATGTAATAATCATGAATAATAATACTTGTGTGTTTGTACAGGTTCGTGCAGGAGTGCGAGGAGGTGCACGAGTGGATCGGCGAGCAGATGGCGGTGGCTGCCAGCGAGGACTACGGCCTCGACGTGGAGCACGTGGAGACACTGCAGCAGGCCTTTGACAACTTCTACGCGCAGCTACAAGGTTAGCGATCTTTATATAATCTATACCAGTGGTTCCCAAAGTGGTCTATATCGACCCCCAGGGGTCTATGACAAACTGCAAGGGGTCTACAACAGCGGTCATCTTGTTGTTTTCACTTTATGTTTTTAACACTAAACTTTACAGTTAGAAATTTACAAACAATCAATACCAGGTAAGAATGGGGGGTCTACCGAAAACCGAAAAATATGGCAAGGGGTCTACGACACAGAAAAGTTTTGGAACCTCTGGTCTATACTATCGAACCTACTTGTATTCACATGCTTCGACTTAAAAATGTAAAGTAACAACGTTGTTTAGCCTTAAAATAAAAAAACAAAAATTTGGGGGTGAACTACCCCTAACATTTAGGGGGATGAAAAATAGATGTTGGCCGATTCTCAGACCTACTCAATACGCTCACAAAATTTCATGAGAATCGGTCAAGCCGTTTCGGTGGAGTATGGGAACGAAAACTGTGACACGAGAATTTTATATATAAGATATGTAATGTAATGATGTGATGTGCAGCGAGCGAGGGCCGCATCGAGGCGGTGTGCGAGGGGGGCGCGGCGCTGCTGGAGGAGAACGCCCCCGAGGGGGACCGCGTGCGGCAGCGGGTCGACGACCTCCGCGGACTCTGGGACGACCTCCGGGAACTCGCGCTCGCCCGCCAGGAGGTCAGTAACGCGTAGCTCAGTCTTTGGTCCTTCGGGCCGGATCGCAATTATCACTATGGAATTGTTTGATAAACTAGCCGTGTCTGTGGATTCAGAACCGTGAAATTTATAGCTTATGTTATTGTTATATTATTGTAAAGTTTCATTAAAATCCATTCAGCAGTTTTTGCCTGAAAACATCCATACATCCACACTCACAAACTTCCGAGTTTATATTACTAAGATATGTTTGATACTTGTTAAATTGGATGCTTTAGTTGACATTTTATCTATTATATTCGATTATACTTTAGATAAGAAGATATGACAATCTGGTCCTTCGAGCTGGATCATAATCATTACTAAGCACATTTAGATACGGAATGTGTTTACTATATATTTGATAGATATAGCTGAGGAGTGTAATAATTACCCATTTTTGATCAATCAGATAGTAAGTTGAAATATCAAGTTCTTGGTCCTTCGGGTCGGATTACAATAGTTATTATGATGTGTAAATACAAAATTTATTATTTAAACATAAGAAACACTGTAATCCGACCCGAAGGATCAAGAATTAATTATAGATCCATTTAATTAGACGAGCCGGAGAACAAGTAGATATAATCAAGTTACTACACATGATCCTTCGAGCCGGATCGTCACATCGTAGTAGATACGATCAATTTATGACACGTGATCCTTCGAACCGGATCGTCACATCGTAATAGATACGATCAACTTATGATACATGATCCTTCGAGCCGGATCGTCACATCGTAGTAGATACGATCAATTTATGACACGTGATCCTTCGAGCCGGATCGTTAAATCGTAATAGATTGAATCAACATACGATACGTGATCCTTCGAACCGGATCGTCACATCGTAATAGATACGATCAACTTATGATACATGATCCTTCGAGCCGGATCGTCACATCGTAGTCAATACCATCAACTTATACGTGATCCTTCGAGCCGGATCGTCATGTAGTAGATACGATCAACTTATGATACGTGATCCTTCGAGCCGGATCGTAACACGGTTGTTTTGTTGCAGGCGCTGGCGGGCGCACGCAGCGTACACAAGTTCGACCGCGCGGCGGAGGAGACGGCGGCGTGGGTCGCGGACAAGGAGGCGGCGTGGCGCGCCGACGGGCCCGCGCCGCTGCTGGCGCCGCGCGCGCTGCACGCGCACACGCGCCGCCTGCACGCGCTGCGGGCCGACCTCACCGCCATCGGCCGCGCGCACCAACACCTGCACCAGGAGGCCGCCAGGTACCGCCCCACGCGCACACGGACCCCACGCACACTCTACTGACACCTCGAGGACCCGACTGCCACCGTCTCGTATAATCCTTAGCTCGTTTTCTTTACACACTCTACCACCGTCTTGTATAATCCGTCCTTAGGTCTTTTTTTCACACACTTACTAAACAGGGACCCCAGGGTCCCAACGACCCACCGTCTTATGTAATCCATACATACTCGCTCTACTGAGACCTCGAGGTCCCACCTACCACTGTCCAATATAATCCTTAGCTCGTATTCTTTACACACTCACTCCACAGGGACCCCAGGGTCCCAACTACCCACCGTCTTGTGTAATCCACACATACTCGCTCTACTGAGACCTCGAGGTCTCACCTACCACTGTCCAATATAATCCTTAGCTCGTATTCTTTACACACTCACTCCACAGGGACCCCAAGGTCCCATACTATCACCGTCTTGTATAATTCTTCCTTTAACTCTTATTACTTATCCCACACACACTACTGAGACCTCGAGGTCCCAACTGTCCTATGTAATCCATTCTAAGCTCTTATTATTTACACGTATACATTCTTACTTAATTAAAAACATTGACATATATAATTTATAAATATTTCATTAATACGAAATTGACATACTCATATTATTTATTTATTTATTTATTTAATTCAGGCTACATGACCCATATTATAAATACCTTATAGACTAACATACATAAGAAATAATAATCAAATATGTAAAATAAAATTGTCTCTATGGTCACGGCACTGACGACGGCAATCTGCCACGGTAGCGCCGATAGACCACCCCCTTAGTCAATATTAAGTACGTACATTATAAATAATGTACGTACTTAATATTGACTAACGAATAATAACCAAAATTGACATCTGTTTGTCTGTTGCATGTCAGAAATGACAAAATATGTGAAACTAAAGACCTTAAAAACCACATATGTACTACATTTTAAGCAATAAATATTCATTTCATTTCATTTCACGCTTACTCTACAGGGACCCCAAGGTCCCAACTACCACCGTCCTGTACAACCCGTCCTTAGCAATTATTCTCTACACACTCACTCTACAGGGACCCCAAGGTCCCATATTATATATCTCTATAGCACACACAAGAAAACCATATTCATTCAATTATATTGGTCTATATATTCTGTAAGGCGAGGTATTGCACTGCGTGATCCTTCGAGCCGGATCGTAACTATGGTTATCCTACTGGAAATGAACCTATATGTGTATATTAAGTTATTAATACAATTAATATAAATTTTTATATACCTATTATCTCGATTTTAGATTGGGCGAGGCATACCCTGACGCTAAAGAGCATGTGACAGCAAAACTAGAGGATGTAACTGAAGCTATAGAGGCGCTGACACAGCGCGCAGACCAGGCCGGCCAGCAGCTGGAGCTGGCGGAACAGCTGCAGGCGTACTTCGGGACTTACCAGGAGTTGCTGTAAGTTTGTTATGGAATTAGTTCTTATGGGTAACTACGATCATTCGATCTGTATGCCTTTGGGGTTTCAACAGCTGTCGCTGTCTGTCAGTCCCTATGTATACTTAAATCTTTAAAACTACGCAACGGATTTTGAAGCGTTTTTTTTTAATATATAGAGTGATTCAAGAGGAAAGTTTATATGTATAATACATGTACACTCGTGCGAAGCCGGGGCGAGTACTTAGTAACTTATAAAGGATTATTTACGCTTAAAAAACAAAAGTCTTTTCTATTCTACCCAAAGGTTCTTTATTCTTTATTGTTCACACACATCTATACATATAAATAAAATTGTAGAGTCTGTTTGTCATATTGAAATAACCGTTTTTTACTACATGCATATGAAGATAAATACGGTACATACACCAAAATAATGTTTTTTACCATTTTTGCTTGTCTGTTTCTTCCCGCTAATCTCTGAAAAGGCTGGACCGATTTTGACGGGACGTTTTTTGGCAGGTAGCTGATGTAATAATGAGTAACTTGGCTACTTTAACTTTATTTTTATTTAAGAATACTAATGTTAAATTCCACACGGACGAAGTCGCGTGTACAACTATTATTATTATTAAGAGTACAAATATTACAAACAGACACTCTAATTTTATTTATATGTAAAAGATGTGTAACTACAATTAATGAACAAACCGCTCTATGAGGGTGTAGGTTGGGGCCTCGAGGCCCCGTTGATAAAATGTATGGAAAATTTTGTTAATATAAAATAAAAATGTGTATGTATGTTGTTACGTAGCGCGTGGACCAACGAGATGCTGGCTCGCGTGACTGCGGGCGAGCTTGCTCGGGACGTCGCGGGCGGAGAACGGCTCCTAGCACGACACAACGACCTCCATGTAGAGATCCTCGCCAAGGACGACGCCTTCCGGACGCTGTACGCGGACGGTGAGTACCACCACCGTGCCACAATGGGGTACATTTGATAATAAGTTCAAAAAAATTGCATATAGATGGCGTGATTGGTATCGATGGAATTCTCCATAGTTTTTCAAACGTTTAAAACACAAAACTGTATTTTTAAAAATGTTTAATCTATTTTTAAAAAGTTTTATATACATGTTAAAATTAAATAATGCATTTGGAAAAGTAATTTTCATATATTTACTCATTTTGTTTTTCCAGTACTTAATTACACTTTAATCAGTGCTAATAACAGCGTGGCACAATGGGGAACATTTGATAATAATTTCTAAAAAATTGCATATAGATGGCGTGATTGGTATCGATGGAATTCTTCATGATGGTGTTTGCAAACGTTTAAAACATAAAACTGTATTTTCAAAAATGTATAATCTATTTTTAAAAAGTTTTATATACATGTTAAAATTAAATAATGCATTTAGATAAGTAATTTTCATATATTTACTCATTTTGTTTTTCCAGTACTTAATTACACTTTAATCAGTGCTAATAACAGTGTGGCACAATGGGGAACATTTGATAATAATTTCTAAAAAATTGCATATAGATGGCGTGATTGGTATCGATGGAATTCTTCATGATGGTGTTTGCAAACGTTTAAAACATAAAACTGTATTTTCAAAAATGTTTAATCTATTTTTAAAAAGTTATATATACATGTTAAAATTAAATAATGCATTTGGAAAAGTAATTTTCATATATTTACTCATTTTGTTATTTTCCAGTACTTAATTACACTTTAATCAGTGCTAATAACAGTGTGGCACAATGGGGAACATTTGATAATAATTTCTAAAAAATTGCATATAGATGGCGTGATTGGTATCGATGGAATTCTTCATGATGGTGTTTGCAAACGTTTAAAACATAAAACTGTATTTTCAAAAATGTTTAATCTATTTTTAAAAAGTTATATATACATGTTAAAATTAAATAATGCATTTGGAAAAGTAATTTTCATATATTTACTCATTTTGTTATTTTCCAGTACTTAATTACACTTTAATCAGTGCTAATAACAGTGTGGCACAATGGGGAACATTTGATAATAATTTCTAAAAAATTGCATATAGATGGCGTGATTGGTATCGATGGAATTCTTCATGATGGTGTTTGCAAACGTTTAAAACATAAAACTGTATTTTCAAAAATGTTTAATCTATTTTTAAAAAGTTTTATATACATGTTAAAATTAAATAATGCATTTAGATAAGTAATTTTCATATATTTACTCATTTTGTTTTTCCAGTACTTAATTACACTTTAATCAGTGCTAATAACAGTGTGGCACAATGGGGAACATTTGATAATAATTTCTAAAAAATTGCATATAGATGGCGTGATTGGTATCGATGGAATTCTTCATGATGGTGTTTGCAAACGTTTAAAACATAAAACTGTATTTTCAAAAATGTTTAATCTATTTTTAAAAAGTTATATATACATGTTAAAATGAAATAATGCATTTGGAAAAGTAATTTTCATATATTTACTCATTTTGTTATTTTCCAGTACTTAATTACACTTTAATCAGTGCTAATACCAGTGTGACACAATGGGGAACATTTGATAATAATTTCTAAAAAATTGCATATAGATGGCGTGATTGGTATCGATGGAATTCTTCATGATGGTGTTTGCAAACGTTTAAAACATAAAACTGTATTTTCAAAAATGTTTAATCTATTTTTAAAAAGTTATATATACATGTTAAAATGAAATATTGCATTTAGATAAGTAATTTTCATATATTTACTCATTTTGTTATTTTCCAGTACTTAATTACACTTTAATAAGTGCTAATACCAGTGTGACACAATGGGGAACATTTGATAATAATTTCTAAAAAATTGCATATAGATGGCGTGATTGGTATCGATGGAATTCTTCATGATGGTGTTTGCAAACGTTTAAAACATAAAACTGTATTTTCAAAAATGTTTAATCTATTTTTAAAAAGTTATATATACATGTTAAAATTAAATAATGCATTTGGAAAAGTAATTTTCATATATTTACTCATTTTGTTATTTTCCAGTACTTAATTACACTTTAATCAGTGGTAATAACAGTGTGGCACAATGGGGAACATTTGATAATAATTTCTAAAAAATTGCATATAGATGGCGTGATTGGTATCGATGGAATTCTTCATGATAGAGTTTGCAAACGTTTAAAACATAGAACTGTATTTTCAAAAATGTTTAATCTATTTTTAAAAAGTTATATATACATGTTAAAATTAAATAATGCATTTGGAAAAGTAATTTTCATATATTTACTCATTTTGTTATTTTCCAGTACTTAATTACACTTTAATCAGTGCTAATACCAGTGTGACACAATGGGGAACATTTGATAATAATTTCTAAAAAATTGCATATAGATGGCGTGATTGGTATCGATGGAATTCTCCATAGTTTTTCAAACGTTTAAAACACAAAACTGTATTTTTAAAAATGATTAATGTATTTTTAAAAAGTTATATATACATGTTAAAATGAAATAATGCATTTGGAAAAGTAATTTTCATATATTTACTCATTTTGTTTTTCCAGTACTTAATTACACTTTAATCAGTGCTAATAACAGTGTGGCACAATGGGGAACATTTGATAATAATTTCTAAAAAAATTGCATATAGATGGCGTGATTGGTATCGATGGAATTCTTCATGATGGAGTTTGCAAACGTTTAAAACATAGAACTGTATTTTCAAAAATGTTTAATCTATTTTTAAAAAGTTATATATACATGTTAAAATTAAATAATGCATTTGGAAAAGTAATTTTCATATATTTACTCATTTTGTTTTTCCAGTACTTAATTACACTTTAATCAGTGGTAATAACAGTGTGGCACAATGGGGAACATTTGATAATAATTTCTAAAAAATTGCATATAGATGGCGTGATTGGTATCGATGGAATTCTTCATGATGGTGTTTGCAAACGTTTAAAACATAAAACTGTATTTTCAAAAATGTTTAATCTATTTTTAAAAAGTTATATATACATGTTAAAATGAAATAATGCATTTGGAAAAGTAATTTTCATATATTTACTCATTTTGTTATTTTCCAGTACTTAATTACACTTTAATCAGTGCTAATACCAGTGTGGCACAATGGGGAACATTTGATAATAATTTCTAAAAAAATTGCATATAGATGGCGTGATTGGTATCGATGGAATTCTTCATAGTTTTGCATATTATATTATCTGTGGTACCACCTACCGTCGGACCAACTAATACATCTTAGTTTACTCACTAAACGATTACTTGAACGACGAGCGTGCATGGCAATAGTTGTTCATGCACTGGATTTTCATTTAATGTTAGACATAGACACCTATATAAATATACATCGTAAATAAACTGGCTCTTGTAAATAAACTCTTTTGAATAGATGTTTTTTTATATAAATAATTACAGTATAACAAGTAAGAGGCATGCGATAATCAACATAGAAATCGCTACGCACTCATTATTAGTGTAATCAGATAATATTGTCAGTGCTATAAATTTTAAGTTTTTCTATAAAAACATTATTATCGTTAACGAATTCTTCAATTTTATATGTATCTTGGTGCAGGTGAGAAGCTGGTCCGCGAAGGTCACTTCATGTCAGCGGAGATCGAAGAACGCATGTCAGTTCTCCGATCACGACGGCAGGCGCTCGACTCGGCCTGGTCTGCTCGGGCCACCATCTACGAACAGCACCTGGACGCGCTCGTCTTCAAGAGGGACGCTGACGCACTTGACGCCTGGATCACCAACAGGTACATATGTCTTGTTATAAAAACGACTGTTTATTTATCCGGCTCTAAGATTCTGAGCAACAGATTGCATGGATATCATATTGTGCTCACATTGAACTGCGAGCATTACCGGTTTGGTTTCAGCCGCACTAATAGGAACTTGTCCTAAACATTTCTAATTTAGGTTCTGAGAGGTAAGTCTTGGGAGTCGATAACTATTTAAGCCTATTTTGGATGCACTCTTATATATCTGTCTGTCTTACCTTTACCACTGGACTCTTACAAGAATTAATAGAAAAAGAAATAGAAATAATCTTTATTAAAATAAACTTAATATAAGCACTTTTGAATAGTATTTTTTTTTAATCTACCACTCATTCGGAATGCAGATTCATCACAAGAAGAATAAGCAAGATACTTGTATGTTGCTTTTTTAAATAAATATTGATTTACTTATATTTAATTAACAACAAGGATTAGGCATGCGACAATCAACATAGAAACCGCTACGCACTTGATATCTGTTCAATCAGATAACATTGTCAGCGCTATGAATTTTATGTTAGATATTTTGTACAGAAACATTATTATAATTTATAAATTCTTCCATTTTATAACAAGCTTTTTTACAAAGAAAATATTTTATGACACATTTGAATTTTTTTTCTAATAAATTGAGTACAGACTCTGGGAGTTTGTTGTAAAACCTTACGCAATTTCCATAAAATGAATTACTAACTAATGATCTGATCTGGTTGTCAGGGTGCCATTGGTCCGCGACGGCAAGTTCGGAGACAGCGTCTCCCAGGTGGAGGAACTCATTAACAAGCACCGCGACCTCGAAGAGACCATAGAATCACAAAAGGACAAGTTCAACGCACTCAAACGGATCACACTGGTCAGTATTGCTGTATCACTACATAGTATAAAACAAACTCGCGGTCGCTGTCTGTCCCTATGTATGCTTAAATCTTTAAAACTACGCAACGGATTTTGAAGCGGTTTTTTTTAACAGATAGAGTGATTCAAGAGGAATGTTTATATGTATAATACATGTACAGCCATGCGAAGCCGGGGCGAGTAGCTAGTCTTATATATAAAATTCTCGTGTCACAATGTCAGTTACCATACTCCTCCGAAAAGGCTTGACCGATTTTTATGAAATTTTATATTCATATTCGGTAGGTCTGAGAATCGGCTACCATCTATTTATTAAGTGTTAAAATAAATATTAGGGGGTGGACAACCCTTAAGTGATAGGGGTTGTCCACCTCCCAATATTATTATTGGTTGTATCACGTGCGCGATGCTGACGTTTAAGAAACCTGAATATACCCCTTTTTGAACAAGCCCATGCTGTAGTCTCGTGAGAAAACCTCGGCAGGTAGTTCATTCCACAATGTAAGTGTACGCGGGAGGAAGCTCCTCTGAAACCGCACTGTCCGAGACCACTTAGGTTCCAGCGTGTGATGAATTCCCTGTCGATGGCGAGCGGTGCGATGGTAAAAGGTAGCCGTGGACCATGTCGAACAATTCTTCAGAACATAGTATATATGATTGAACCTGTACCTAATGTGTTGATACAGGTGGAGAAAGCGTTCCAAGCACAGAAGGACGAGGAGGCTGAGGCCCGCAGGAGGTCGGCCGAGCGGCAGGAGGCCGAGCGCCTGGAGCTGGTGCGGCGACGAGAGGTGCAGCGCCTCGCGGACCAGCGCCGCAGGGAGGCGCCCGGACAGCCGCGGGAGGTGAGGGGGCGGGGGGGACCGGATGGGGATCTAGGGGGGCGGCCGAACGGCTGGAGCTGGTACAGCGGCTCCCAAACCAGAGAGCAGAGAGTTGTTCGACCACCCGCGGTGAAGGGGACCAGAGGGCGAGGGGGGCGGCTGATTGGCTGGTGCAGCAGCTCGCAGATCAGAGCCACAGAGTGGCGTCCGGCCCGCTATGGGAGATGAAGGGGGACGTGGGTTCGAGGGGGGCGACCGAGCGGCTGGAGCTGGATACATTTGTATTCCTTAAGTGTAGTGTAGTTGTATTTAAGTGTTTGTATCAGTTGTCTAGTACCCATAACACAAGCTGTGCTTAGTTTTGGACTAGATGGCGTTGTGTGAATTGTTCAGAAATCTTGTCTATGCTATTTGTACAACTCGTGGTGTGTGTGTGCAGGCGGAGACCCCGCAGCCCGCAGCGCAGTCCCCGGCGGCGGCGCAGCCCGAGCGCGCGGCTCGGCATGACGTCAAACGCGCAGAGAGCATGAGCGTGAGTATTCACCACTCAATAGATGTAGTTACTTATAGCAATCGAGTGGTAAGCAATCACACGTCAAAATACCTCTATTCATGTAGGTCTATTACAGACTCTTATGATATATCAAATCTACCGTCAGTTCGGAATGATTTCGAGATGAGAAGAACTGACACGAAACTCAATTCCTATTCTTTTTAAATGAACTTGTACATGATTACAAAAATACAGATTAATAATTTTATATTTTGAGGGAAAGTTGTAGAAAGTCATTCGTTGTCATGGATATATTCATATCCTAGAAGATGTTTTTATCTTTTTATACTTAATTGTGTATATAACTGTATTTTATATTAGAGGAAAAATAAAGAGTTTCATTCATTCATTCAAATGAATGCATGAATGCATATACTTCCTTGCAGCTTTTTCGACACCAAGGTGTATATACTAAAAGTACTTAAAAACGCGAAATTCAAGATGGCGGCCGAGTTAGACTACCTTATCCTTGCTGACAATTTTAGGGACATTAATTAAATCTCATTTTTGGTAACCCTATGTATAATAATGTTGACAGGTGATGAAGACACCGAAACGGACGCCGTCGTTCACAACGCGCCGCCGCACGCAGAGCTTCCGGCGGCATCGCGCCGACGTCGACAAACTCCCACCCGTGGAGATCGAAGGTGAATAATACTTTTTACCGAACATAAAACGTATAGTGTAATAGTTTCTTTATCGATATAGATGTTTTAATTTTGCTTCACCTGATTGGAAACCCTGGTCAACTCTCCGTCTTGAAAATAAAGCACTCCCCGACTTGAAATTGAAGCACTAACCGACTGGAAGTAAAGCACTCTCCGTCTTGAAAATAAAGCACTCCCCGACTTGAAATTGAAGCACTAACCGACTGGAAGTAAAGCACTCTCCGTCTTGACAATCAACCACTCCCCGACTTGAATTTGAACCACTCCCCGTCTTGAAATTGAACCACTCCCCGTCTTGAAAATAGAGCACTCCCCGACTTGAATTTGAACCACTCCCCGTCTTGAAATTGAACCACTCCCCGTCTTGAAATTGAACCACTCCCCGTCTTGAAAATAGAGCACTCCCCGACTTGAATTTGAACCACTCCCCGTCTTGAAATTGAACCACTCCCCGTCTTGAAATTGAACCACTCCCCGTCTTGAAAATAGAGCACTCCCCGACTTGAAATTGAAGCACTAACCGACTGGAAGTAAAGCACTCTCCGACTTGAAAATAAACACTCTCCATCCTGAAAATAAAGCACTTACCGTCTTGAAAATAAAGCACTCTCCGACTTGAAAATAAACACTCCCCGTCTTGAAAATAAACACTCTCCGTCTTGAAAATAAAGCACTTACCGTCTTAAAAATAAAGCACTCCCGTCTTGAAAATAAAGCACTCCCCGACTTGAAATTGAAGCACTCCCCGTCTTGAAAATAGAGCACTCGCCGTCTTGAAAATAAACACTCTCCATCCTGAAAATAAAGCACTTACCGTCTTAAAAATAAAGCACTCCCGTCTTGAAAATAAAGCACTCTCCGACTTGAAAATAAACACTCCCCGTCTTGAAAATAAAGCACTCCCCGTCTTGAAAATAAAGCACTCCCCAACTTGAAAATAAACACTCCCCGTCTTGAAAATAAACACTCCCCGTCTTGAAAATAAAGCACTCCCCGTCTTGAAAATAAAGCACTCCCCAACTTGAAAATAAACACTCCCCGTCTTGAAAATAAACACTCCCCGTCTTGAAAATAAAGCACTCCCCGACTTGAAAATAAACACTCCCCGTCTTGAAAATAAAGCACTCCCCGACTTGAAAATAAACACTCCCCGTCTTGAAAATAAACACTCCCCGTCTTGAAAATAAAGCACTCCCCGACTTGAAATTGAAGCACTCCCCGTCTTGAAAATAGAGCACTCGCCGTATTAAAAATAAAGCACTCCCGTCTTGAAATTGAAGCACTCTCCGACTGGAAGTAAAGCACTCTCCGTCTTGAAAATAAAGCACTCCCAACTTGAAAATGAACCACTCCACGACTTGAAAATGAACCACTCCCCGTCTTGAAAATAAACACTCCCCGTCTTGAAAATGAACCACTCCCCGACTTGACAATAAAGCACTCCCCGTCTTGAAAATAAACACTCCCCGTCTTGAAAATAAACACTCCCCGTCTTGAAAATAAAGCACTCCGTCTTGTAAATAAAGCACTCCCCATCTTGGAAAAAAAATAACGTCGTATTTTGTTCTGCAGGGTACTTGGAACGCAAGCAGGAGGCAGGCTGCGGCGGCAAGCGGGCGACCGTGAGGTCGTGGCGCGGGTACTACTCCGTGCTGTGCGGGCAGCTGCTCTGCTTCTTCAAGGATGAAACAGACTTCGCCAACGCCAAGGCGGCAGCACCGCCTGTGGCTATGCTCAACGTCAGTAACATGTTTCAGTTATAATAAACGAGCTGTGCCTGCGACTTCGTCCGCGTGGAATAGTTACCTTGGATATTTTTAATTATTTAGGCTAATTGTAAAAAGCCAAAGAAAAAGGTTTTATTGGTCTGACTGATTGACAGTATTTTTTACATAAATAAATAATATCTCATATATAAATGCGAAAAGTACTGTCACATTTATAATATTAATATCCTCCCTCTAGGAGTGGTATACTCCCTCCAGGAGGGCTTCAGGAGTCATACTCCCTCCCGGAGGGGGTTGCAGTATATTGATTTTACTATTTTTTGCGTTCACTCTTTAAGTTTACATTTAAATTAAAACTGTTATCCTTGCTTTGGGAAGGAACTGACTCCTAATATACAGCTCACGCTAGTTAGGGAATTAGACTTAAATCTATACTTATAATAAATCTGTAGAGAGGTCAATTCTGTACATGAAATATATTTCAACGACTAAGTGTGTTTAAGCCGATTGTCCCGGAATGGGAGCGAAGTGCGTAGAATGAGTCTGTCTTAGATTGTATGAAAGGAGACTCGTGTTATGGATGTCCTTTTAAAGTAGCTACAAGATGACGGATATCTATCTAACAATAACATGTTTTATGTCTCTGTTCTGTTCATACTTTTATATACGGATTGCTTCGTCATTGTTTCTCTTATATATATCAGGGGGTGATCAGTAATCGATACTGATGCCGAAAATGCAATCAGTAAAATTTTCGTCTGTCTGTCTGTATGTTCGTTATAGAAACAAAAACCACTCGACGGATCTTAACGAAACTTGGTACAATTATTCTTCATACTCCCGAGCAGGTTATAGTATACTTTTCATCACGTTACGATCAATAGGAGCAGAGCAGTGAGGAAATGTTAGGAATACACATCAAACCCACTGAACCGTGAGGAAACGCAGACGAAGTCGCAGGCAACAGCTAGTATATAAATAAAACTATCGCGTATCATTGCCATGTTTTGTGCCATTTCATTAGCTATATTTTATTTTTTTATTCCATAGAATTTATTTTCCAAAGACAAATCTGTTTTCAGGCTCGCTGCGAGAAAGCCAGTGATTACACAAAACGCGCCAACGTCTTCCGACTGGTGTGTGCTGACGGTGCTGAGTACCTCTTCGCCTGCAGCTCCAAGCAACTGATGGAGGAGTGGGTGGCCAAGCTGGCCTTCCACGCGCAACTGCCTCCGGAGTTGCAGCTGACGCCGTACACACCAGCTTCCGAGTCTCCAACTGCTGAATTGAAGAGGCGACTCCATGAGTAAGTGTCTATCAATTTGCTTGGTGTTCAAGGTTTATGGATGCCTAACATCAGGCAAGACCTTGTTGGTTTGACGTATGATTCTATTTATCGGTATTTAAAATTTGACCAACGGTTTCTCCAACGAAAGTCAAGTTATTTAAAATGTGACTATACAGATATTGTCAAAAACCTGAGCAATTACCACATGCATTACAACGAAGCATAAAAATATATAGTGTAATGGTTTCTTAGGCCAAAATTTATATATTTTTATTTTAATTACACCACGTGGTTATAAACCCTGGTCGACTACCACATTCTAATTATGAGCGATGCTCTTCAGAAATGCCTCATCATCATCGTCAGCAGCGTCATCACCGGAGCCTCGTCACAAGCCACGGACACAAGCAGAAATCTTACAAGAACATAGAAATAGTCAGAAGAGAGCGAGTGTCACCCCCGAAAAGAACGAAAGGAATATCGGTAAGCTTCTAAACTATGAAAATTTCACGTCACTTTTTTTTGATGTCCTCCGAAACAGATTAACCGATTTTTATGAAGTTTTCGATGTATCTTTGGTAGATCTTAGAATAGGTCATAGCCTACATCTTGTACCCCCAAATAATAAGGCCCTATTCAGAAATTATTGAGCAAAACTGTAGGTTATATGTCTGTCTGTCTGTTTGTTCCGGGTAATCTTTAAAATAGCCCGACCGGTTATGACGGACCCTTTTTTGGCAGGTAGCTGATGTAATAAGGAGTAACATAGGATACTTTTATTTTAGAGAAATTCTTATAATTTAGAAAAATAAATTTAAATTCCACGCGGACGAAGTCGCGTGTACAGCTAATTTAGCAATATAAAAAACAATAATTTAATGATAATTCTCAAATAAATTAAAAAAAAACTCACAAATAGAAACAGCTCGGCAAAATCTGCAGATTGTTGTTAATCTTAATTTTGCCATGTGTTACGAGCTTACTCTGTACTCAAAATGATTTAATTACTCTGTGCAGAGTCGACGGTGCTTCCATCATTGCCGCCCAGAGAGTCGTGGCATGAAGAAACGACTGATGTCCTACTCAGGTAACTTAACTTATATTTGATAGCCTCTGTGGCAGGGGCGGATCTACCTAAGGGCTTTTTGGGCTGCTGCCCAGGGCCTCGAGGATACAAGGGGCTCCCAGTCCCCACTGAAACGATATTTAGAATATAAAAAATATCTAAGGTTGGCAACCCTGAGATCAATCAACCAATGCAAGTGCGCGTCTATCGAAAGGAACGGGGAATTTCTGGTCGCTTGTTTTTGGTCGGTGTATTTTTTTAGTTGAGTAATATAATTAGGTAGGACCCTAAGTAGATTTAGCCCTGGGCCCCACAAATTCACGATCCGCCCCTGCTCAGTGGTCTATTGGTTTACTATCCGATGGTCGCTGGGTCGATTCCTCGCACGGTACAAACATTTGTATTCATGAGTATGATTGTTTGTATCGGTCTGGGTGTTTTCTATGTATAATATGTATTTACTTACAAAAAAAATGTATCCCTGTATTATATCAGTTGTCTAGTACCCATAAGACAAGCTCTGCTTAGCTTGGGACTAGATGGCGCTGTGTTAATTGTCCTAACATATTTTTTTATATTACGATGGTGGCAAGCAAATGTACGGCCCATCTGATGGTAAACGTAGCCTATGGACGCCTGAGACACCAGGAGTATCACGCGTTGCCGACTTAAGAAACCTTAATATACCCTTCTTGAAAAACCCCATGCTGTAGTCTCTAGAAAAAACCTCGGCAGGTAGTTCATTCCACAATGTAAGTGTACGCGGGAGGAAGCTCCTCTGAAACCGCACTGTCCGAGACCACCTAGGTTCCAGCGTGTGATGAATTCCCTGTCGATGGCGAGCGGTGCGATGGTAAAAGGTAGCCGTGGGCATCATGTCAGATGATCGCCATTGTGTGGTGATAATTATTATGATTATTAATTAAAACTTACACGAATAGGGAATCGAACAGCAGACAATTGTAAGGGGAATGTGGTCTTTTTCGGACTACTCTAATGCTGTTGTCAGCAGCTGGCCTTTACAGCTTCACCGGACGATAGGGGGCGAGTGCAGATGGCACTCAAAACCAAAGGAAGGACTTATGGAGCGGCTGAAGGCCAACTCCCGCCTGACGGACACGATATTACTCTGAGGGCACCACTAGGGGTTCGAACCTCGGTTCAGGCTGTCGTAATTTCGATCCCCGTTTGAATTGGACGAGGGTTCGATGGGAGGAGAAGTATGTGGTTATTATTGCCATCATCTAAAATAGAAATGTTATTTCCAGCATGAAAGTGGATTCCCTAGCGACGACCTCGGTGGTCTACCGGTCAAGCACACCGCTTTACGACCGATGGTCGCGGGTTCGATTCCTCGCGCGGCACAAACATTTGTATTCATGAGTATGATTGTTTGTATCGGTCTGGGTGTTTTCTATGTATAATATGTATGTATTTACAAAAAAAAAATATCTATGTATATGTATCAGTTATCTAGTACCCATAACACAAGCTCTAGCTAGCTTAACTTGGGTCTAGATGGCGCTGTGTGAATTGTACTGAGATTATTATTATTATTCCCTAATTGTTGTTACTTACAGGAATTCAGAACCGGCCGGCGGCTGGGGTCGCTCCCGGTTCTCCAATGGACGTGATCTTAGTATAGAGTTCATTCGGTCACAGCGAGACGGTCAGTACCCTGTTTATACTCATATAAATCATACAAGAAGATACAGCAATCTACTTTTTTTTTATGGATGATAATGGAATAGTACACCTGCGCTAACGGTTTACGCTGGCGGGGCACCAGTGGGGGTTGATAAGATGAATGTCAGGTCAGTTAGCACATCGTAGCAAATTCAGCAGGAATTTATCACGATGGTTTCCAGGGTGAACCGCGTGGAGGTCAACCTGACATGGTACATTGCTAGTAATGGGGTTGTTAGTCCACATTACTACTAGAGTAATTAAATAACTACCCTTCTACTACCCTTCACCCCACTTCAATCTACTATTAGTGATAACAGAAAAAATATCTACTATATATAGAGCAAATCAATTCAAAATATCTTTATTCATGTAGGTCTATTACAGACTCTTATGATATGTCAAATATACTGTTAGTTCGGAATGATTTCGAGATGAGAAGAACTGACAAGAAACTCAGCTATTCTTTTCAAATGAGCTTGTACAGGTCCTCTGTATAGGTCGTTTTTTAATTAGTTAGAATTGAATGATAATGAATGATGAACGAAATTGAATTACAATTTTAATTAAGTAAAAACAAAAATAAATTAAAAATTACATTTTCTCTACAATATTACTTTAGTTAGATATAATTGAATGATATTGAATGAATGAATGATGAACGAGATTGAATTACAATATTGACCTGTTCGCATGCATGTGTCGTGACGTCGCTTGTATGTTTGTATGTCCGCATGTCACTTGATCAAAATATATATAGATATATAAATTGTTTTGTTTCATAATATTATAATGTTTATATGATTTATGTATTAACTAGCTGACCCGCGCTTCTTCGTCTGACTGTGAAACGGCTTAACCGATTGTGATGAAATTTTATGTATGTATAGATTTGAGAATACGTTATTAACTATTTCTATACCCCTAAGTGATACTAATGGCCCACTACATTTTTTTATTGAACTAACTTATTTATTTTATTTTCTTTATGGTTCGACATTAAAAAATACAGACAACCATACATTTTTACCCTTCTACAATCATCCCCTATTATTTAATAGCGATATTAATTTATGTAGAAAAACAACATTTCCCGGGTCAGCTAGTTTACAATATTACAAAATAAATAAAAAATATTAATATGACTTATATTATAATTTAATTAAATTTAATAACAAAATTATACATAAATCATGTAAGCATAGTGTTAAGTTTTGAAATCCCATGATTAGCCGACAGCGGAGCCCCACCGTTACCTCTATCGGGGCCTCCGGACCGACCCCCAGTTGTGCCAGACCGACCACCGACATCAGATCGCGCGCCAGCTCTCCCCGAAAGAGCACCAATTAATGAAAGAGGCCACTCCGTCCCCGAAAGAGGGCCATCCATCCCTGAAAGGGGCCAGTCAATCCCCGAAAGGGGCCAGTCAATCCCCGAAAGAGGGCCATCCGTCCCCGAAAGGGGCCAGTCTATCCCCGAACGCTACGACCGTGCCCAACCTGAGAAGCAATCAGTCACGGCTCTGGTAAACAGCTACCAGCAGAGGATGACCACCAGTTACCAGGGGAGGGATGGCAACAGGAACATACAGTACGAAAGACCCAATAACAACTGGCAGAATGTGGAAACGACATCGCATTTTTACTCAGCAAGCGAGCTCGGTCAGTTTAGAGGCGCTAAAAGTTTTGCTTGTTTGACTTTCTTGCTGTAGAACTTCCTCTTATAACATCTTTCTAAAGCAATTAATATGTATATATATACAATATTTAGTTATATTACCAACTAGCTGTACCCGCGACTTCGTCCGCGTGGAATTTAACTTTATGTTTCTAAAATAAAAGTAGCCTAAGTTACTCCTTATTACATCAGCTATCTGCTAAAAAAACTCCCGTCAAAATCGCTCCAGCCATTTCAGAGAGTAGCCGGAACGAACAGATAAGACAGACAGAAATTGTAAAAAATGTTATTTTGGTGTATGTACCGTATTTATATTCATATGCATGTAGTAAAAAACAGTTATTTCAATATTACAAACAGAGACTCCAATTTTATTTGTGGCAGTGAAATTATAGAGTTAGTTAATTATATTCCTCGGGAATGAGTGTATGAGTGGTATCACGTCTTCACGTGATAACGTGATGTCCGTAGTTCTGTTCTTGTATATAGGCGACGGTTACATCTTAAGATCAAACCAGTTCATTTGTAGCCTCATCCAAATTCGAATTTACAACCCTTCGAGTGTATGAACCGGGACAGTAAAGTACTAAATCAAAGAATATATAAATACTTAAAAAAAAACAAATAGATTAGCCTAATATAGATCTGTATCTTTTTCCTATATTTCTATAGCACAGTTTGTTAAGAGTTTCCCATGCAAAAACAGTCAAAGGATAATTCAGTCAGTAAATTCTATTTTTGAATTATGAATCTTAAAATTAGATTTAATTAATTTGGTCAGTAAGTTCTAATTCTATTTTAGAATTTAAAATCTTAAAATTAAGATTTATTTATTACAAGAATTTACTTTACTGAACTGAGGCCTCAATTTGTACTCTTATGAGGTATAACTTTGTTTGTAAACTGATTGTATTAAAACTTATTTAACTGAAACTTACATATAATATCTTCCATGAATAGAAAAACATTAGTTACATTTGTATTATATGTAATATTAGCTATTCCCGCGACTTTGTCCGCGTGGAATGTAACTTTATTTTTCTAAAATAAAAGTAGCCTAAGTTATTTCGTATTACATCAGCTACCTGCCAATAAAAGTCCCGTCAAAATCGGCCCAGCCATTTCAGAGATTAGCCGGAACAAACAGACAGACAGACAAAAATTGTAAAAAATGTTATTTTGGTACCGTATATGCATGTAGTAAAAAGCGGTTATTTCAATATTACAAACTGACGCTCCAATTTTGGTTATATGTATAGATTAGATAATAATATGTAATTAAATATTAGTAAATATAGAATCTTCGTGTATTTTGTGTGGGAAACTCTATGTTTGAACAGAACATGCTTCTCTTCTATATACCTCTGTCTTGTGCTTAATTTGCATACATTATATATTTCTTTTCCTTTTATATAGATCTAAATATTGTTAATTTGGTTATAACACAAAAAAAATGGAATATGTTTGTACACATGAGTATGTTTAAAATTAGAAATGTTTATTAGTGAAGTACAGGTTTTTAAGGTTTTTTTTTAACATAATAATAAAAATAAATGTTTCACTTGATTCTGCGATTGGCTATTAATAATAATAATAATAATCTCAAGACAATTCACACAGCGCCATCTAGACCCAAGTTAAGCTAGCTAAAGCTTGTGTTATGGGTACTAGACAACTGATACAAATACATAGATAATTTTTTTTCGTAAATACATACATATTATACATAGAAAACAGCCAGACCGATATAAACAATCATACTATGAATACAAATGTTTGTGCCGTGCGAGGAATCGAACCAGCGACCGTCGGACGTAAAGCGGTGTGCTAGACCGCTAGACCACCAAGGCCGTCATAATAATAAATCTATTTATTGCCAATATTAGTTTCGTAATATAGTTACACAGTTATACATATTTATTATGATTGGCAAAAGGTACAAACTCAGCTATTGCTGGAGTCATGGGATTCCAGCGTTGGTTTTCAGTTTGTACGTACGCGGGCGTACCTAGTCGCCCAAGAGCCCACGACGGCCAGACATACGTCATATTAGTAAACGTGAAAGTTGTTGTATGTGTGTCCCCAACACAGGTGAGAACGATCCCCAAACATGAAACCTGGATCGTGGTTCCTTTGGCAGGTACCAGGTAACAAAGGTGTAAAAAATTTCATATCAATTTCGTTATTTTAAGAAACTCCATATTTTCATATATTGTTCGTAGCATTATTATAACTTGCGCTGCTCGTTGCCAGACACTTAGTGTGGTTCCAACCCCCCGCCGGACCCCCTAAACTATACTATTTTAGAAATAAACTTACGTCATTTTAATAAAGCTGAACTTTATTAAAATGACGTAAGTTTATTTATAGAGGTTATTTTAGAGGGATTTATTTTTAGAGGGAACTATTATACCGAGTTTCCCAAATTGCCAGACAGTTTTCTTGGTTCTTCATCCTACCAGACTCCTACAGAAGTTATAATACTGTTACGATTAATATGCGAAAAAATGGATCATCTTAAAATAACGAATTTCATATGAAATTGTATACGCCGTTGTTACCCAATATACGGTTTCAATGAATCTGGTAGTATGATGCATGATCACAAATTATATTAAAGTATTAAGATATGTGGGTCGCATACATACTAAACGCATACAAACTAATATATTTTCTACTTATAATTATGATGGTGTATATGTAGTGGGTTGAATGAAAATTATCATTTGACTTTGTATTTTTTTTTTAATTTTGTTTATGTAATTGGAAGGCGATTGTTACCATTTACCATCAGACGGGCGAAAGAAAACATGTGTACAAACATACCGTGAAATCTTTCATTTTTATTTATATACAGTTTTTATTATCATTTTATTTAATTTAGTTATTTTTAGACTTTATCATTTATTATTTAGTAATGAAAATCTAATTTTGACTGTTGCAATATTTTGTTTTACTCTTTCAAAGTTAAGTAATATTACTTAACTTTGAATTCTATAATTAAAATCTTTTTATCTTTCTAGAGAGATTTTAATTATAGAATTTAAGTTTAAGAATTCTAAAATTTAAGTCATATAATTCTTTATTTGTGCGGCTCTCAGGATCGAGTCATCTTCTGTATGTACTACATCGAGTTCAATGTACGATTATATATTATTACTGTATAATAATTTATGTGTTTACCTGTCGCTATATGTTGTTTTGTGGCTTTGCTTGTGTTTTGGATGCTCTTGTTTAATGTTCGAAGAAGAAAAACATTACTTTTAATTGTTTTAGGGCAGTTTAGTCGCTTGTAAACATGAAGTTCTGTTATTCATATTTTTCCCTATTCTATTAATATTACAATATTATTTTCATATATTTAGAACTAGCTGTGACGGCGACTTCACTCGTATGGAGCAGACTTTGTGCGGCATTTTTCATTATTTGTGCTATATATTTTCATCCCTCATTTCAACCTCTTATAATCCTTTTTTAACATTAGAAACTAGCCTATCTCCTTTCTCAAGCTCTAGATTATCTCTGTATTAAAGTAATTTAAGTCTGTTCAATAGATACAAGTTACATTTACAATATAACTAGTAGGAAAGTGGGGATTTGTGATCGCAAGTAAAAATGTATTTTCTAATGTAAAACTAGTATGTTTTTCTTCTTTGGTCGTATTTTATAGACATAATATCGCTTGCTTACAACTACTGTCTTATTTTTCAGAAAAAAATCATGTTATATTTTGTAAGAAATGTAAATAATTTTATTTTGAGTTTAAAAACGAGGTACCTTTGGAATTAGCCGTACAATCAATGTTAATATGAATTGTAAACGATATTTAGAAATAAAACATACATTTACGGATATTGTCTTGGATGGGGTAGATAGAGGCATTGTCAACTGCCGGTGTCATGATGGACAGAACACATGACACACCGAGTATATATATGTGGGACCAAGGGTATTCAAAACGAAAATCCTTTTGTCCGTATCACTATCTGTATATTTTAAACTTTTCTTACAATTATTCAAATATATTAAATTACATTGTTGACCATATATTTAGAACACCTTAGCCGGAATGCCATGTAATCTCCTGTATCTAATCTAGACACGCGGGAAAGCGTCAAAGCCGAGTTCAAGTAAGAGAATTAGATTTTCTATACCTCAATCCTACTCATTCACTCTCATACAGCATATGTTCCATTACAACAAATATTTCCTACATATATATCGGTTTATTTTAATTTAACTTTATAAGTAGTAGTCCACCGCCTCATATTCGTTTGTTAACTATGTTTTTGTCCAAAGAGTATATCATTACATACTCGTAGTATAAAACAAAGTCGCTATCGCTGTCTGTCCGTCCCTATGTATGCTTAAATCTTTAAAACTAGGCAACGGATTTTGAAACGGTTTTTTTAAATAGATAGAGTAATTCAAGAGGAAGGTTTATATATATAATACATATACACCTGTGCGAGTAGCTAGTATAACATAAATTGACACAAGGTTTTTTTTTGTGTATGTTGATTTGAATTCGTGATCGTTAAGTTTGAAGTCGTGTAGTAAACCACTATGTCACTTAAATAGAATAAATAGATTTTATGTAAAGGTTCAATTTAGTCGTAAGCAAGCGCTATATTTAATCACTATTTTCTTTCAGCTTTTTAATATTAATTTCTATATTTTTAATGAATTCTTTTGCTTTATACAGTTTTGTAAGTTATGGGTATGCTTCTGTAGTTGTACTGTTTTGTTTTTTGTGTGACTGTCCTATCGCTTTTGTGTGGTTTGGTTTTTGGGATTTAAGTACAATATTTATTAATCGTAGTATATGTATGTAATTTTAAATTAAATATAAACAGAATACATTCAAATGGATTGTTTGGCTTCTAATATTCAATATTACTTTAAATTTTAATAGAAGTCACACATTCTTATTGTATTGATTCTGTAGTAGAATGTATTTTTGAATGACATATATTTATTGTCACTTCGGCATAAGAATCAAATAATGTTTTGTACAAAACTGCTTTATGAATGTAGAGATTTCTATTCTATATTTAAAATCATTTGAATGTATTGTATTTTGAATTATATAATTGTATTTCCGCAAAATAATACAATATACAATTAAATTTTGATTTATTCCAATGCATTGAATTTTAAGTTAAATAATTCTATTTTAGTAATATTATTCTAAATAATATTAAACTTTAAATTATTTTATTACATTGAATTTTAAGTCAAATAATTCTAAATTAATAAAATTATTCTAAATAATATAAAAGTTACAATTATCCGACTTATGTAAGAATTATTTAACTTAAAATTCAGTGTGCTGATATTGAATTTTAAGTTAAATGATTCTAAATTAGTCCAATGATTTTAGAATAATTTAGAATTAATTCTAATTGTTTATTTTAATGTTACAGCGTACGCCAACAACAGTGGTACGAGGCCCGCCTCCGTTGCAGGTAGCGGGGGATCTCCGGCGCTGGACCAGAGACCAGCATCCAGGTAAGATTAGAACAGTAGGTGACCTACCTTAGTAGGTTACCACTTACCACCCTACTACTTCTTTTTGCCACACACAACCACATTGTTGAATCACCTTCGAGCAATAATATTTCCGAATTAATACGATATTGAAACCTTCAAGAAAAGAGCTTATTCCGTTTTAAAAGGCCGACAACGTACTTGCGTTTCCCTGGTGATGCGGGTGTCATAGGCGGTGGTAATCACTTACCATCAGACGAGCCGCATACCGTCAGCGTTCCAATTTTATGATTACACATTTTTTATGCACTGTTAATGTCAAATAAGCTGACGGTATTGATGGTAAATGGTAACTTATATGCACCACTTGTACTTTTAATGTACATAAACACCCAAAGTATTAACCGGTAGTCTAATGGTTCAGTTCCGACTCGCGGGTTCGATTCCTTGCATATATTGGTATTCATGAGTATGATTGTTTATATCCGTCTGGGTGTTTACTTTGTATATTATGTATATATTTACAAAAAAAAATCTATGTATTTATATAAGTTGTCTATTACCCATAACACAAGCTTTAGCTCGCTTAACGTGGGTGTAGATGGCGCTGTGTGAATTGTCCTGAGATTATGATGAATTTGTTAAAAAAATATGTACTTATATGCTTAAATTGAGTCTAGATGGCGCTGTGTGAATTGTCCTGAGATTACTATAAATTAAAAAAATATATATACTTTAATAATAAAACATCTATTAAAAAGAGCAACACACAAGTTTCTTGCTCATTCTTCTTGTGATGAATCTGCATTCCGAATGAGTGGTAGAATCAAAATATGACTATTCAAAAGTGCTTGTAATGAGTTTATTTGAATAAAGATTATTTCTATTTCTATTTCTATTTATGTATTTATATCAGTTGTCTAGTACCCATAACACAAGCTCTGCTTAGCTTGCCTACAAACATTCTTAAAAATTATTTCTTATTTTCCTCTTTTAGATCCTCTGGCGAATCGGAACTGTCCGTGAGCGGAGTTACGAAGGAGAAGAAAGACAAAAAAGGTGTATTCGGCGGGCTGTTCAGTCGCAAGAAACGGCCACAGAGTCATATGTAGAGTCATAAAGTATCACAGAGTCGTAAGTGAACACGTTAGACCTAAGACGTAAAAATAACACTCATCATAAAAAATTCATTTTAGGAAACGCGCCCACGTGACTCCTTCACCCCCTCCCCTTCGCTTCTAACCTTCCCCTCCCCGCTGAGCTACATTTAGTTAAGTTTGTTATTTTTAACAAACTCGTAAAATCATGCGGATTCATTTTAGGAAACGCGTCCACGTGATCCGTTATAGATTTGTCCTGTTTTATAATTTTATCTTGTTGCATATTTTGAGGTTTTAACACAGTTCAGTTATACAATAATGGCATTGATAATAGAAATAAAAATTATAAACGTTACCATAATGGTACTGAAACGATATTAATGCAATTTGGTACACAGATAGATATTGGTATAAAGTAGCTCAGTGTCCCTGTTAAGACACATAAGCTACTTTGTAATGCTAAAAACGGCTCTAGGGGTTTGAAAGGGGAATGAATTTTTTTATGAAAATTCGTCGTGTATACCCAATACCGTATTTACCATAAGGGCACACGGGGCCCGTGACCAGGGCCCCCATTCTCAGGGCCCTGAATGTCTGTCACTTTTTCTCACACATTTATTCTCAAAAGATTTATGTCGGGCACACTACACGTTTGTCACAAATCAGTAATGTTATCAGAAGGTATTTACAAGGCATATACTACGCCATTATACCGAGTACTTCGCATATTCCTATGTTCTTACCTAATGAGCTTTTGTTTACTTTCCAAAAGGGCCCCGAATTCTTGTGTGCCCAAGGGCCCCAGCCTAGTTTAAGACGGCGGTGAGTGTACCACGTGGACGAAGCTTATTTACTGTAACATGTTTAAAACTGTAATATATCTTAATTAACCGAATCATTATTAACCGAATACAATATTATTGAATAGTTAATTCTAAACATTAATATTTATTATATAAATATATATATTCTCGTCATCAAATCCAATATAAAAAAAAACTGTTTTTTTGACAGTCAATTGAAATTATTATATAGTTTTGCGTCGGTTAGTCATTTTACTCATTGTATAATTTATATACGTTTAATATATAAGTGATACATTCCTGTTGGTTTGTTTATAGTCACAAATTGATTTAAGATATTCGGGACCAATCCTCTTGTAACTTACTGACTGAGAAACATTTCAAGTTGATCATACAACTAAGTAGTGTCTTTATTAGTGCCTTATATATGAGAATTGATGGTTATTATTAAATTTTTATATTCACTTACTGTTTATACATTATTACTAGTAATATTTTTATAAATATAATGTTTGTGTGTATCATAAATTACGTAAATTTGAAGAAAATAATAGTATTATTTCGTATCTAAAATTATATTTTAATATACATTATATTTTGTATATTTTATATCATATTATAAGCCAATTTTGACATCAACGATATATGTATAGGATATATATACACAGGGGCGGATCGTGAATTTGTGGGGCCCCGGGCTAAATTTACCTAATTATATTACTCAACTAAAAAAATACACCGACCAAAAACAAGCGACCAGAAATTCCCCGTTTCTTTCAATAGACGCGCGCTTGCATGAGTTAATTGATCTCAGGGTTGCCAACCTTATGATAGGTTTTTTTAACATTCTAGATATCGTTTCAGTGGGGACTGGGAGCCCTTTGTATCCTCGGGAGCCTGGGCTGCAGCCCAAAAAGCCCTTAGATAGATCCGCCCCTGATTATATATATAATAAATCAAAATTAAAAATCATTTATTCATGTAGAACATTTCGTCGATAGCCGCTTATGAACGTTAAGTTTTTTGTATTAATATTTTTTCCCTACCGTCCAGTTCAGTATACAGACTCAATTGAGAACTGGCAAGAAACTCAACTGAATTTCTTTTTTTTAAAGCCAGTTTATTTACAATGTATATTTATATAGGTGTCTATGTCTAACATTAAATGAAAATCCCGTGCATGAACAACTATTGGCATGCACGCTCGTCATTCATTCATTATTTTAATAAATAAATAATGTTATATATCACAAATTATGTATTAATTTAAGAAAATAATTTGTATAATACTAAATAATAACAATAATATCGTTTCTAAAATCAAAATGGCGAATTATAAATGATAAACTCAAACCGTAAAACTCGAAATCATTCATTCACATTCATTCGTTCACGTCATAAATTTTGCACTAACCCTACCGTCCAGTTAGCTACAACAGTTCTCTTATGTTATTAGTTATTAATCAAAAATATTTAAATTAAATATACATAAATAACAGTGAAACCGTGTGAAAGTATGTTGTATAGTTTTGAAGTAAGCTATAATAACCTTTTTAGTGGTTTATATATGAAAAGTTATGTTTTCATGAAATTTTTATATTACGTATTGTTCATATTATATTTTTGATTTTTTTTTATATTTATATTGTATAATATATATATATATATATATATATATATATATATATATATATATATATATATATTATATCATAATTTATATTTGATATGAATGTATAATTTCAATGTATTGTTGAAATGAAAATGTTTCTCACATAATCGTTAGCTTGCTTGCTAAAAAGCAATAATTGAAATTTGACAATAAAGTGTTGTAGTTATATTTAATTACGTTTAAATTATCATAATAATCTGTTTGCTTGCATAATCTGTGCTGAGATGTGATGATTATTAAAAAAGGAAAGTTTTTTTTTCTTTAATAGAATGCAAAGGAAAATAATCAACACATCTTAATATTCGGCCACAATTTGTTATGTTATATACGCATTGTAATTATATTTGTATTACGTAGCCTTGTACTGTTTTGTTGTTTTTATTGTGACATTTATGTTTGATTGTGTATGAATAAATAAAGAAATAAAAATTTTAGAAATTACTTTGTAAACGTTAAAGAAATTTATATTATTTAACTATTGGTCTATTTTGTTGTTATTAGGATCTATATTGTTCTAGAGTGCTATTTTGTTCATATGTAAGCAAGTAACAAAATACTGCAATAGTTAAATAGGTTTGTAGATTTTAGATCTAAATGTGGGGTTATATTTCATGGAGCTGGCAACACGGTAGTTCTGCCTATGTGAGAGCTCCAATAATCGGTAATCTTTTCAATAATCTTAATTTAGCATAACTTACGTGATCCCAATTTTTCAAACTTCTTTGGCGAGAGCACTAGCTGTGTTGAGCCAAATTATAATTTCAGAATGAATTATATAAATTATTATGTAAAAAATATCTTACACAATCAAATAAATAAGTACACAATAATATCATACTGAGTTTGTCCCCGCTGATCCCTTATAGTACAATAACTCCACCTAGCGTCGTTGAATTTTACAAGTTTATAGCTGTTTGTAACATTGTTTTGTTTTCGCCGACAGTGCAAGGTCACGTACTCTAACCGCTGTCAGATTTGACATCTGTCAAAGGTTGACATCTGTCAAATTTGTTGTAACTTGTAATCGTTTAGTTAGGTCAGGATTATGACCGTGTTATTGTAACTGAAATTATGAATATATTTTTCTTACAATAAAAACTCGTTTTATTTGAATAAAAATTTAATTATGAATATCTTTTTTATAATTATTATTATATAATTATATAAATAAAATAAACATAAATTGTAGAACATTGGTAAATATGCAAACAGCCTAATTTCGCTGCCTTGTAATTAACCTTCAACCGAAATATAACTATGAAAGGACAGCATGGCAGCTAAAAGAGATACGACTGAAGCATGCACCCAGACGGCTTTGAAGTTATACAAATAATTGTATTGGGGCGTTTAAGTATTACGTAAGCACTATGGGAGGCCGCTTATTTTGAATAACATGAGGGGATAGAGGAGTCTAAATGATGATTACGTCATCGGTAGTAATTTCACTACTACTTCCATTTGACCGCATTCAGAACCGAGCAGCCAGAATCATTGGTAATCAACGTCTATGTGACAGACTCGACCCATTGGCTTTGCGGCGTGATATTGCATCTCTGTTCATCTTCTACCGCATATATCACTGGGAGTGTTCTGAGGAATTGTTCGGATTAATACCAGCTGCTGAGTTACCATCCTGATCATCTGGATGAATGGCGGTCTTCCACAGTGCGGTTTTCTAGAAACTTTTTGCCTCGCACAACCACATTATGGAATCACCTTCCAGCAATGGTATTTCCGAACCGATACGATATTGAAACCTTCAAGAAAAGAACTTATTCCTTTTTAAAAGGCCGACAACGTACTTCCAATTCGCCTGGTGTTGCGGGTGCTCATGGGCGGCGGTAATCACTTACCATCAGGTGAGCTGCATGTTGGTTTGTCCCGTGTTATAAAAAAAAAAAATTACTTTTTTACACGAATGGCAACCCTCAAATTGTCTTTGCTAAAACACAATACATTAATTGAAAAATGTTTACGTAATCATGGGGGGAGGTAAGAGCTTTGCTTAGTTTTGCTGACAAGGGGGATGGGGGTAAATAATTGTAATAAATCTGCTTACGTAATACTTGAACGGCCTCTTAGGATTTTAATAAGCCGATATTAGAGAGGGTGTTACATCTGTAATTAAATATCTGCCAACGATCTCATAATTCCAAAATAAAATGCGTTCGGTATACCAGGAATATAATTCGATCCGTACCTCCTAATCACTTCTATGTTCCCAGTCTGGAATACTTGCTCCAAGCCCGCCCTGACCAGCGCCGCTTGGACTGGATTTCTATTGTAAACTGTACCCTTTTTATTCTTAATATAATAACTTATATCTTGGAAAGGATCCTCAGGTACGCGCGGTAAATAAACATTCTTATACTGAACAGATCTCTTATGAACAGGATGGTGATCTAAAATTTTGAGGTTATGCGACACGACCGACGCGTGGTACAGTTTTTCCAAAGTTTCCTTAATCTTATGCGCTCGTTCGTGTTTCTTTTGTAAATGTATTTTCGCTTTATGCTTAATAAAATTGCCTATTTTATGAATCGGGCCTTCTTCCGGATAATGTGGCGGATTGTGGATGACAACGTTGGATTTGACTACAGAACGTTTCGCCCGCCATACCTTGTCCGAGTAATTTGTTATGTTACGCATCCTGTCTATAGCGTCTCTGATCCTTTCGGCTAATGTTTTATCGTTATTATAGTGTACTCCAGCCTTATTTTTGATGTATTTACTGATATCCTGCATTGGATCTTCAGGCAATTTCATATGAATATTATTCTTCGCATCTATAGACCTTTTATGTATGTTTATAGGCAAATCCTTTGTTAAATCGTGAACACCACCAATTTTGTGTTTGAGATTGTTGATCAGAGAAAATGTATTGCTTTTACGCATTTTATCAACGAATTCCTTAATTTTAATCGCTTCGAACTTCGCCTTAGGGTAATGTATTTCGCCCTTCTTTTTGAGCAGTTTGCTAAAACCTTGCAGACGCTGTTTCGTGGCTCGCAAGTGACGAGCTTTCTTATAAACTAACGAACGTTTTTGTACAGATTTTACAGGCAAACTATTGGAGACGTCATAGTCTCCATGATTCGTAATATCTTCCTCAATTGGATTCGAATTAGCCCACGCTTTGTGCTTCACGTAATATTTAATCAACTTCAACATGGCGGTCTCGTCTATGGAGCGTTTCCGAACGGTTTTGACATCTGTCAGAGTTTCGGCGGGATTTTTGACAGCTGTCAGATTGGGCGGGTAACCGCCGGCGGATTTGGACGAGGCCGCGATCAAAAGCTCCAAGGAAGACGCCGCTGGTATAGATTCGGGGAATTCACTCGGCGGTTGGTTCGAGTCAGGAGTAGTGAGTTGGGGTTGATTATCTGAAAATATTGAATCTAATATATAAAATTTCGTGTCGCGGTGTTTGTTCTGCTGAAAAACTAAACTAAACTAAAAATTAAACTAAACTAAATTAAATAAAACTAAAATAAAAATTAAACTGATCCGAAACGGCTTTACCGATTTTTATTAAATTTTGTATGCATACCGGGTATGTCTAAGAATTGGCCACTATTACTATACTATACCAGCTATTTTCACCAAAAAGGTTTTATCGATTTTTAGAAAATTATAGGTCTAAGAAATGGCCTACATCTATTTTTCATTTCCCCGAACCGAATCCCTACCCCCTCTTTCGAGCATCGAGAAACTTTATACCACGCACATTGTGGAATCACCTTCCAGCAATGGTATTTCCGAACCGATACGATATTGAAACCTTCAAGAAAAGAGCTTATTCCTTTTTAAAAGGCCGACAACGTACTTGCAATTCCCCTGGTGTTGCGGGTGCTCATGGGCGGCGGTAATCACTTACCATCAGGTGAGCAGCACACTCGTTTGTCCCTTGTGCTAAAAAAATATATCCAGTTTCATTCGTTCATTCATTCGTTCACCATGAAACCTGATGATCTGTGTGTTGATTTGTGTTGTCGCCAGGAATTAAGTAGGACCTTAAGTGATACAAACACTGGTAAATATGGTCGAGCGATATGATAGCTGGCTCATCTGTCGTACTCGTGAACGGGTGCTGCTTGTGTGGACTGGTCTGCTCTAATCACTATGACTGATTTCCTCTTATTAATTGTTTAACCAGTTGGTTATACATTCAATATTCTTTCTATTTGAGTATTTAATTGAATTAGTGCTAATCGGTAGTTTGTATTCACACACGTAAACTTAAAAATGTAAAGTAACAATAAAATTATTTAAAAGAACAACACGCAAGTTTCTCGCTCGTTCTTCTTGTGATGAGACAGCTTTCCGAATGAGCGGTATATTAAAAAAAATGTTATGACTATTCAAAAGTGCTTCAATGTAAGTTTATTTGAATAGATTTTCTATTCTATTCTTATTTTAATCCCTTACTGCTCATATTGAGAAGTGACTCGACTATGGGCGGTAGGGGTAGCGGGTACGCGCACCGCACTGTCGCGGGTTCCGACGACTTCTGCTTGAGGCAATCCATCATAGCTGCGTTTACATCCGGGGGCACGTCCCCCATGGGCGCCACTAGAGCTGGAGGTGTGATGATTGTTATTGGAGCGCCTGTAGAGTTTAAATTGATCCAAATCACTACATAGTATAAAACAAAGTCGCTGTCGCTGTCCGTCCCTATGTATGCTTAAATCTTTAAAACTACCTAACGGATATTGAAGCGGTTTTTTTAATAGATAGAGAGTGATTCAAGAGGATGGTTTATATGTATAATACATACACCCGTGCGAAGCCGAGGTGAGGAGCTAGTATATAAATAAAATTGGAGCGTCTGTTTGTAATATTGAAATAACTGTTTTACTACATGCATATGAATATAAACGGTACATACACCGAAATAACATTTTTTACAATCATTGTCTGTCTGTCTGTTTGTTCCGGCTAATCTCTGAAATGGCTGGACAGATTTTGAGGAGGCTTTTTTTGGCAGGTAACTGATATAATAAGGAGTAACGGACGAAGGGTACAGCCAGTAAAAAATAAAAGATACTCACGAGTGGTGGTCGTGATTACGTGTCCTCGATTGGTGTCCTCGACATTAGGGTCAAAGCCGGTGAAATGCGCCAGCCGGTCCAGGTACCACGCCAGCCGGAGGATCATTTCATTCTCCTCTACATCACTATGCTGGAGGAAGAGAAAGAAAAAAACATTAAAATAATAAACTTGACGTTCATAATACTTGTAACATTAAAATAAATAAACTTGACGTCATAATACTTGTAACATTAAAATAAAAACTTGACGTCATAATACTTGTAACATTAAAATAAAAACTTGACGTTCATAATACTTGTAACATTAAAATAAATAAACTTGACGTCATAATACTTGTAACATTAAAATAAATAAACTTGACGTCATAATACTTGTAACATTAAAATAAATAAACTTGACGTCATAATACTTGTAATATTAAAATAAATAAACTTGACGTCATAATACTTGTAACATTAAAATAAAAACTTGACGTCATAATACTTGTAACATTAAAATAAATAAACTTGACGTTCATAATACTTGTAACATTAAAATAAAACTAGACGTTCATAATAAGAAATAGAAATAGAAATAATCTATATTCAAATAAACTCATTACAAGCACTTTTGAATAGTCATATTTTGATTCTACCACTCATTCGGAACGCAGACTCATCACAAGAAGAATGAGCGAGAAACTTGTGTGTTGCTCTTTTGAATAGATGTTTTTTTATATAAATAATTACAGTATAACAACTAAGAGGCATGCGATAATCAACATAGAAATCGCTCTCATTATTAGTGTAATCAGATAATATTGTCAGTGCTATGGATTTTTTTTTATAAAAACAATAGACATCAGTGATGCAGTTCTATTTCGCATTATGGCTTGAAAACCGTCTGTCCACGCTGTTGCAAACATCTCTGATGCGCTACAGAACAGAGGGAGAGAGTAGTTACTAACTTTATGATATTTGTCAGCGTACACACTGTCCTCCAACCTCTTGGTCGCCCACAGCGCCAGATCAGCCAGCCTTCTGACCTGCTCCAGCTTCTCAGTGGCGCGGCGACACGTCACGTTCCAGTTTCTAGTGAAGTTCAAGAGAATTTCCGTGAAGTTCGCGTCAGTGTAACTCGTCCCGTTGAAGGTGCCGGTGAAGTTGAAGTTCGGCGGGATGCTGGAGAAGGTCGCTGATGGATTTGGGAGTATCTCCGTGAAATTAAACGATGGGATGTCGTTCTGAAATAAAACAAGAAGTTGTACCCCAGCCGAGCCTGTCGCGGATTCACTCGCATGAAATTTGTAGCCTATGTGTTATTCTGATGTTTAAGTTATTTTACTGTACAGTTTCATCAAAATCTGTTCAGTAGTTTTTGCGTACAGTAACAAACATCCATACATTAATACTCTCGAATTTTCGCGAATTAATGAGATGTCTTATTCTAAGGTTTAAGCTATATTACTGTAAAGTTTCATCAAAATCCGTTCAGTAGTTGTTGCGTAATACAGTAACATCCATCCATCCAACCATACTCACAAACTTTCGCGTGTTAATATCTTTACATACAGCTAGTATATGTAGTATAAAACAAAGTCACTGTTGCTGTCTGTCCGTCCCTATGTATGCTTAAATCTTTAAAACTACGCAACAGATTTTGAAGCGGTTTTTTTAATAGATAGAGTGATTCAAGAGGAAGGTTTATATGTATAATACATGTACACCCGTGCGAAGCCGGAGCGAGTAGTTAGTATAGTATAAAACAAAGTCGCCGCCACTATCTGTTCGGTTATATCTTCTAAACTACGCAACGAATTTTAATGCAGTTTTATATAGCATATATACATACATACATACATACATAACAGTGATAGAGTGATTCAAGAGGAAGGTTTATATATATAATACATGTGTGTTGTATGTTGCAGGTAAATTATACGATGTTGTTGGTCGAGACGATGTATATTACAGATGATGATAAACTGACAATATGTACATAGAAATAATGATCTTATATACTAAATAAAAATAGGAAAATGTAAGGTGGGGTGACACAGTTTAGACACAGCAGTGCTTAGTAGACAATATTGAATTTGTCTTACTAGACATTATTAAATGCAATTATTATTTTGATGTATCTAGTTGACTGTGTCCCATATTGTACTAAAGAACAAACTGAGAAACTCAAAGATTTGTATTGCACCTGTGCGAAGCCGGGACGAGTCGCCATTTAGTAATCCTTACTAAAGTTATAAATGTGTAAGTAGGTATGTTTGTTACGCTTTCACGCAAAAACTACTGAACCGATCATCATGAAATTCTGTACACATGTTCTTGGAGGTATTGGAATGAATATAGGATACTTTTTATTAATAATAAATAAATAAAATATCAACATTTTGCTACTAGCAGCCATCTAGCAGGCAAATTAAGTTATTTAATGTATTCAGTGCGAGCGAAGCCGCGGAATTTGTTTTTATTTGGTTGTTAGGGCTATTTTCAGGTGCTAAGACCTGTAGCACTGTGACCTACATAGATCTATTGTACTCGCCCTTTTTCAGAGTTCGCTTCCTAGACCCGTCAGTGAGAAGATACCAACTCGGTCCTTTTGACTCGGTTCAGAGACGTGCTATGACAATTGTCGATGATCCCAATCTCTCTGGCGGTATCGAGCCACTTAGCTTGAGGCGAGACTTCGCTTCGCTTTGTGTGTTCTACCGATTATACAACGGACTGTGTTCTGAGGAATTGTTCGACATGATGCTGAAGGCCACCTTTTACCATCACACCGCTCGCCATCGACAAGGAATTCATCACACGGAACTAAGTGGTCTCGGACAGTGCGGTTTCAGAGGAGCTTCCTCCCGCGTACACTTACATTGTGAAATGAACTACCTGCCGAGGTTTTCCCACGAGACTACAGCATGGGGTTTTTCAAGAAGGGTATATTAAGGTTTCTTAAGGGTCGGCAACGCGCACGTGACTCCCCTGGTGTTTCAGGCGTCCATAGGCTACGGTAACCATTTACCATCAGATGGGCCGTATGCTTAATTGCCACCTTCATAGTATAAAAAAAGACAAGAATTGAAGGATATTCTTAGGAGCGATGGTTTTTATCTCCTCAGGATAGAGTGTAAACTTTCCAAAGGAGATATTTCGTTTATCCATGAGTGGGCTACAACCACATAGGATGTGTAGTGGTGTTTCCTCTTCAGTATTAAGGTTTCTTAAGGGTCAGTAAGTCGCACGTGACTCCCCTTTTGTTTCAGGCGTCCATAGGCTACGGTTACCATTTACTATCAGATGGGCCATATGCTCGTTTGCCAAAGTCGTAGTATAAAAAAAACTGCTTACAAGTCTTTTTTTATACTACCTGCGACCTACATAGATCTATTGTGCTCGCACTTTTCAGAGTTCGCTACCTAGACCCGTCAGGGACAAGAATTGAAGGATATTCTTAGGAGCGATGGTTTTTATCTCCTCGGGATAGAATGTAAACTTTCCAAAGGAGATAAAAAAGCGGGTAAAAGCTAGTGATATGTTACCCAATTGATAGCAGTAATATTGGTCCTGCTGCAGTTTTTCAGCAGCTCAGTGTATCGCTCTATTGAGTACCGTAATCCATCCAAATATGCTGTACCTTTTTGCAGCGCGTTCTGTACCTGCAATGATATAATTATATTAATCTATTCATATAAATAAAATTGGAGTGTCTGTTTGTAATATTGAAATAACCGTTTTTTACTACATGCATATGAATATAAATACGGTACATACACCAAAATAACATTTTTTACCATTTTTGTCTGTCTGTCTGTTTATTCCGCCGAATCTCTAAAATGTCTGGACCGAATTTGACGGGTCTTTTATCATTTAAATTACGTTCATTTACTATTATTATTATTGAAAAATCATTAATATTGAGTTTACATGAATAAAGATTATTCCTAAGCATACGTCAGGCCGTATCAGTTAAGGACTGTAGGCCATAAAATTAATGACGTAAAGTGAAAACCATCATAACTTTCACTAACATATTATATCCTTTCAAACTGCTACATACTTGAAAGAGCAACGTACGCTCGAACAAGGTCATATGAACGTATTTGCGTTTTTATTATGTAATGTATTACAGAATGCAGTATGTAATATTATCTGTGGTAACACTGAGTAAGTAATCACTATTGTAAAATAACCATACCTTGCTCTAACGCCGTAACTCAGAATAATATAATTTATTAAAAAATATATAAAAATAATAATAACTCCAGACAATTCAATATCCTATTCGCTATCCAGAGCCCCAAGCTATGCAGAGTTTGTGTTATGGGTACTAGACAACTGATATAAATATATTGAAACATTTTTTTTGTAAATAAATACATATTATACATAGAAAACACCCAGACCGATACAAACAATCATAATCATGAATACAAAGGAATCGAACCTATGACCATCGGATAGTAGAGCGGTATGCTAAACCACTAGACCATCGAGGCTGTCAATATAACTTTGATTATGTAATGTATTACAGTATGCAGTATGTAATATTATCTGTGGTAACACAGAGCAAGCAATCACTATCGTCAAATAGCCCTGCTTTGCACTAACGTTTTCTCCAAACTCAGAAAAATATAATTTATAAAAAAAATAAAACTTTGATTATGTAATGTATTTCTATTTCTATGATTTATAAAAAAATATAACCTTTTAGACCAAAGTGTATACATATTGTATGTATAAAAAATATCATATTACACATTTTTTTTAATTATATTAATAAATAATATCTTAGGACAATTCACACAGCGCCATCTTGTCCCAAGCTAAGGAGAGCTCGTGTTATGGGTACTGTATTAATATAAATATATAGATTTTTTTGTAGATACGTACATATTTTAAATAGAAAACACCCAGACTGATACAAACAATCATACTCATGAATACAATTGTTGGGACCGTGAAAGGAAGGAATAGGAAGAAACTTTTCATTTCATTTCATTTCATTTCGTTTCGTTTCGTTTCGTTTCATTTCATTTCAAGTATTACTTCCTATTCCTTGCACCGGTGACTGGTTTAGAACTGCCTTACCTCAAGTAAGGCAGTTAAATAACTGCCTTACAAAATAAATATAGACGTAAGCAAATGCTTACGTCTATATTTATTTTGTTATATTAGTGGTCACCCAACAAAATTCGACCATAATTGAGTTGGTAAGGGTCAACAATCGAGCTGTTGAAAATCGATATTGTGTGGTATTACGGCTTAATTATACGATGTTGTTGGTCGAGAAGATGTATATTACAGATGGTAATAAACTGACAATATGTACATAGAAATAATGATCTTATATACTAAATAACAATAGGAAAATGTAAGGTGGGGTGACACAGTTTAGACACAGCAGTGCTTAGTAGACAATATTGAATTTGTCTTACTAGACATTATTAAATGCAATTATTATTTTATTTATTTATTTATTTATTTATTTATTAGCATACAAAACAGATTACAGTCAATATAATAATATAATAGGAGCGTGTAGTTCGGTACAGAACTGGATTGTAATCCAACACTATGTATGCCTAAGAGCTAAATTATATAGACGCATTCAATATACGCGAGATAATTAGATAAGGTTATATAATGAAAAGTAAACTAAACAGAAAATAATATATAACTACGCAATGCAATAAATTATCATGTTAACAGAATTTTATTTATATTAAAGAAAAGAAAATTGGTATAATGTTAAACATAATTTGTCACTTTACGGTGGAAATTTAATTGTCTCCGGAACTGGACCAGCGTTGAATGGAAAATATCTATATTTCTATTGGAGACAAGAATTTCATTGTATTGGCGACACATTCGAACTATTGGATTATAATAAGAAGTATTAATTATTTTATGTATCTATTATTTTGATGTATCTAAGTAACTGTGTCCCATATGTGATCTGTTCAGAAATGTTGGTAGGCATCTTGGACCTACCCTCTTTTTTCCTCCTTTTTTCCTACCACGACGAGGACCGTTGAAAAGAACTCCTTACCGAGCCGACACGCGCGCGAGACGTTTCTAACCTAAAAGTAATAACATATAAACCTAACGAGTGCAAGTTCCTGAACAGTGGTATAGTGCTATTACCTATCCTGGACTCTGATACGAGCTGAACAAACTGATATATTGCTATTACCCCCTGGAACCTGTTACGAGCTGAAGATCAGCGAAAACCTCGGCGCATCTAAAAGGTACGACTGAGTTTATCCCTCACACGCTTCCACATTTGTTCACAACATCTTTGGTAGCAGAGCTTTTCTTAACAGATAGTACATTTTCATCATCATCATCATCATCTCAGCCCGGAAGTGCAGTGGACTGCTGTGAAGTGCAGTGCTGCAGTGGGCTGATTGTTTAGTAATTTAGTCCTGAAATGGTAACCAGCAAACAGACATACATACTTTCGAATTTATAATATTATGATACTAGTTGAACCCGCGACTTCGTCCGCGTGCAATTTATCTTTATTTGTCTAAAATAGAAGTAGCCTAAGTTACTCCTTATCACATCAGCTACCTACCAATAAAAGTCCCGTCAAAATCGGTCCAGCCATTTCAAGGTTAGCCGGAACAGACAGACAGACAAAAATTGTAAAAAATGTTATTTTGGTGTATGTAGATACCGTATTTATATACATATGCATGTAGTAAAAAACGGTTATTTCAATATTACAAACAGACGCACCAATTTTATTGATATGTATAACATTATTGATAGATGTACTTACTTTTTTCTCCATATAGCCTTGGTATTTATAATCATCAGCATAATTATCTGTGGGAGGATTTAACTCGTTATGGCCCGGGATTTCAAAATGGCCGTAATTATTTACGTAGTTATGTTTTTCGCTATTATCCATACTATTCCCATCGATGTTATCATAAAATTCGCTATTCTCATTACGTCTATCAATTATGCTTTTTTCAAGATTCTCTTGGTTGTATTTGGAGAAAAAGTATTTTCTCACTTCCGGTAAATCTATGGTCCACGATGCGACCTCGCTGCACGCGCCCAAAAAAAAAATAGCACAGATGGCGACATATTTAAATGTCATTTTTCGCGCGCTTTTCCGATTATACAAGAAATTACACTGTACGAAAATTAATTGTGAAAACAATAAAATTAACAATGGTGGCGAGCGTGTATGTTGTACAAGGATTGTTTGAAGAACTAGGAGTGGAAAATTAACAAACAAACGGACGGACGATCGATTTTTTTGCATAATTATTAGTTTCCCGCGTGCATTGTTCCGTAAAGAGGTTAAGCAAGATGGCCGTCTCTTCCGTTAGATTAGAAACAAGATTTTAGACATGCTACTTTAAACGTAACTATTATACCTATATAATTTCGACATAAATAATAATTATATTGTACTAAATATTAATTATATTAAGTGATATTCGATAATTTAGAAAACTGTTTATTGCTATTTCAATTACAATTAACTAAGGTGACCAACTATACTATTTTTTTTTATATCGGGAACTCAATAAATATGAAACGTGATTTTTACTAATTATACTTATAATTATACTTATTTACTGAGTTTTGTACTATTTTTTCGCAAACCGTACTCTTTTCAAATCCTATACTCTGAAAGTACTCATTTGTATTTCTAAAACATTTTTGTAGGTTATTATTGGTATTATTTTATTTCAATTTTAATTTGAAGTAAAAGATATTGTTATTAATGACAATTTTCAAGTTTTTTTTTATAATTTTGAAGAAGTTCGAAGAGTTAATTAATATTTAAACTAGTTGTTCCCACGACTTCGTCCGCGTGGAATTTAACATTTTTCTAAAATAAAAGTAGCCTAAGTTACTCCTTATTACATCGGCTACCTGCCAATAAAAGTCCCGTCAAAATCAGTCAATGGAATTTCATGTCATGAGGGTCATGACCCTTGACCCTTGACCCCCCCCCCCATGGATCCGCCGTTGTGTATATGTTTATGATCATAGAGCAAGCCAAAATTCTTCTATTACTCTAAAATATTAATAAGGACCTCTGTCGAGTTGTCTATAGATATCATACAAATAGTCAATATCTTTTTTAAAGTACAGGGGACAAACGAGCATGTCTCACCTGATGGTAAATGGTTACCGCCGCCTATGAGCACCCGCAACACCAGGGGAATTGTAAGTGCGTTGGACTTTTAAAAAGGAATAAGCTCTTTTCTTGAAGGTTTCAATATCGTATGGGTCCGGAAATACCATTGCGGGAAGGTGATTTTAAAATGTGTTTGTGCGTGGCGAAGTTTCTAGAAAACCGCACTGTGGAGGACCGCCGTTCATACAGATCGGGAAGGTATTTTAGTTTAGAAAATCAAAATACTCACTCTTCTCTATTATTATCGACCTTTCTTCACCTCCTTACCTGAAAGATAGATTTCGGTTCATCAGCTCCTACCCCGACTCCCATCCCCGTAACCTCCGCTCAGCTCATAACCTCCTTCTCTTACTCCTTCCTATCATTCAAGCTTTGTGTCCAACTCCTCTACAGTGGGGGAAAATATTGTTAGTAATGTGGACTGATGATCTTATTGCTAGCAATGTACCATGTCAGGTTTACCTCCACGCGGTTCCCCCTGGGAACCATCGTCATAAATTCTTCGTGAATTTGTCACGATGTGCTAACTGACCTGACCTCATACTCATCTTATCATCCTCCACTGGTGCCCCGCCAGCGTAAACCGTTAGGGCAGGCGGGTGCACCATTCCATAATCACCCATAAAAAAAAGTCACGGCAATTAACCTTTGGAATGCGTTACCTGTAGACCTGCGCAGAGCACCGAGTGACCCCATTTAACTTTTTAACTACCAACTGAGCCGCCAGAATACTTACAATTATAAATGCGAAAGTAAGAAAAAAGTCTGTCTCGCTTTCACGTCAAAACTACTGAAATTTGGTACACAGATAATCTAGACCCTCAGAAAGGACATGGGCTACTTTTTATCCAAAAAAAGGGTTGTAAGGGGTTGAAAACGGGGATGAAAGATTGTATGGAAGAATCAGACCAGTCACTTTTGAAGCTAGATGCTTGAAACTTATTATTTAAGCTGTTGATTGAATTGTATGGAATTTTGTATCGTCGTTTTTGAAGCTAAAGCGATGAAACCTTTTTATTTGGCTTTTATTGGGTTAAGTCTTATTCTTCTTTATTTACGCGGACGAAGTCACAGGTACAGCTAGTGAGCTACAATTGTTTGGTGTTGAATTAAGTATATTTATATTACATATATATATACTAGCTGTCCCGGCAAACGTTGTTTTGCCATATAAATTAATAACGCTATAAAAACATAGGGGTTGGTGATAGAAGGTTGAAAATTTAGGGTTGTATGTATTTTTAATGACACATAAAAAATATAAATAAAACATATGCCCAAAATATAAAAAAATCATGTTAGGGGTGGACAACCCTTATCACTTAGGGGTATGAAAAATAGTATAGTAGCCGATTCTCAGACCTACTGAATATGGATATGAAATTTTATAAAAATCGATCAAGCCGTTTGGGAGGAGTATGGTAACTAATGTTGTGACACGAGAATTTTATATATATGATGTATATTATATATCACATTTATATGTACTGTGTATATATTGATTCGTTCTTTGTAATTTATGTACTTACCCATATTATACATAATATTTTTATTTATGTATATTTTAAATTTATATGTATATTTATGTCTATTGTAGTTTTTATTGTCACAGCACCGAGGTGTCTAACGGTCTGGCACACCACTTTACGACCTATGGTCGCGGGTTTGATTCCTCGCACGGCACAAACATTTGTATTCATGAGTATGATTGTTTGTATCGGTCTGGGTGTTTTTTATTTATAATATTTATGTATCTACAAAAAAGATGTATATATATAAGTTGTCTAGTACCCATAACACAAGCTTTGCTAGCTTAACTTGTGTCTAGATGACGCTGTGTGAATTGTCCTGAGATTCTTATTTGTGTGTTTCGCTTTCTCAGCCTTTTTGGTGGAGTTTTACACTATTATTATTATTATTTGATATACATATATTTTATATATCTCTCTCTTTACGGGGGTAATACATTCAAACACGCGGGCCTTAGCCAAGCGTGGATGAGTTTAAAACTTATATGTGGATGATGAAAGTGAAGACGACAGAAATTTCCGTACAATGTGTTGAGAATGACGGCTTTTTGTAATAGATCTATTGTCTTATTTTTTTTTCAAAAATTCTCATCTCCCCTCTTAAGGAGAGGAGATGGCAACATACCCCCGGCAGAAGCACAGTCGGCCGGGGTTCAGGGCCCCAGGGAGTTATTATTATTATATATATATATATATATATATATATATATATATATATATATATATATATATATATACAGTGGACCCCCGGTAGTCCGACAATCATTTTGCAGGGCAGTGTCGGACTATCGAATTTGTCGGATTATAGAGTACTGCCTAAGACCCCTTATAGTCCGAATTTTTTTACAAAAGAGTACCTTGTAATCCGACAAATTACAGATCCAGTGATAAGATTCTATGTTATATATGTATGTATGTATACGCACTCTGAAGTATATTGTCAAAGTAATATTCAATAACAAATAATAGACAATGTCGGATTACAAGGGGGGCCGGATTAGATAGGGGCCGGATTACCGCGGGTCCACTGTATATATATATATATTATATCTCCATTTTTACGGGGGTAATATATTCAAACACGCGGGCCTTAGCCAAGCATGGATGAGTTATGTGATGAAAATAGAAATTTTCTGACTATTCGCCATGTGTTTAGTATGACGGCTTTTTGTAATAGGTCTATTGTAGAGGAGGGGATATGCAACGTGTCTTGGTGTTTGTTCAGACTTTTTGGTATAACTCCTGTGGATGACAAAACTATGGGTACTATGTGGATGGTGTGTGCTTTCCATAGTTTTTTTAATTCTATTGCTAGATCTGTGTACTTTGTTAGTTTTTCATTGACTGTGCTTTGTATATTGTGTGTGTTTGGGATGGCTATATCTACATTATTATTATTATATTCTCTTTTTCGCAGCTTAAGCTGGTGAGTAGTACCGAAGACGGATTAGAGGACGATTACGGACGAAGTACGGAGGAGAAAGGATTTTGATTAATTCTACCCCCAAGGGGATAAAATAGGGGATGAAAGTTTATATGAAACTTTGTCAAATTTAAACCGATCGGGCTGAGACTTTGCATGCATAAAGCTACTATGACGTAGGCATCCCCTAAGAAAGGATTTTGATAAAATCCTCCCCTAAGGGGATAAATTAACGCAAGCGAAACCGCGTGCAAAATCCAGTGGTCTATAAATTGTATAAGTTGATTACCTAAAATAAATAAATAAAATAAAATAGTTTTTTTCTAAAAAAATTGCTGCCAGTCTTATTTGGCGCGTTCTGACGGACGTAAACAGTGATAAATAAAAGTCAATACTTGGTGTTATCTAATTTATTATAATATCTAAAATAACTTATGAACTAGCGTTTTTACTTTGTGAAAACATGAAGGCAGATACAATACTGGTATCATCAAAATATAATGACATACAAACATACATTTCAACATATTATTTATGACAATTTGTCAGTACATACACATACATCATTATTTTGTTCAAGCATCTGAATTCGAGATTAAACAAGCAGTGTTGGGGCTATATACTTGTAGTTTAATGTTATGATATATAATAAAAGACTATATCGTCTGTCTTCAAATCCGGCTCGAAGGACCAAAGCGTTGGTGAGAAAGCCTGGTCCTTCGAGCCGGATTTGACTCTTATTGGTGTAACCAACCAACATGTTATGACAAGAACATACCATACTCATCAAGATCATTGTTTCTTGGCGTAAGTCTTCAAATCCGGCTCGAAGGACCAAAATGTTGGTAAAGTATGTACAGTCCTTAGAGTCGGATTAAAACCTTATTGGCGTTAACCAACCAACATGTTATGACAAGAACATACAATACTCATCAAGACCATATTGTTTTTTGGTGTCTTCAAATCCGGCTCGAAGGACCAAAATTGGTCCTTAGAGCCGGATATATGACAAGAACATACCATATTCATCTAAACATTACAGCGTATGAACAATACGGTGACAGTCCCAATGCTGAGCATATCTTTTTATGGAAATTAATATTCAAACATAAGACAAAAGTAAAATAGTATATAAATAACATAAAATATTTTTCATTCTAACTATACGTTTCTCTTCATATTATTTCAATAGAAAGATATGCAAAGACCATTTAAAAGAATATGACCAGTATAAAAAAATCTATTTTTTATACTGCAACACCGAAAAACAAATTTTGCTCCAAATAGTGTTACGGGCAACTTGGAAATGACGTTTGACAAACTGTCATGAATGAAATCATTGTAGTTAATCACTGAGATGATTTTTTATACACTCTGGAGCGTCGAGGTCTACCGGCCTGCTATCCTGAATCACGCCCAGGAGGTCGTGGGTTCAAATCAAACCAAAGAATATTTTTATTACTCCATTATATATAGCATAGGGTACAAACGTGTTCACAGCTCACCTGATGGTAAGTGATTACCACCGCCCAAGAACATCCGCAAGATCAAGGGAATTTATTTGAACAGACTTACAATAAAGAATCAGTTACATAGCGTCACAATCAAGACTCCAGTTGCCCAAAAAATACAACAAACATTGCTGAGATATTATCCCATCCGTGGACGACCCATCCCACGGCCTGGCATTTGAGGTGCATCTCCGCCCTTGACGTTCTTTATCGTCTCATCCACTGAGAGGATCTGAAAAAAGGAAATAAATTAATATCAGACGATTTTCCTTGACTGATCGATATGTTTTTTCAATTCTGCAATTTCACTGCCTAAATGCACCTTGTAACCAAAACAGATCTTGAAAAGCTGCTTGGCGGCTGACATAAATAAGACTGAGTAAGGTGCGAATCGTGAATTAGTGGGGCCCTGGGCCCCTGAGTAGTTGTAGGCCAGTGCCCCACAAATTATTACTCAACTAAAAAAATACACAGACCAAAAACAAACGACTAGAAATTTCCCGTTCCTTTCGATACACGCACAATTTCATGGGTTGATTGATCTCAGGGTTGTCAACCGTATGATATTGTTTTTAGTGGAGACTGGAGACACTTTACATCCACGGTGTCTTGGGCTACAGACCAAAATGCCCGTAGGTAGATCCGCCCCTGGACTGAGTTACAGTAAGGACTGTAGGTATTGTAGGGATAGCGATAAAAATACAATGTGGACAAGAGGCCGAAAGATCCTACATGAACTAATAATAGTAGCAACAACGAAGTATATAATTTAATGAAATGGTTATATGGTATATCAGTTGCCTAGTACTCATAACGCAAGCTCTGCTTACCTTGGGACTAGATGGCGCTGTTTGAGTTGTCAAAAATATATATAAATAAATGAAACGTATACTTGTTTATGTTTCATTTATTTATATGTTTATGGCTTGAAATCACTACGAACTGACGATATATTTGACATATAATAAGAGCATGTAATAGACCTACTTGAATAAAGATATCTTGAGTTCATTTGAAATATGTATTTAAATAATATAATATGTATTAAATATACAACATAAATACATTTATTTTAGTAAATACAGACATAATATACATAGAAAAGTACAGGCTTTTCTATGTATATTATGTATGTATTTAGACCAAGGAGAGACCAGGAGGCTAAATGCGGAGAACAGGGTTTCTTGTTACATTATATTGCAATACAATACAATACAATACATTACAATACAATACATTACATTGCATTACAATACATTACCTGAGCGGCTGCCTCGCAGGCTGCAGTAGTGGCGTTGATCTTAACAACTGCCGGCTCCCACACGCAGCTAGCGAAGTTATCAGCTATATCTTCCTTCTGGATATCAACACCGTACCACACCTCACCTGGTCAACAAAGTATAATATTAAGAAAAATCTGCAGATTCTGCTAACCTGAAGAGGAAATGCCACTATAGATCTTGTGGTTGTAGCCTACTAATTACCAACCAATAGCAATTAATAGACAGCCGCAAGCTCTATGTTAATTGTCCACGATTATTTATTTAAATATAAATAATTAGATATTTTTACAGCTGTCTAGCACCCATAACACGAGCTCTGCTTATCGTAGTACTAGATGGCCCACTCACCGCTGCCACAAGTTTGAACTTTATAGCGAGCATGACTGTTTCAAGTTACTCCACTATGCATCAAGACTAGAGCCACATAGGGCACTTCAAATTGAACAAACAAATGTCAAAACTAGGCGTACGCACAACAAAAATCTACAGATTTTGCCAAACTGTAGAGGAAACGCCACTACACATCCTATGTGGTTGTAGCCCACTCATGCATAAACGAAATATCTCCTTTGGAAAGTTTACACTCTTTCCCGAGGAGATAAAAACGATCGCTCCTAAGAATATCCTTCAATTCTTGTCCTTGACGGGTCTAGGTAGCGAACTCTGATAAAAAAGAAAGAGTAAAATAAATATTCTGTAGCTTTTCCTTTCTTCTCGATTGAATCTGTATATTGAACTGGACGAGAGAAAAATAATACAAAAACTTGACTTTCATGTGCTAAAATGACCTATAATAATAAATTATTTTTGATTTGATTTTAATCAAAAGAGCAACACACACTTTTCTTGCTCATTCTTGTGACGACTGCATTCCGAATGACTGGTAGAAGAGAATAGGAAATCATTTATTCAAATAAACTTACATTGAAGCACTTTTGAATAGTCATCACATTTTTTTTAATCTACCGCTCATTCAGAAAGCTGTCTCATCACAAGAAAAACAAGCAAGAAACTTGCGTTTTGCTCTTTTAAATAATTTTATTGTTACTTTACATTTTTAAGTTTAAGTCTGTGAATACAAACCACCAATTAGCACTAATTCAATTAAATAATCAAATAGAAAAAATATTGAATACACAACCAACTGGTTAAACAATTAATAAGAGGAAATCAGTCATAGTGATTGGAGTTGCTCTTAGGTAGAAACAAATTATGGCTAAACAAATGTGTTTATATTAGGTTTATTTGAATAAAGATTATTTCTCTTTCTTGCATATATCAATACATATAGCTCACCTTTGGAAAATATACACTCTATCCAGAGGAGATAAAAACCATCGTTCCTAAGAATATCCTTCAATTCTTGTCCCTGACGGGTCTAAGTAGCGAACTCTGAAAAGGGCGAGCACAATAGACCTATGTAGGTCGCAGTGCTACAGCTCCATGCACCTGACAATAGCCTAAACAACCTAATGAAAAAAAATAGTTCCGATGGTCGCGGGTTCGATCCTCGCACGTCACAAACATTTGTATTCATGAGTAAGATTGTTTGTATCGGTCTGGGTGTTTTCTATGTATAATATGTATGTATTTACGAAAAAATGTAAATGTAAACTCTGATAAAAAAGAAAGAGTAAAATAAATATTCTGTAGTTTTTCCTTTCTTCATCAATACATATAGCTCACCCTGGTGATGCTTCTGTCGCAGCTTGTTCAACAAGTTGGTCGCATCGAAGCCAGCGTTGTCGCACAACTGTCGCGGAATCGCCTCAAACGCACGCGCGACAGCCGCCAGCAACAGCTGCTCCTTACCGGCGACACCCTTCGAATACTCCCGAAGGTGCTTCGATATCTCCATGTCGATTGCCCCGCCACCTGGTGGATGATACGTGTAAATTATATATTTATTTATTTAATTTTTTCTACATATATTTTACACTTCACAGAATTGCGACTTTGAAGTGGCAATGGGCAGGGCACATAGCTCGTAGGACAGATGGCCGTTGGGGCAGTAAAGTCCTCGAGTGGCGACCACGGACCGGAAGACGCAGTGGGAAGGCCTCCAGCAAGGTGGACCGACGATCTGGTCAAGATCGCTGGAAGGCATTGGATGCGAGCAGCGCAGGACTGATCGTCGTGGAGATCTTTGGGGGAGGCCTATGTCCAGCAGTGGACGTCTTCCGGGCTGCGATGATGATGATGATACTTCACACTTATCTTTGAATAACGGCCGCGGTGATCTAGTGCTGTACCACACCGTCTTAATTCCGATGGTCGCGGGTTCGATTCCTCGCACGGTACAAACATTTGTATTCATGAGTATGATTGTTTGTATCGGTCTGGGTGTTTTCTATGTATAATATGTATCTGGGTGTTTTCTATGTATAATATGTATGTATTTACGAAAAAAACATCTATGTATTTGTATCAGTTATCTAGTACCCGTAATACAAGCTTTAGCTAGCTTAACTTGGGTCTAGATGGCGCTGTGTGAATTGTCCTGAGATTATTAGTATTATCATCTTTGTGATAATAATGTCCAATCCAAATTTGGTTTTATTAAACAAAATCTAATTCTAACAGAAGTTTAAATATATTACCCTACCTTTAAGAATTTTTTTCGGACTACTCTAATGCTGTTGGCCGCAGCTGGCCTTTACAGCTTCACCGGACGATAGGGGACGAGTGCAGATGGCACTCCAAACCAAAGGAAGGACTTATGGAGCGGAAATCTGGTCACTACTTGGGAGGTGCTTGTATTGTAACCTCAATCTTTATACTTCCTATACTTTTATGTTATCCTGGTACTTTCACTGGAGTATTGCAGTTTAAAGTATACGTCCAGGCTTATGCAAAGTGTCGTCTATATATGATGGTGCTTTTTTCGGACTACTCGAATACTGTTGTCCGCAGCTGGCCTTTACAGCTTCACCGGACGACAGGGGACGAAACAAAGGAAGGACTTTAGGAGCGGAAATCTGGTCACTACTTGGGAGGTGCTTATATTGCTTCCTATACCTTTATGTTATCCTGGTACTTTCACTGCAGTATTGCAGTTTAAAGTATACGTCCAGGCTTATGCAAAGTGTCGTCTATATATGACGGTGCTTTTTTCGGACTACTCTAATGCTGTTGGCCGCAGCTGGCCTTTACAGCTTCACTGGACGTAGTGATCGAGTGCAGATGGCATTCCAAACCAGCGTAAGTACTTATAGAGCGGCTGAAGGCCAACTCCTGTCTGACGGATACGACTTTAGTCTGAGGACACCGCTAGGAGTTCGAAATTCGGCCCAGGCCGTCGTAATCTTGATCTCCGTTTGAATTGGACGGGGGATCGATCCGAAATAGCATACCATTTATATACTAATGACACTAGTTGACAACATGCCTGACACTGTGAAATGTCGTATATGGCGTATGTTGTGACAGCTTACTGTCACAGCGCTGATTTTTGTTGCTACCGGCTACTACCTTTCTATAAAGTCTGATAAAAACTGTATGGGACCTAGAATCGAGCCTAGCGAATTCCAAACTCACCTGCGACCACGGCATCATTCTTGATGGTCCTCCTGACAATCATGATAGCGTCGTGGAGGGACCTCTCCGTCTCCTCGAGGAACTGTTCAGCCCCACCACGCAGCACCAGTGTGCAGGTCTTCGCCGCTGGACAACCTGTAATGATGTTTTAGTATTAGACAGTGTCACTGATGCAGTCATCCTTATCAATCAAATTAAATAAAAAAAAATCACGTAGTACATTTTAGACGCCTATGAACATCGAAGTTTTTTATATTAACATTTCTTCCCTACAGTTCTATAAAGATTCAATCGAGAAGAACTGGCAAGAAACTCAACTAAAATTTTATTTTTAAAGCCAGTTTATTTACAATGTATATTTATATGGGTGTCTATGTCTAACATTAAATGAAATTCCCGTGCATTAACGACTATTGTCATGCACGCTCGTCATTCAAGTACCTAATTTAAACCGACAAAAAACTAATTTTGCGCGTGTGAAAGAACGTGTCGTATAAAGCAGCTAATGCGATTTCGAGTTGGAGTCACAAACTTGATGTAAAAAATTTACATTTATGATCCCTCACGTGTTGCTGACAACTTAGGTATAACCCTATCCCTACTTGAGTACTAACATACCCCGTAATTCAATTGTCAGAATGACATATTTGCAATACATTATAATTTAGTGGCAATGAATCATTCTTAATATTGAAATTGGTAATTTCTGAGGCGAAAAAATATAAAACTAATGAGTGTTAGTATGTTAAATACATGGGGTACTAATGTAACTATAATAGTAGGGTTCTCATGGATACTACAATAATGGGGTACTCATGAATACTATAATAGTTGGGTCCTTATGGGGTACTACTATAATGAGGTACGTATGGATACTATAATAGTTGGGCCAATATGGGGTACTACTATAATGAGGTACTTATGGGTACTATAATAGTAGGGCACTCATGGGGTACTACTATAATGAGGTACATATGGATACTATAATAGTTGGGTCCATATGGGGTACTACTATAATGAGGTACTTTTGGATACTATATTAGTAGGGCACTCATGGGGTACTACTATAATGAGGTACGTATGGATACTATAATAGTAGGGCACTCATGGGGTATTACTATAATGAGGTACGTATGGATACTATAATAGTTGGGCACTCATGGTTACTATAATAGAGGTGTCCTCATGGGGCACTCATGGATACTATAATAATAAGGCACTAATGGAGTACTACAATAATGAGGTACTCATGGATACTATAATAGTAGGATACTTGTGGGGTACTACAATAATGGGCTACACATAAGTACTATAATATCAGGGCACTCTTGGGGTACAACAAGATGACAGCCCACCTAAAGTTAAACGATAACCGTCGCCTATATACATGTACAGCACTACGGACATCACGTTATCATGTGACAACCTCATGCTTCATCATTCTAAATCACTAAGCTATCACGCCTCTTATCCTGTAATTTCACTTCCTAATCTGCACCCTACAACCAAACAGCTTACAAAGCAAGCTGCTTGGCGGCTCAAATAGGTGAGACTGAGGTACACACGCGGACTATTTTTTATAAATTACCTCACGAATTTTTGGGGTAATGATGGATATCATTGCAGTACCCCTATTAGTGCCCCAGATGTAATTGTACAAATACTTTAACTATTTAATTGAACTTCTCACCAGGTGGTGCATTCTTCGGGCTGTAACCTAAGGGATGAATTAATCTTAAATTTTAAGTTATAATTTCCCCTGGATAATTTCAACTGGTGCCCCGCCACTCACAAAAAAAAATTGTGGTAGTTTTTTTAGTGAGTGGCGGGGCACCAGTGGAGGACGGTAGAATGAGCATGGACAATAGAGTTAGCACATTTGCCCCGCCAGCATGAGGCCAGAATGCCAGGATGAGCATAAAGTCAGGTCAGTTAGCACATCGTCATAAATTCACAAGGCATTTTCAGAGGACCACAATGTCAGTATACGCTGGCGGGGCACCAGTGGAGGATGATAGGATGAGCATAAAGTCAGGTCAGTTAGCACATCGTCACAAATTCACAAGGTATTTTTTAAAGGCTCAAAATGTTAGTATACGCTGTCGGGGCGCCTGTGGAGGATGATAGGATGAGAATGAAGTCAAGTCAGTTAGCACATTTGTTTAAGTGGATCATAATTAATAGTATATGTAATATACCATCAGATGGGCCGTATGCTTGTATGCCACCTTCATAGTATAAAAAAAGGAGAATAAAGTCGGGTCAGTTAGCACATCGTGACAAATACACAAGGCATTTCTAGAGGTAGAAAAGGTACATGCTGGCGGGGCACCAGTTGTCTATGGGCCTAATATTATTATTGACTTTGTAAAATCTACATCAGTATTGACTGTGGAATGAACCAGATACCTCTTGTAAATCAGGTAGCGTACTAAACCGCGACAATATCAAGGTAGTCACCTGTATAGCATAGACAATTCTTCTATTTTGTTGTCTATGGGCCTCATATTACATTGTAATCCACACAACCAGTTCAGTAATTGGATCCGTTGTTTATAATCATTGGCCACATTTGACTATCTCTATGGTCTATCGGTTTAGTACAGCCTCACATCCTAAGGTCGCGGGTTCAATTCCACACACGATACAAATTCGCATTGATGAGCAGTATTGCTCTGGGTATTTTCTATATTTAACATAATTTAAATATTTCACAATTTTCACGATTGCATCGCGTGAGTGAGTAAAAATTTCAACCGGGAAGTTGGCTATATCAAATTAAAAATATCTTTATTCATGTAGGTCTATTACAGACTCTTATGATATGTCAAATCTACCGTCAGTTCGGAATGATATCGAGATGAGAAGAACTGACAAGAAACTCAGCTCGTATTTTTCTCAAATAATAGTGGAACATGTTTATTTTTAATAATACATTCATTAAAATTCAAATTTGGGAGAATAGAGTGACCGCCAGCATATGCTATCGCAAAGAACAAAAAATTTAATCAGTATTCACAACCTGAACAGACCAGTCCCCACAAGCAGCACCCGTTCACGAGTATGACGGATGAGCCAGCCATCATTGCACTCAACCATATTAGAGGGAGCACATCGACCCGGCCCACCACGCCGCCACAAGTTTGAACTTATAGCGAGCATGACTGTTTCAGGTTACTCCACTACGTCAATTATATTATTTACAGCATAAACTGTACCGATCGCAGTTTTCACCCATTACAATATAAAATTTACATTATTTAATTTACAATATGTCATTACAAAATTTATAATAAGTTTCTTTAATGTTATTACATTATCCATGTCAACGGGATAATAGAATAGAATAGAAAATCATTTATTCAAATAAACTTACATTGAAGCACTTTTGAATAGTCATAACATTTTTTTTTTTTAATCTACCGCTCATTCGGAATGCTGTCTCATCACAAGAAGAACAAGCAAGAAACTTGTGTGTTGCTGTTTTAATTAATTATATACTTCCTAACAAAAGTTAAAGTTGTAATTAAGTCCACACATTATAGATTCTCTAATAGAGACGTGTGAAGGTAGACGAATATGCCAATAGAAGATTTAATTACCTTCTACACGCTGCTCGTCACTTTACTCGTGATCATGGCTGTTGAAACACTGCCGAAATATCGGGAACTCAACAAGAATAAAACGTGGTAAGATCCCGTTATTATTACTAATTATAACTTATATTTTGTTAGGGAAACTACTCTCTGCTACCAAAATGTTAGGGAATTTACTATGTATATATATAGGGAAAATTAGGTGGAAGCGTCTGTGTCACGTACCTTTATGATTCTGCGTATTTCTTGGGCTTCAGGGTCTCGAAGATATCTTCGCTAGCTTTCCAGTTTCACAGTAGGTTTAACACAGTTCTAATTTATTTTAATTCACAACAAATGCGCGCGCGTCATGGTCGCTGTACGTTCAGTTCAGTACTAGGTAAGGGAGGGGCGCAACTGCCCGGGAACAGAAACTAACGGACTCTAATATAATAATCTGTGCTTACGATGGTACAGGGTAGATTTTGAACATATTTCATTACCATCTATGAATCTACGTACCGGTGAAGATGTTGTACCGCTCGCCTCCGACCTGCTTCTCGGTGAAGTGCTGGCAGGCGCCCAGGGATGCGGTGGCTATGTCCCGCACTGAGCTGAGTACGGCGCCGCCGCACGCACGCTGTGTTCTGCGCAGATCTTCTTCGGGAACTCGGCCCGCGCAGAACATGTCTCTGAGATAAAACATGTACGCTTTACAATTACGTCCTATCCGGCTCTAAGGACCAATTATCTACACATATAAGTAAAATTAGAGTGTTTGTTTGTAATATTGAAATAACCATTTTTTACTACATGCATATGAATATAAATGAGGTACATACACCAAAATAATATTTTTTACAATTTATCTGTCTGTCTGTTTGTTCCGGCTAATCTCTGAAATGGCTAGACCGATTTTGACGGAACTTTTATTGGTAGTTTTGATGTAATAAGGAGTAACTTAAGCTACTTTTATTTCAGAAAAATAAAGTTAAATTCCATTCTATCCAGCTTTAAGGACCAGTTTTTATAATAAAACGGTAGAATATGTCCATGAGACAAATAATCCACCATTTAGAACAACATTCTGTCCGGCTCAAAGGACCAATTTTTATATTAAAACGAGTCCCTGTAACAAAACACCTACACTTTATAATTACATTCTATCCGGCTCGAAGGACCATTTATGACACGAACATTATACATTTTAAACAGCTATCTTAACCAAATCCTAATTTATAAGAAATATGTATACATGAACAGAACTATGGGCGTAATGTTGCCATTTCAGAGAAATAAGCTGGTAAACGTGCATACCCTATAATTTCACTGCCACACGGCTAAAACAGATAAGACAGGACTTCATACAGTCTACCTCTCTTGTTTTTGGAATGAACCAGCGACCTTTGGTAAATTAGGCAGCGTGTTAAACCTAAACCGCTATAATATTGAAATAGTTGTAGAGTACAGACAATTCTTGTATTTTGTCTATGGGCCTCATATTACATTGTAATCCACACAACCAGTTCAGTAATTGGATCCGTTGTTTATAATCATTGGCCGCATTAGACTCGACGGTCTAACGGTTTCGTACACCACCTTTCTCCGATGGTCGCGAGTTCTTCATATAGGTCTATTACAGACTCTTATGATATGTCAAATCTACCGTCAGTTCGGAATGATTTCGAAATGAGAAGAACTGACAAGAAACTCAACTCGTATTCTTTTCAAATATATTGTATTGTATATGTTTAAGTTATACAGGTTAATTTATAGATTCCAATTTGAGAGAATAGAGTGACCACCAGCATATCGTATTGCAATTTCGTCAAAAGCAAATAGTCTAATAATAATAATAATCTCAGGACAATTCACACAGTGCCATCTAGTCCCAAGTTAATCTAGCTAAAGCTTGTGTTATAGGTACTAGATAACTGATATATATTCCGATACATTTTTTCGTAAATACATATATATTATACATAGAAAACACCCAGACCGATACAAACAATCTTACTCATGAATACAAATGTTTGTGATGTGCGAGGAATCGAACCCGCGACCATCGGAACTATTTTTTTTTATTAGGTTGTTTAGGCTATTGTCAGGTGCATGGACCTGTAGCACTGCGACCTACATAGGTCTATTGTGCTCGCCCTTTTCAAAGTTCGCTACCTAGACCCGTCAGGGACAAGAATTGAAGGATATTCTTAGGAGCGATGGTTTTTATCTCCTCAGTATAGAGTGTATACTTTCCAAAGGAGATATTTCGTTTATGCATGAGTGGGCTACAACCACATAGGCTGTGTAGTGGCGTTTCCTCTTCAGTTTAGCAGAATCTGCAGATTCTTGTCGTGCATACGCCTAGTTTAGCCATATGCTTGTTTAATCGGTACTAAGTTGGTGTGTTAAATCACTAGTCCACTGAAGCTATAACAACTTCAAAGTTATTTTTTTTACCTGTCTGCAAAATACTGAGTAGCCACATCTCCAATAGGCAGTTTGCTGAGCACGACCTGAGCCCCACTGGAGTGAATGGCAGCCAGCTTCTCGTACAGGATCTGCCATTCAGCATCCACCACCTTCTGGTACTCCTTGACGTTGTCCACGCGCACCTGCGGGAGAACTCTTGTATGTTTGTATTGTTCTTATACTATGATGGTTTTTTTTAATGGATGATGATGGAATGGTGCACCCGCCTGCTCTGACGGTATACGCTGTCAGGGCATCAGTAGAGGATGATAGGACAAGTCGCGGGAACAGCTAGTTATAAATAGAAAACAACCAGACTGATACAATTATAATCTTAATACTGCAAAAGTTTGTGAGTATGGATGTTTGTTACTCTTTCACACAAAAACTACTGAACGGATTTCATGAAGCTTTACAATAATATAGCTTATACATCAGAATAACAAATAGACTATAGTGTTTATTGAAATTTAACGCGGATGAAACCGCGATGATAGGTAGTCATGGATACAAATGTTTGCAACATGCGAGGAATCGAACCCGTGACTATCGGACGAACAGCGTCGTGCAAACCGCAAGACCACCAAGATCTATCTCTTCTATTATTTGATAGCCTCGGTGGTCTAGTGGTTTAGCACATCACTTTACTATCCGATGGTCGCGGGTTCGATTCCTCGCATGGCACAAACATTTGTATTCATGAGTATGATTGTTTGTATCTGTCTGGGTGTTTTCTATGTATAATATGTATTTATTTACAAAAAAAATGTATCCATGTATTTATATCAGTCTAGTACCCATAACACAAGCTCTGCTTAGCTTGGGACTAGATGGCGCTGTGTGAATGGTCCTGAAACATCATTATTATTACCTCAGCATTATCCCGCTCCGCCTTCAGTTCCAGCTCGATGTTCAGGAGAGCGATCTTGCAGTTGTCATAACTCTTTGGCTGCATCTCGAAGCCGGCGTACGAGAAGGTCTTCTTGAACGCCACTCCGGCCACCAGGAAGGAGTCCTCCAGTGCACCTCCTGATACTTTCTTGATGCCTGATACAATATGCCAATAAAATCAAAATTTTTTTATTCATAACTAGCTACTCGCCCCGACTTCGCACAGGTGTACATGTATTAACATGAATTATATTCAATTTTATTTATTCATATTACCTTCAATTTCATTTATTTAGTTTAGGTTAGTTTCGTTTATTGACCAATAAATTTCTTTACATATATGGCAAGCCATAATATACAATTTAATTTAATTTTATAAATATCATTATATTTATAAAATTAAATTAAATTATATTCGATTTCTTTTATTTAAGTTTAAATAATTAATTTATATTCGATTAAATTATATTCGATTTCTTTTATTTAAGTTTAAATAAAAGAAATCGAATATAATTTAATTTAATTTTATAAATATCATTATTGTATATTATGGCTTGCCATATATGTAAAGAAAGTTTAATTTTATTTATTAAAATCATCGGAGAAATCAACGAAGCAGGTAGTCACCAGTTCGCCAGTCTAGTAACATCAAAAACATCTCACCAATCATGTCGAGGGGCAGCAGCGGCGCGTCGAGCGACAGCACAGCGTCCACCACCATCTTGGAGAAGTGGTCCTTCTGCTGGTGGATCAGTTTCGAGGACATGGCCGTCGCGGCGCATTTACGGAGCAGTTCCCTACGAGTAAAGAAAATAATAGAAATAATCTTTATTCAAATAAACTAAATACAAGCACTTTTGAATATTTTTTAACTAGCGTTCCCCGCGGATTCATCTGCATGGAATTTATAGCCTATATCTTATTCTCATGTATAAGCTATTGAACAAATAGTGTTCAAAATCTACCCTGTACCATCGTAAGCACAGATTATTATATTAGAGTCCGTTAGTCTCTGTTCCCGCGCAGTTACCTCCCCTCCCTTACCTAGTACTGAACTGACCGTACGCCGGCCATGACGCGCGCGCGCCTTTATTGTGAATTAAAATAAATTAGAACTGTGTTAAACCTACTGTGAAACTGGAAAGCTAGCGAAGATACCTTCGAGACCCTGAAGCCCAAGAAATCCGCAGAACCATACAGGTACGTGACAGACGCTTCCACATATTTTTCCCTATATATATACATAGTAAATTCCCTAACATTTTGGTAGCAGAGAGTATTTTCCGTAACAAATAGGTACCGTGAGGTCAAAAAGCTGCTATTGAGGGTTCCAATTGAAACTACCATTCAATAGGGATGATAGGAATTGATTATAAAAAAAAAATCTTAACAGCGCCATCTACATTACCTGTGGCGCCATCTAGTTTGCACGGAGTGAACTAATATTATACATTTGGAACTATCTTAAACAGCTATATTACTGTAGTTTCAACGATATACGTTTAGTAGTTTTTGCGTGAAAAAACAACAAACTTCCATACATACTCACAAACTTACGCGTTTATAAGATTTCGTGCTATTTATCGTGTATTGAAGTGACGTTACAGCTTGTAAAAAATTTAGTAAAAAGAAAAAACAATAATATAAAAAAAACTTTATTCAAGTATCAACACTGATTACACTATTTGCTTTTGAAATATCATATGCTGGTGGTCACTCTATTCTCACAAATTTGAATTTAAATGAATCTGTATTATTGTAAACATGTACAACATTTATTTGAAAAGAATACGAGCTGAGTTTCTTGTCAGTTCTTCTCATCTCGATATCATTCCGAACTGACGGTAGATTTGACATATCATAAGTGTAATAGACCTACATGAGTAAAGATAAAAACATAATTATATGAAACATGACATTTAATCGAATTTTCTGTTTAATCGACGATATGTAAGTGAGCCAATTGACTTATATAATAGGAGGCAATTGTAGCTTCTAATTTTGAAAAATGACATTTAATCGAATTTTCTATTTAATCGACGATATGTAAGTGAGCCAATTGACTTATATAACCCTTTCAGACCTGAATTATTTTTTTACATCCCACGGATTTGGTAAATGCCAAGCGTCTAAAGTATAATGAGAAAAAAATTGCCTTAAATTTTTGAAAACAAATTAGTAATACTAAATTGAATATTTATAAGTGAACAAATAATTTCAATCGGAAATTATAAAATTGTTTTATATGATATTTTATGTCTACGATTGTGCACGCCAGTTTTGAAAGGTATAATAGGAGGCAATTGTAGCTTCTAATTTTGAAAAATTACATTTAATCGAATTTTCTATTTAATCGACGATATGTAAGTGAGCCGCAAGCTCGTTTGTACCCTATGGTATAAAGACACTATAAGTCTGTGACCAAAAACCACTCACCTCTGTTCTTCAGGCGACTTGTTGTCAATCTTAACAGCCAGTTCCCTTACTCTGTCGACGGCGAGGCGAGCCGCCGTACGTACCGCACGTACTATGATACGCGGATGTACACCTGTGTTTACATAAAACAAAATATATATCTTATATACTAATTATTAATATAAAATGTAAATGAAATTTTAAAAATTATTTTCAGTGTACCAAATAAACAATTTAATTTCCTTTCTTATATAAAATTCTCGTGTCACAGTTTTCGTTCCCATACTCCTCCGAAACGGCTTGACCGATTCTCATGAAATTTTGTGAGCGTAGTGAGTAGGTCTGAGAATCGGCCAACATCTATTTTTCATCCCCCTAAATATTAGGGGTAGTCCACCCCTATTTTTTTTTTTATTTTAAGGCAAAACAACGTTTGCCGGGACAGCTAGTATATATATATACACTAATATTATAAAGCTGAAAGTTTGTTTGTTTGAATGCGCTAACATCAGGAACTACTAGTTCGTATTGAAATGTTCTTTTGTGTTGGATAGTCCATTTGTCGAAGCTTTAAGCTATATAACATTACGCTACGACCAATAGGAGCGAAGTGAACTTTATATAGTAAGTTCATTAAATTCCAGTAGATAGTATACAAAAATAAAAAAAGTCTAAATCTATACATATAAATAAAATTGGAGTGTCTGTTTGTAATATTGAAATAACAGTTTTTTACTACATGCATATGAATATAAATACGGTACATACACCGAAATAAGATTTTTTACAATATTCGTCTGTCTGTTTCGGCAAATCTCTGAAATGGCTGCACCAATTTTGACGGGACTTTTATTGGCAGATAACTGATTTAATAAGGAATAACTTTGACTACTTTTATTTAAACAAAAATCTTTTATTTTAGAAAAATAAAGTTAAATTCCACGCGGACGAAGCCACGTGAACAGCTTGTAAAGAAATAAAACTCACCCTCTTCAATAAACGGCTTCAATCTTTTCAGCAGTTCACCGGCCAGTATCACCACCGACGTGGTGCCGTCTCCAACCTGAAAGTACACGTTTGTTTAAAAAAAAAAGAACAAAAAAAAATTTAAAAATAAACATATCTGTATCTCATAATATTAAATATCCTCATGGGAATTAGGTAATTGGATCCGATGTTATAATCATTGACTGTACATGATCGAGAGAAGATGCACTTCTTGGGATTTACAGAGCGGCCGTTGTGTGACAGAGAGGGAGGTAGAGGGAAACTCAGAACAGTATAGTCATTCTGTAAGCATCACTTATGCTACGTTTACATTCAGCTGCTTCCCCTGCCACTCGCGCTGCCGGAAATATAACCGGGCGACAACTGAGCGAGAGGGCTGAATGTAAAAACACGCTGCCACTCGCGCTGCCAGTCCTTTGACTCGCGCACGAAAAACCGACAATCGAGGGAGCGCCGGGGAGCGCCGAGCAGCGCGAGTGGCAGCGCCAATGGCATGGGAAGTGTTTCCACTCGTGTTTACACTCACGCGCTGCTCACTTCCCTGCCCACTCGGGCTGAGTGTAAATTTATAAAATGCTCTTGTGGTATTGCCACATCAGTCAGCATTTAGGTTTGTGTGACTTCTGAGACTATTCTTTCCAGCATTGAACCTGCGACACCGCGCCGAATGTTGACAGAAATATTACAAATGTAGGTATACCAGTATGTTACTATTGTAAATATGTACAACATTAAAAAAAAAATACGAGCTGTGTTTCTTGTCAGTTCTCATCTCGAAATCATTCCGAACTGACGGTAGATTTGACATATCATAAGAGTCTGTAATAGACCTACATGAATAAAGATATTTTGAAAATGAACAGAGAAGACTCAGAAGGACTTGTATCCAGAGCTGTAAAACGTAAATTAAAAGAAAATGCACTTAATGTAGCAATGTGTTCCTTGCTTTTGACAAAATTGCTATAGCACATGCTGGTGGTCACTCTATTCTTCCAAATTTTAATTTAAAAACGAATCTGTATTATTGTAAACATGTACAACATTTATTTAAAAAGAATACGAGCTGAGTTTCTTGTTAGTTCATCTCATCTCGATATCATTCCGAACTGACGGTAGATTTGACATATCATAAGAGTATGTAATAGACCTACATGAATAAAGATATTTTGAATTGAATTGAATTGAATGTCAAATACCTAGTAAATTGTCAGGATGTGCTGACTGACCTGACCTCATTCTCATCTTATCATCCTCCATCATAACTGAAGAGGAAACGCCACTACATCTATGTGGTTGTAGCCCACTCATGCATAAACGAAATATCTCCCTCGGAAAGTACACTCTATCCCGAGGAGATAAAAACCATCGCTCCTAAGAATACCCTTCAATTCTTGTCCCTGACGGGTCTAGGTAGCGAACTTTGAAAAAGGGCGAGCACAATAGATCTATGTAGGTCGCAGTGCTACAGGTGCAGGAATCTGACAATAGCAGAAACAACCCAATAAAAAAATATATCATCCTCCACTGGTGCCCCGCCAGCGTATACCGTTAGCGCAGGCGGGTGCACCATTACATTATCATCCATAAAAAACAATGCTCACCTCTGCATCTTGTGACTTGGCAATATCCACCAAGGTCTTGGCAGCTGGATGCACGATGTCCAATAACTGGAAATAACATATTATATTATATACCAGCTGTACCTACGACTTTCCAAAAAACAGCAATATTCATAATATTAATACTAGATTTAAAGACAAACTTGCTGTCACCAAGTATCGATTAGAAAAAGTTAATAGGTCTTTTATGGGAATAGGTATAAAAATTTACAATAAGGATATGTTGGAATTACCCTTAAATAAATTCAAAACATCTGTTAAATCATATTTACTGAGCAAAGCCTATTACTCACTAAACGATTACTTGAATAACGAGTGTGCATGGCAATAGTTGTTCATGCACTGAATTTTCATTTAATGTTAGACATAGACACCTATATAAAAATACATTGTAAATAAACTGGCTTTAAAAAAAAAGTAATTCAATTGAGTTTCTTGCCAGTTCTTCTCAATTGGATATATATACCGAACTGGACGGTAGGGAAAAAATAAAATTATAATGTAAAAATTTGACGTTCATAAGCGGCTAAAATGTCCTACATGAATAAATGATTTTTGAATTTGAATTTGACTTTCTCCGCATCGAATTTAACTTTGTTTTTCTAAAATAAAAGTAGCCTAAGTTACTCCTTATTACATCAGCTACCTGCGAAAAAACAGTCCCGTCAAAATCGGTCCAGCCATTTCAGAGATTAGCGGAACAAACAGACAGACAGAAAGACAAAAATTGTAAAAATCGTCATTGCATTTATATTCATATGAATATAAATACAATGATTTTTTAATTTATTTATTTATGCTTATGCATGTAGTAAAAAACAGTTATTTCAATATTACAAACAGACACACCAATTTTATTTATATGTATAGATGCATAGATAAAGCATAAATAAAAAAAACATTCTTATTTCTGCACAATGGCACAAATAGACCATAGAGCATTGACTGCTCACACACACTGACTGTAGTATAACAATTTTTGTGTGTTATTGCCACCCTCAATTTTTATCAAAAAAAGTCTAATATGTAGGGTACTGAAATATAATCATTCTATGTGAGCTGTTGGGGCAATAAAGTCCTCGAATGACGACCGTGGACCGGAAGACGCAGCGTGGGAAGGCCTCCAGCAAGGTGGACCGACGATCTGGTCAAGATCGCTGGAAGGCATTGGATGCGAGCAGCGCAGGACCGATCGTCGTGGAGATCTTTGGGGGAGGCCTATGTCCAGCAGTGGACGTCTTCCGGGCTGCGATGACGATGATGATTATGATGATGGTGATGATGATGATGATGATGATGATGATGATGATAATGTAAGTCTCAATACAAGCATTCATATTGACCGATTTCCTCTTATTAATTGTTTAACCAGTTGGTTATATATTCAATATTTTTTCTATTTGAGTATTTAATTGAATTAGTGCTAATTGGTGGTTTGTATTCACACACTTAAACTTAAAAATATAAAGTAATAATAAAATTATTTAAAAGAGCAACACGCAAGTTTCTCGCTCGTTCATCTTGTGATGAGACAGCTTTCTGAATGAGCGGTAGATTAAATAAATGTGATGACTATTCAAAAGTACTTCAATGTAAGTTTATTTTAATAAATGATTTCTATTCTTCTATTAAAAGACATCATGCTAAAATATAAACGTGTTTTAATTCATAATACACACCTTCATGATGGTGGCTCCATCGTTGGAAATCACAGACTTGCCGTTATGATCCACTATCAACTTGTCCATGCCCCGCGGTCCCAGCGTGGTACGGACCTGCAAATGTTTTTATAAGCATAGAATGACAGATGGAATCTTTCCTTTAATGACTGATAGCTAACTTAAATCGGTAGTTTGTATTCACACACTTAAACTTAAATTGTAAGTAAGAATAAATTATTTAAAAGAGCAACACGCAAGTTTCTTGCTCGTTCTTCTTGTGATGAGACAGCATTCTGAATGAGCGGTAGATTAAAAAAAAAATGTTATGATTATTCAAAAGTGCTTCAATGTAAGTTTATTTGAATAAATGATTTTCTATTCTATTCTATTCTATAATAATCATCGTTTCATTCTATTACGTTCTGTTTCGTTTTATTATTCTCTACTGAGAGATTGGAGTTTCTACCCAAGAGCCAGTACAAATTCCTGAATCTGAGGTTGGTTTCATCTCGATTAAAGTTATAATAATAAAGGAGAGTAATACATACAGCATCCACAACCAGTTGGCATGCATTGATGTTGGAGATGAGCTGCGGCTTCCCCTGGGACTGGTCGGTTCCCTCTCTCAATACCAAGATCTGTGGTTGCTGTACAGATAAAAAATTATAAATAGAATAATATCAGTAACATCATAAGGATGATGAATTGAAAAACAGCAGGAATAGGCTGGATGCAAACTGCTATGGATAGAGATGGCGTAAGATGGAGGAGGACTTTACCCGAGGGGCCAAATTATAAGAAAAAATAAAAATCAAAAGTATAATGTTTGAAAAATATTATGTGGAAGTTTTTTTTTCTTTTTGACAATTCACACAACGTCATCTAGACCCAAGCAATGCAGAGCTTGTGTTATGGGTACTAGGCGGATTTTTTCTTTAAATAAATACATATATATATACATAGAAAACAGTTAAAGCTATAACAATAATAATAACATCATAAGGTTATGTAGCAATAGACTTATGGACTTTTACAATATTGTCTTTGCCACATCAATTAAGATAAATTAAAAAATAAAATAAACCCTTATAAAACAAGTAAAGGTTTTATGCAATACAATTACAAGTGTGGCTGTATGGTTTATATCTTTGCTTTTCCCCAGATACAATAGAACAAAACATTGAAGTTACAGATTTGAAATTAATATTTTCTATAAATTTAATGATAATAATATTAAAAATATTACACTCATTTTAAAGTTTCTAATTCATTAAATTAGTTATGTATGTGAAAACCATCACGTGATGACATTGTATGTGATTTTTTTAAAATAATAGAACCATTTGGCTGTCATCTCGACCGCCTGATTCATCAAAATATATATCGTAAAAATGTGGTAAAACAGATAATTAATAAAAGAGAAACATACTAATAGAAGGTTTACGTTACCGTAGTTTCTATATTTAGACATAATTAAAGATTTCATACAATATTTAGTAAGTAAAATATAGGAACCGGATAATTTTAAGACAAAAACTTCTGAAACTTTGAGTTGGATTTTCTCATAAATTACAGTATTTCATCATGAAATATTATTATAAGTTGATAATTTTTTGCATAAACTTTACAAATCTGTGTAAATCAAGTTAAAACAATTAAGGATTACGAAAGAAAAAGCGAATTAAATTACCATTTTGTTATTCTAAAATTCCAGATTCACAATAAATAGAATGAAATATATTTTATTTGACAGTTTCTATTTTGACATTGACATCTCAGAAGTTGCAGCTCATAAATATGTTACCCTTTATTAAAATCATTAAATAATAGGTAAATCGAACCGTCTTATTGTAGCAATATTTCAGCAAAACCTATTACTCTGAAAGAACAAAATAAAAAATAGAACGTTTTTACATTGGAACAATATTATTTAAATAAAATGTATTTAATTTTACATAATATAACTTGGCAATCTGTTACTGAAATTACTTATTTCAAAATTAAAATTTTATACAAATAACAGCACAGATATTTTACATATACATATACGAACAGTATATGAAATTTCTTATTGCATTATGGGTAAATTAACTTTATTTTATGACAACATTACACATTATTATGCGGTTGGTATAACCTGTTAATTTTTGTTGAGATATTGGCCAACCTGAAGTGAACTATTCCGTAGTGTTGTGAATCAATAATGTTGGAAATCGACTAAAAACATCATATTTTATCATAAGAAATAAAATAATATTAATAAACAATAGTTCAATTAACCCTGATTATAATGAAAAATCTGGTTATGCGTCTTATACAGAAATAACTATAGTCTTTACATAAATATTTTTAGATTAAAAATGAAATAATTAATGGTAATTGTTGTATCTGTTTTATTTTTGGGACGATCTAATATATAACAATATACTTTTTAAAGTGTTTGATTGTTTATAGGAACGATAATTGTTAAAGAATTGAGCAAAAATAGAAAAAGAAGAGAAACATGCATAGATAAAAATTGTGTAACATTCACTTACCTAGTTTATAATAATAAATATCTAATTAGAAGGATAAAACTTACGATCAATTTTAATGCAAAAAAATGCCAATAAGTTAAAAATATAAATGTATAAACATGTTATATAGGTATTGAGATAGTCGTTGTACATTGCATTTATACCGATTAATGAACACACACAATTAGAGATGTGCTAACTCGTAATAAACATGACTCGAGTTAAAATTCAGGTAACTCGAGTTGACTCGATTTACCTGGAATAAAATTATTTCTTTATTTTTTCGAACCATTCTAATGTTTTTGGGCGCAGCTAGCCTTAAAAGCTTCACCGAACTTTAGGGGGCGAGTAGAATTTTTTTAAGGCACTTTTAAGCCGCGAAAGGACTTGAATGTATAATCATTTTATTGGTAACATAATCGGACGAATATGCGAAAAAAAATGATAACAACCTCAAATCAATATTGAAATATTTGTGACGAGTGAAAATTGTATGATATGAAATGATCGGAAAATTTCATGTCATTTGTCGGTTCGATGACAGAATCATGCTATCGCTTTTTAACTCGATTCATTTAATTTACCAGTTGAATTCTTCCAACTCGAGTTGGCAGAATTCAACTTGAGTTAACTCGAATTATGCGCAACTCGAGTTAACTCGAGTTGACCATCTCTATACACAATCGATCATTTTCCCCTCACTACAACTGTCATATATTAGTAATTATTAAGTTAATTTTTCCATGTAGTACCGGTTCATAATTTTCATCTGGGAATAAATAAGAATTAAGAATACAATAAAAACAACTAGGAATAATCAAAATGACTAGAGAAGTGGACATAAAGGCTTTAGTATCCCACATTGTGCGTGGAGATGGTATGGATAAATGCAGAATATGTATGGGTGACACTACTGAGGGCCAAGTATATCTCGAAGATACAGTTATGACGCAAGGAGACAAAGCTATAACCCTAGCGGAGCTATTGGAGACCATAACAGGAGTTGAGGTTAGCATACTTTGTGTTTTTGGAAAATTACCATGTTTATTTTCTGTGAATAACGGAACGCGTAACTCACGTCTTGTCACTTAGTCCCATCTAAAATGGCCGCCATTTTCTTATACTTTATTTTTTTTCTATATCAATGCTGAGTCACTCTATACTGCCAGTATTTCATAATTAATTTCTGTTGTTGTAATATAATTAGAAATAAAAAAAAAACAATTTTATCAATATTTTTTAATGTTACATGTTTTTTAAATGCGTTTATGAAGATCGCCTCATACTAGCGAGTCGCTACTATATTGCGACATGACGTCGTAAAAACTTAGTAATTAGTAAAAAAAAATAACAATCTTCTAATATTTTGACGTCTGATTTTATAGTTTGAACATTAAATATGTTAAGAAATCAAGTAATTTAATGAAGTTATAAGCTTATTTTAATTAATTTTCATCAAAGCATACTTTGTAAATGACTTCATACTCTAAAGATTATTATTCATTCAATTTTGATACATAAAGTTTAATACAAACTAGGTTTATTTTCCATATTTTATCTACTTAATAGATGATATATGATTATTATTATAAATTTTTATTTTAATGATGATAATTATAAATTTTAACAGATCAAATTGCTATTTTTTAATTTAATCTCTTTTAATTTAAACTATAATTTATCTTTTGAAATTTATTTAACAAGCAGCTATTCTAGCGCAGCTAATGGCTTATTAATAATCTGTTCTAAAGATTTTGAGTTTAGAATATATTTATTTTTTCATGATTGCAGTCATGCAGTCTTCTTGACAGCCATTATTTTTGATATGTTGCAAATTAAATGATATTAAATTATATTTCTAATCTATATTAACTGAAGAATTGCATATACATATTACATAAACTACCTGCCAAAAAAAGTCCCATCAAAATCGGTCCAGCCATTTCAGAGCTTAGCCGGAACAAACAGACGGACAAAAATGGTAAATAATGTTATTTTGGTGTATGTACTGCATTTATATTCATATGCATGTAGTAAAAAATGGGTATTTCAATATTACAGACAGACACTCCAATTTTATTTATATGTATAGATGAGTGTAGGCCACTTCATTTCTGCCGTCCCTAGGTCACAGCCTATATGGCCTATTTATAAATCCAGGACTGCAGCCTTGCATAGTTGTGTAGTTTATGAGACAGCTTGTATGCAGTTGTATTATACATATAAACCTTCTGAAAGGAATTCTCAGAATAATACAAACGGTACCTAAACAAACTCAAAGGTGACTGACTGACTGACATAGTGATCTATCAACGCGCAGCCCAAACCACTGGACGGATCGGGCTGAAATTTGGCATGCAGGTAGATATTATGATGTAGGCATCTGCTAAGAAAGGACTTTGATTAATTCTACCCCCAAGGGGATAAAATAGGGTATGAAAGTTTGTATATAATGTTTTAGATTATCGACTGATAAAACTGAAATTAAAGATTGGAGCTACTATGATGAAGACATTCACTTAAATAGGATTTTGATAAATTCAACCCCCATGGGGATAAAATAAGGGATGATGCAGGATGTAAATGTATTAGTTTGAACCTATCAGTACCTAATGGAACGAATAAATTAAGATGAACAAAATAATTTTTAGTTCTTTAGGCTACTTTTATTTTAGAAAAATAAAGTTAAATTCCACGCTGACGAACTAGTTGAGATAATAGACAATAAAGTTAGAACTAGTCGCGGGAACAACTAGTTGAGATAATAAAGTTAGAAGTTGAAGAGATATTTAGTAATCTTTCTCTGCATTGTTTAGGGTTGACTGGTAGATAATGGATTATGGTGTTAAGTCCGCCATATGTACTTTTTATTTATGTGTATTGAAGTTAAATAAACTTATCCAACACTATCTGATTTCGAAAAAATTTAATACATATACTATAATATATCCACTTACGTTTTACGTGTCTAGAAATATAAATGTTCGAATTAAAATCAAAACCATCATAGACAAACAATCTATTGTGGCGGATTGACTGAACGGTGGTTGCAGGTGGTGAGCGGCGGCGATCTGCCGTCCGGGCTCTGCCTGGCATGTTCCAGCGCGGCATTCGTCGCTGGCAACTTCCGCCTGCTGTGCCAACAGGCTGTCCAACATTGGAACACCACCATATCACTACTTCAAAGCATACCAAATGCAAACTCGCCCGCTGTATTCGTAATGATCAATAGTGATGAAATGATATTAGTTGATGATGAAAAGGAAGGTACAGATTCAGCTAAATCAGCACCCCAAAAGATAAAAGCACAATTGAAGCCGAAATCGAACGTAAGCAAAAGCTCAGTCAAAGCTCTCCACTGTCAATGTCCAACATGTGGAAAGACGTTCATGTATGCCCAACATTTGTTCCAACACTTGAAAGAGTCTACAGATCTTAAAAGGGCTTGTTATATATGCGCAGAAGTAATGTCCAGAGATGATCTGGTTGTCCATTTGTCGGATGTTCATAAGCAGACCCCGCACAAATGCAACAAGTGCCCCGCATTTTTCTACTCGGAAAGCCAATGCGTAGCTCACCTTAGACTGGCCCACTCGCCTGGCAGGTGTACGTGTGGCGAATGCGGTAGGACCTTCCAATCATCTCACGCTTACCATGCTCATTTGACCGTCCACGCCGTCAAGGTTTGCCCAGGCTGCGACCAATCGTTTCGCAATCAGACCTGCTACTTTTACCACGTCAAAAAATGTTGCAACTTGGATAAGAACAGAGAAGACACGCACCGCACGAAGCACAAAGTCACCGTGGAGGTTAGAAATAAAAAGAGCGAGAAAAAGATACGCGTAGGAATGCGTGGGAGCGCATCGAACGAGTGCATTTGCGATTACTGCGGCAAGAAATTCGCCGGAAAGAAGTTTGTGGCTGCACACATACAGATCGTCCACACGAAGAACACGCACAAGCCTTGTGTTTACTGTGGCAGGTTCTTGGCGGCCGCGCACATGACGGAACATGTCAAAACTCACGAATTAGTCCGCTCTTTCAAATGCGGCGCTTGTGGGATCGTTCTTAAAAGCAGGCTGGGGTACATCCAACACGTACGGTTACACACTGGCGAGAAGCCTTACGCGTGTGAATATTGCAACGAAACATTCTCAGCGTCTTCCAGAAGATCAGAGCACGTGCGTAAAGTCCATAAGTGTCAGAAGACTCTTCGGCATGGGTGCGAGTTGTGCCCGGCTCGGTTTCATCTACCGTATCGGCTCAGGAAACATATGGCGTCCGTTCACAGCACAGAAGCAGGCTCCCAAGTACAATTCGAGTGTACTGAATGCCACGAGAAGTTCGGTAGCTGCCGAGGGTTACTGCATCACAGTCGGAAACATCAGCACAAGGTGGCGTCACGGAAAGATGGCTTTGATTTTAAAGTGTACAGTGACACTGTGAAAATGGAAGTGGAATAAATTATTAAATAATAAATATTGTTAACAAAAATGTGTTATTGTATTAGAAACTTACTTCTGTACTAATATTAACAAAGCAGTTGTGTTTGGTTGTTCAGGGTAATCTCCACTACTGATCCAATTGTGAAAATTCCTGTAGTGTTTGTTGCACTAGCCATGGTCATGAGTTGATAAGTTAAGTCGTGTCCACTGTTTTTATTTTTATTTTTTACTTGGAGAAAATCCCTCATGGAGACCCGCCGTCCCCGGGGGAAGCCCGCGGGTACTGTGAGACTCCTACTCACTAAAAACTCCAAGATGTCCCTCACCCAACGCCTATGTCGGAGTCGCGGGATCAATAACATTTATCGTAACTCCGACGGCGGTGGCCCACTCTAACAGCGAGCCTCATCTCTGCAGGTTCCCTGGCGGAACCCACCACTTCCCCTCCTCTTCCCTGGGGAAGGCGCGCGGGGACATGCGCGCGACTTCTTCAGGCCTAGTGTGGTGAGGTGGAACCGCCCCCGCGGTCGTCACTCCTGCCCGGTAGCGATCTAGGGGCGACTTGCGCCGCCCCTGTCTCCCTGATCGCTGTGTCCACTGCTAGTGCAACCTTGTTTACCATAAAATTATTCGGGTTAAACCCATTTAATTCTATTATTAACTAAACACAGAAATTTAAAAGAATATAGATATTATCTTTATAATCATTAGGTGTCCCCATATCAATGTTGATACATATTAAAAGCCTGCGGTAATCGAAACCGTATATTAGCTTTTCTAAACCGCCCCTATTAACGAATCTAAGATTTACCAAATCAACGATTTCCCTCAAGACATACTAGCTGCCATCCACAAGCATTATTTCGCCAAGAATATAAGATAGTGAAGCATTGACAAGAAGCACTTGTTCCAGATGGAGAACTCAAGAGTAATGCCACAGCAGATATGCATACAGTGTTACCACAGCGCAAACATCGCTTTACCATTCGTGCAACTGTACCAAGATTCTATAAAAAAAATCGCATTGATCCTAGACAATCTTAAAAGAATTCAAATCCCGAAAAGACGGAAGAGTGTATACGTTATGATAGACGACGAAAAAATAGATAAATTTGTTGACACAAAGTCCAAAACAAACACCAGAAGTGAAGATAGACTTAATAATTTCAAAGTAAGATTAAATAGGCGACGCCGGGACAAAACTGCCAATGCTAAACCCTTAAACGCTAAACTAACCTGTCCAGACTGTGAGCAACCTTTTAGAAACCTTTACAAATTAAACGCACACATGAAAACCAATCGAAAGAAAATGTGTCACATTTGCAAACACATACTAAGCACCGAATCCTTCCTAAAGCATGTAGAAAGTCATGCAGTCAATATTCACAAATGCAATTTTTGTCTGGAAACCTTTGAGAGTCATTTAAGGTATACGAAACATAGGAGAAAGTGTCACAAGGTCCTATCTCATTTCTGCGTCGAATGCAAGCAAGGCTTCGAATCGGAAATCAATCTAGGATGCCACATGACGGTCCACAAACCCCGAGTATGTTCCGGATGCTTTAAAAAGTTTACCAGCAAGTCCTGTTTCCTGAACCATTCGAAGCGTTGCAATTCAAAAACGAATTCGAGCACACAAAAATACATTTGCGATTATTGCACCAAAGAATATAATTATAAAAACGCATTGAAAGTACACATAATGCATAATCATTTATATGGCTTTCAATTTCAATGCGAGGAGTGTGGGAAACGGTTTTCGAATAGATCAAACTTACAAGAACACAGCAATACACATAATAAAATCCTAGATCGATACGTTTGTAGTGATTGCGGCGCTAAATACAGCACTAGGAGAGGTTACGAAAGGCACAGTAAAAAGCATGCTACCACAAAAGCATATGATCTAGACAACGCAACAGGGATTTTAAAAGAAACTAATGATAAATTCAATGAGAAATACGAATGTGGTGATTGTAAAATGAAGTTCTGTTACGGGAAAAGTTTTAGGACTCATCTTATGGTTAAACATCATAAAGTTGGTTAGTTATGTTCTTTCACCACCTGCTAATAAGAAGTACAAGAAAACCCGCACAAAATGCCGGCTGCTTCTCGACCCACCGAACATCGCATACAGTTAAATTTGCAATCAGTTGATATACGCTGAAAAGTTTGTTAGATCACACTAGTCTTTGAAATTACCAAACTTACATTGCAAGTAAAGTAATTGAAGCAGTTTATATACGCTGAAAGTTTCAGGCTAGTCTTTGAAACTAATTGCAAATAAAGTTATAACTGACTAGTTGCCCGTTCTATTTTCGCTTGCATAGCTTTGCGAGTTTTGTATACTATTAGTTTATGTTACTCTGGTTTAATGTACCTTTGAAAATATAAAATGATTTCTCTAATCTTTTATATTTACTGTCCTTATAACAAAATACATTCTCTCTTTCTAATATTAATCTAATTAAATAATTAGATTAATATTAGGGCGAGAAAGGTAAATATCACATTTATAAGTCATCAAAAATGAGATCTAATCAAGCGGATGCTAAAAAGTGTTAATTTAAACTTCTATTTTACTCAATGATGATGATAAACATCGATAACAAACCTAATTAATTGAACGGTGGTAGACTCGACCTGTCATATTAGACGTTAATATATAGAATTCTCGTGTCACAATGTTGGTTGCTATACTTCTCTGAAACGATCTAATCGATTTTTATGACCATTTAAACGTACACCTGGTAGGTCGGATAATACGTTGTTATCTATTTGTTATACCCCTAAGTGCCATTGACCCTCACGTGGTTCTCCCTGGCAATCATTGTGATAAACTCATGGTGAATTTACCACAATTGACTAACTGACCTGACCTCATGTTCATCTTATCATCCTCCACCAGTGCCACGCCAGCATATGCCGTTAGCGCAGGTGGGGGCACCATTACATTCATCCATAAGACTCAGTTTATATACCATTCCAGTTACATGACAAAAAAAATATTGAAAAGAATAAGAGCTGAGTTACTTACTAGTAAATCTTAGGTCAAAAGAACTCTGAACAGACAGTAGAGTTCATAAGAGTCTGTAATAGAGCTACATGAATAATTTAATTATTTTAAAATTGCAAAGTACTTGCTGTATATCCCAAGCTATTTTCTTGTTACTATATTAGAAGCTCAATCAAGAGTAATGATAATATGTATAACATTGGCAAAGCCAGGAAGGGCGGACTGATTGAACCCATGGTTTCAGATGGAGGAGCAGCCGGCAATGCCAAAGGGGGTATGCAAATCGTGCACGATCCAAACCATCGCTGCTGTAAAGTTCAGCCAGCTTTGCAACGCTTCCAAAAAGCTTTGGGAGGACGCTGCCGACTATATATCCCAAATAGCTGACCCAGCAGAGAATGACAAAGTGTTTTACATATTTTATAACAGCGACAAGAGGTTAATCCAGGATCAAACAGAAGGTATACAGTCTAAAGAGCTAGCGATACAAAAGCTCAATTCAAAATTTTGGATCAACACGAAAAAGAAACATACTCGAGTGAAAACAACTAACGGGGTGGTTCTTTGCGAATGTCCGGATTGTGGGAAGGGTTTCTCGGATCCTGCCTTTATGAATCGCCATTTATTGAACTCAGAGAAGAGAATGTGCACACAGTGCTGCGTGGTGCTGCCGAAGACAAAGTTGGCGCAGCATCTAGCCGCTGAGCACAGTAAGAATGTACACGTGTGCAACATCTGTCACAAGTTGTTTGACAGGCTTGAGTCCTTACTCCCACATTCCATCAAACATGAGAGCGATAGTTATCCGTGCAGTGTCTGCGGTAACAGCTTCTCCACGGAAAGGGCTATCAGCGCCCACATGTACGCGCACTCGCTCTTCCACTGCAGAAGATGCAACCTCAGCTTCGAAAACAGGAAGTGTTACAAGTACCACCAGAAACAGTGTACCTTCCCAAAATATGAGCTGGATAACTACGACCAGTACATATGCGATCACTGCGGGAGTTCATACACTAAGAAGCCGTCATTGCGCATTCACATCGTTCAAAAGCATCTCAATGTTCTACCTTACATTTGCCAAATTTGCGGCAAGAGAACCTCAACAGTTGCGCACTTAAAGTCTCACGAGAGTGTACATATGAGTGTCAGGAAAATCTACCAATGTTACTGTGGCGCTAAGTTCAGAACAGAACTAGGCTATCATCTACATCAACGGATCCATACAGGAGAACGACCGTATGAATGCTGCGATTGCGGAGAGAAGTTTCTATCAGCTTCTAGAAGATTAGATCACATCAAGCGGCGACATAGAAGTATTATGGATATGCCGCACGGATGTGATAAGTGTCCAGCTAGGTTTGTGAGGCCGTTTGAACTGAGAAAACATTACTTGTCTGTGCATTTCACACGAGTAGACGTTATGCCAGCAACAAGGGGAAGCAGAAGGAAACGTTAAAGGTTACCAATATTGTACATTTCCGGTTGTCTACTAGTTTAGCACACCGCTCTACTATCCGATGGTGGTGGGTTCGATTCTTCGCACGGTACAAACATTTGTATTCATGAGTATGATTGTTTGTATCGGTCTGGGTGTTTTCTATGTATAATATGTATTTATTTACAAAAAAATGTATCCATGTATTTATATCAGTTGTCTAGTACCCATAACACAAGCTCTGCTTAGACTAGATGGCGCTGTGTGAATTGTCCAAAAAAAAAGAAAAAAAATCTTTTTAAAACTGATCATAGACAAATTTAAACATGTTTAGTACGTCCGCTACCCTTTTCTTATTTTTACTTTCTCTGTCCTCAAAGGTACTCTGTAAGAAAATGTTTAGCGATAAGATCTCCTTTTTTATTAATTACAATACTAGTATTTACTATTTTAATTATTATCTCATTTATTCAATAAAACGTATCTTTACATTGTATACTAACTGTACACGCGACTTCGTCCGGGTGGAATTTAACTTTATTTTTCTAACATAAAAATAGACTAGGTACCTGCCAAAATGTCCCGTCAAAATCGGCCCAGCCATTTCAGAGATTAGCCGGAACAAACAGACAGACAAAAATTGTAAAAAATGTTATCTTGGTGTATGTAGTATCGTATTTAGATTCATATGCATGTAGTAAAAAACTGTTATTTCAATATTACAAACAGACACGCCAATTTTATTTATATGTATAGATAAAAAGTTGCTCCTCCCACTACCTGTTGGCTTATATCTTTTAACTTACGCAACGAATTTTAATGTATTTTTCAGCAATAGATAGAGTGATTCAAGAGGAAGGTTTATATGTATAATACATGTACCCATGCGAAGCTGGGACTACCTGCCCAGTTAGTAAATAATTAAATAAAAATAAAACCTTACTTCTGATGGTCGCGGGTTCGATTCCTTGCACGGCACAGACATTCGTATTCATGACATTTTTTTATTCTACCACTCATTCGGAACTCTGACTCATTACAAAAAACTTGTGTGTTGCTCTTTTGACTTAATGTTATTTTAATTAAATTACACAATAACAAGTAAGAGGCATGCGATAATCAACAGAGATTAGTGAATTAGTGCAATCAGATGATATTGTCAGTGCTATGAATTTTAAGTTTTTTCCACAAAAACATTATTCATCATTTATAAACTCTTCAATTTTATAATAAGCATTTTTACAGTGAAAGTTTTTTTAATACGACAATTAAATCTTTTTTCAGGTAGATAAGAAACTAGCTTAAATAATAACGAATCTCCTTACAAACTTTAATCCTCTATATTGTTACCTCCTTAATGGTAATTTTATTATAAACTTTGAATATCATATTTATTTTATTTAATTAACAAGTAAAAATATTGGTTCAAGCTTTAAAAATTATGATTACTTTCAACTCCATTCAATCCTTTTTTCGCATTAAAACTAGCATATTTATCTATTCTCAGGGACTAGACTAACTGTGTACTAAATATCAATTAAATCGGTTTAGTAATTTTTACATTGCACTGAATAAAATATTCTTCTTTCTTCCTAATTTTGACGTGAAAGGGTGACGAGACAGATTTACTTTCGCATTTATAAAAAGGATATTTTTTTTTCCTTTTCTCTTTCCATCTGCCATCAGCCGTATGGCTATAATCAGATATATTGTATTTTTTTTTTGATATGTCGTCCATTGATGTGAATCCATTTTATTTTACATAAGTAGATACTTATATTTTGGCCAGATGTTCCCTCTTCAAGCGGAATACATCATCCCTGGTACCTAGAAGCTGTAGAGCTAATTTGTTCGCATGGTATTCAAGTCTGTTCTTGTACGTCTCACACAGTCGACTAAGGGGCTGTTCAAGTATTACGTAAGCAGATTTATCACAATTATTTACCCCCCATCCCCCGTTGTCAGCAAAAGTAAGCAAAGCTCTTACCCCCTCCACCCATGCTTACGTAAACATCTCTCAATTAATGTATTGTTTTTTTTAGCAAAGACAATGTGAGGGTTGCCATTCGTGTAAAAAAGTAAATTACGACCGATGACGTAATCATCATACAGACTCCCCCACCCCCATGTCATCCAAAATAAGCAAAGAAAAGACCCCCCCGCCCCCCTATAGTGCTTACGTAATAATTGAACGGTCCCTAATTTGAAAAAGGATATTTACTTTATTTATTCATAATGTCAATAACAAAAGCAGAGGGCAATATTTAACACGCCACACGTTTGTAAGCTTTAATATCTTTCCAGATGCTCGACGAATCGACGTGTCCCCGTGGAGTATGTGTCAAGTGCGTGAACTCGGTCCTCGAAGCTCAAATATTCAAAATGTTTGTTAAGGATTCCAGAAAAATTTGGCTAAAAGCCCTAAACTCGTTAGCAGAACTTCCAGAGTCTGCACACCCCATGATCAAAACATTATGCGGCATTATAAAACAGGACACGTTAAGTCTGCACACTTTAAAAGAGTACAATGTCAATGAACCGAAAGATATACTTCAAAAACTGAATAATAGAACGAATAAGAAGAAGCAGAAAGTAATAAGATCTGGACCGTCTTGCGATTGTCCAGATTGCGGGAAACAGTTCACAAGTCCTTATTTACTCAACGTGCATCTAATAAACAGTGGGCAGAAGGAAGCCTGCCTCACTTGCGGAACTGTTCTCCTCAGAGGCGAAGAAATCAAAGAACATTTAAGTGTTGCGCATAAAACTGAAGTGATTCTGTGTAAACAGTGTCCGTTGATGTTTCCGGATGAAGTTCATATGAATAACCATGTGCAAGAGGATCACAGGTTAGGAGCACTTACCTGCTGCGACTGTGGTCGGGTCTTCGCCAGGAGAGCGGCTTTCGAAACCCACATGCAAATGCACACCGTCAGGACATGCCGGAAGTGTGGTGCCCAATTCAGTAACCGCGGTTGTTATAGGGAACACAGGAGTCATTGCGAGCCGAATGCTCGTCCAGATATCCATTTATTACCGCGCAATAAACGGTCCAACATTCGAGATCCGGCTGCCTTCTCTTGTGACCATTGCGGCAAAACCTACACGTCCAGACCTCAGCTGAAGAACCATATTCTTTGGATACATATGGATGTTAGACCCCATCAATGTCAATGGTGCGGAAAGAGGTTTTATACGTCCTCAAGGTTGGCGGAACACAACGTAGTTCATACGAGGGAGAGGAAATTCGAATGTGACATTTGTGGCGTGAAATTGGTTTCCAAAATGGCGGTCGTGTACCACAGACGGAGGCATACCGGCGAGAAACCGTACACTTGCGAGGATTGTGGCGAGAAATTCCTATCCTCCTCGCGGAGATCAGAGCACGCGAAGCGCAGACATGGCAAGGGCGTGATGATGCAGTGTCTCGACTGCCCCGCCATGTTCGCAAGGTCTCTACAGTTGAGGAAGCATATAGAAAAAGTACACAAGCGGCCACAGCTGTTCATTAAAGTCAAAGATTGACAATCATTGTTCTAGATTTCAGAATCTAAGCAATTTGTCTATGACATAGTATGTTAAATGCCCGATTGTGATTCGGTTTTTTGGTTTGAAAGCTGATGTGATCAAGATGGTATTTTAAGTCTTTTTTTAAAAGATGGTATTTAGTTATAGTTATTTATTATTTGAAATATGAAAAATGAATTTTGAAAAAATTTGAATTTGAATTTGAAAGACAAATGTACATTGCAATAGTTCATGCACGGGATTTTCATTTAATGTTAGACACATATATAAGAAAGCAATGTTATCAAACTTCCTTAAAAAAAAACTAATAATAATAATCAGTTTCTAGCCAGTTCTCAATTGAATCTGTATACTGAACTAATAGGTAGGAAAACCGTTTTAAGAACTTGTAGGAAAAACGTTTTAAAAACTCGACATTCATAAGCGGCTAAAAAGTCCTAAACGAATTAATGATTTTTTTCTTTTTTTTATTTAATGACAATTTTGTATTTCATGAATTACAACCATAGATAATCATTTGTTTTTTCCTAAACCATAAAGAATCAATTATTTTTTCTTTTATTTAATTTTATGAGAATTTTGTATTTCATAAAATAACCATAGACAACCATTATTAAAAAAAAATTATAAAATTGAAACAAGTGTTGAATGAAATTTTTTTATCTTTACTAATAAATGAGTCAAGCGATCTTAATGAATTTCAAGTGAAGAGACTGCTTTTGAGGATGGACTTAGGCTATTTATGTGAAAAAAGCAGAAGTAGTCAGGTGTAAAACTTGTAAATATAATGATATCTTGTATTGTTATTTCATTTGTCTATAATGATGAGATAAATACAATTGTATTGTTACAAATGCATGTTGTTTTCATTTATCCTACTACAGTATTCCAATAATATATAATATTCAATATATATATAATATTTAATAATATATATAGTCTCTGTGGTCACGGTGATGACGGCAATCTGCCACGGTACCACGGTACCATACCACACCCTTCGGCCATCAGCCTTTAGTCCTCCTTCATGAAGGTGGGCAGCATGATGGTATGGTGCATTCCCCTACGCTGGGCACCAGGGATTATTATATTAACTAGCTTTTGCCCGCCGCTTCGCTCGCTTTAATTTATTCCCTTAGGGGTGGAATTTATTAAAATCACTTCTTAGGGGATGCTTACGTCATAGTAGTTTTATGCAAGCAAAGTCTCAGATCGGTTTAAAATTGGCAAAGTTTCATACAAAATTTCATCCCTTATTTTATCCCCTTGGGGGTAGAATTAATCAAAATCCTTTCTTAGCGGATGCCTACGTCATAACATCTATCTGCATGCCAAATTTCAACCCGATCCGTCCAGTGGTTGCTGTGAGTTGATAGATCACTATGTCAGTCACCTTTGAGTTATATATATTTAGATGTCTAACAAACATTAGCACAGTAACTACTAATATATATCCGAGATTATACCACACAAATGCACAAACAAACAGACAAAAATCTATAACCTTATTGTTAACCTCGGGAACATAAGTACGGCATCTACAAATTGCTTTTACAACACTAGACAATTCATGCAGCGCCATCTAGTCCCAAGGTAAGGGGAAAGGGGATTGTTAGTAATGAGGACTGTTGACCCCATTGCTAGCAATGTACCATGTCAGGTTGACCTCCACGCGGTTCCCCCTGGAAACCATCGTGATAAATTCCTGATTAATTTGTCACGATGGGCTAACAGACCTGACCTCATGCTCATCTTATCATCCTTCATTGGTGCCAGCGTAAACCGTTAGCGCAGGCGGGTGCACCATTCCATTATCATGCCTAAAATAAACTCCCAAGGTAAGCAGAGCTTATTGTATGGGTGGTAGACAACTGATATATATATTTTTTGTAAATACATACATACGTAATATTTCTGTCGATACTTGAGAGCCTTCCATTAGTTTACGTCTCTATTAACAAAGATAATTTAAGTGTTGTTAAATGTAAAATCAGTCTACGCCCCGACTCCGCGTCGACTGGACACGTTATTATTAAGCCATGTAACACACTACCAATAAACTTAATAACGTCTAATAAACAGTACAATTATTACACTTGTATACTCACTACCTACATACTACAATAAAAATATATTATGTAGCGACACCTCATCACAACATATATAACGCTACAGTGATGAGGATAACCACCGCGCTACAAATACGAAGGTTTATACAGTGCGAGGAATTGAACCCGCGACTATCAGAGGATCACTAAACTATTGAGGGTGTCAACAATAGGCGACAACACTATTTTACTTGGTATATTTGAAATTTTGAATCCAGTGTGGGAAAGAGCGATAATTTTTTTGTTCGGTTTTTCCTGTCTCTGAAAAGCAAAAGGACTCAGCCCATACAGCCTCTAAGACAGCAGTCTGATATTATATATCCTTCAATTTATTGTCTTCAAATTTTGATATTACGTATCCAAACATGCATTTATAAGTTTATGTGTTCCTTAATAATTTTTTGATGGAGCGCGGGATGTACTAAAATCTTCATTCACGCCATGCGCTGTCAATGTCAAATTGTCAACGTCAAATCAGGTTACAAAATTATTTATAGCGAGTCTGTGCCTAGGGCTCAGTCTATTTGCTTGTTAATATTTTTTCTAATCTTATTCAAATATAAATAACAATAAAACCATGTCGTTAAATAGTGATTTGAGGCAATTAATGAAACCATATTATTGGATCAATATATTACTCAGTATATCGTACGTTACAAGCAAACGGACTTCAATTATTTGTAATTTTCTGTTCCCCGATGTTGACTGTGAACTGGACAGTCGCGAAACGGAAATACTATTTTTCCTAATTATAGTGGTTATGCTGAGGACTCGAAAGGCGGGAAGTGTGACTATGGTCAATTACCTATCGTCCTCATTTGTTTATACGAAGATTGCTAACTTAATTCTCTGGCTTTACGCGGATATCAGGTACTTTTATATCTTTACCTTACATCGCATAAAATAAAGTCACCGCCGCTGTTGCGAACCAACTAATACTTAATATATCTTTTAAATTACGCAACGGATTTTAATGCAGTTTTCAGTATTAGATAGAGTGATTCAAGAGGAAGGATTATATGTATAATACATGCGTGTTATAGTATAGAATTAGCCGAGAAATTTAAAGACTTGTAATCTGTGCGAAGCCGGGCGCGTCGCTAATTTGTAGTATTACTCGTGAAATTTATAGCACATGTGATATTATGATGTACAAGCTATATTATTGTAGATTTTCATTCAAATCCATTCAGTAGTGTAGAATAGAATAGAAAATCATTTATTCAAATAAACTTACATTGAAGCACTTTTGAATAGTCATTACATTTTTTTAAACTACCGCCTCTCTACCATTTAGTATTGTTTGCGTGAAATAGTAACGAACATCCATCCATACTTACAAACTCACAAACTGTCGCATTTATAATGTTAGTAAGATATGTGCTATTTTTTGTTGGGATTTTTGGGCCTTGAAATATCTCCTTTGGAAAGTATACACTCTATCCTGAGGAGATAAAAACCATCGCTTCTAAGAATATCCTTCAATTCTTGTCCCTGACGGGTCTAGGTAGCGAACTCTGAAAAGGGCGAGCACAATAGATCTATGTAGGTTGCAGTGTTACAAGTCTTTGCACCTGTTAATAGCCCAAATGCACCCGATAAAAAAAACATACACCATGGTGGTCTAGTTTTCATTTTTTTATACGGGGTTTTGGGCTATTGTCAGGTGCTAAGACCTGTAGCACTGCGACCTACATAGGTCTACTGTGCTCGCCCTTTCCAAAGTTCGCTACCCAGACCCGTCAGGGACAAGAATTGAAGGATATTCTTATGAGCGATGGTTTTTATCTCCTCGGGATAGCTAGCATCTTAGTATATATAAAGAACACTGGACTTAACACAGTACCATCTAGTCCCGCGGTAAGCAGAGCTTGTGTTATGAGTACTAGACAACTGATAAAAGATCTATGTACTGAACATAGATTTTTTTTAAAATACATACATAATATACATAGAAAACACCCAGACTGACACAAACAATCATACCCATAAATACATTACATTTGCACTGTGTGAGGTTAAGTTATGTTATCAAACCCGCAACCGTCAGAAATAAAGTGGTGTGCTAAACTGCTAACCCAAAGTTCCCGTCAATTATAAAGTATATATTCTACAAGTATATCCCATAACTTACCATGTAAATTACACAGGTACGGCCTACCATATGGTGCGTTGATCATCCTCTGCGCCCTCCTACTCCCTGAGCCAACATACTCTGGACCGGAACACATCATATACTTCCGAGGGCCTCAGTCCCTCGACGAGGAACTCAAAAGACACAAGACGACATGGCTGGTCTGTCTGTACGCAGCCTGGCATCCTGCTTGCGTGAACTTTGCACCGGTCTTCGCAGAGTTATCCGCGAGCTACAGCTTGGAGAATCTGAAGTTTGGGAAGCTGGATGTAGGCAGGTAAGTACTTTTCACCAATCGTAATTCTAATTTTATTAAGTCTAAGTCGGAGATGGCATGTCTATACATCTATACATATAAATAAAATTGGAGCGTCTGTTTGTAATATAGAACTAACTGTTTTTTACTACATGCATGTGAATATAAATACAATGAAGAGTTTTACAATTTTTGTCTTTCTGTCTGTCTGTTTGTTCCGCTAATCTCTGAAATGGCCTGATCGAATGACGGGACTTTTATTGGCAGGTAGCTGATGTAATAAGGAGTAACTTAGGCTACTTTTATTTTAGAAAAATAAAGGGACTGGTATTATCATGTCATGATAAGAGTCCCTAAATAAATCTAAGATTAAAAAAAAAAGTTAAGTTCCACACAGTTGAAGTGGCAGGAACAGCTAGTATTATAATAATAATAATATAGCCTTTTTCTCCAAAAGTTGGGACACAATTCATAGTTCTAGACAAAATGTCCCGCAACTTAGTGTGCTTTCCACCATCTCTTATCGCATGATCTTTCATTGAACAGATATCCTGAGGCAGCAGCTAAGTACCGTGTCCAAGATGGCCCGACCAGCAGGCAATTGCCCACAGTGCTACTATTCAGCGAGGGCCAGGAGAAACTGCGGAAGCCCCATGCAGACCACACGGGAAAACTTCAAAAGTAATTATCACTTGTTTAAATTTATAATCATATACTATAGTATAAAACAAAGTCGCTGTCGCTGTCTGTCCGTCCCTATGTATGCTTAAATATTTAAAACTACGCAACGGATTTTGAAGTGATTTTTTTTAATAGATAGAGTGATTCAAGGGGATGGTTTATATATATAATACATGTACACCCCTGCGAAACCGGGGTGGCTTAGCTAGTAATACATAAAGCTGCATATTGATATAAAGCCTTTATTGAAACAGTACAGTATTCCTCTATACAAATTAATAAAATTAAAGTGTCTGTTAGTATTCAATATATATTAATTTAATTTTTTCCAGATTTTTATTCTCAAAAGACAATATGAAAGCAGCATTCGATATTGATGACCTGTACCAGGAGTGCAAAGAGAAGCTTTCCGCTGCCAAAAATAACAAAAAGACTGAGTAGACCATCAGTAGACCGAGAAGACCATCTGATGACTCAGTAAACCGTTAACAGACTGGGTAGACTATCAAAAAACGAGTAAGCCAGTATAACACTCAATGCAATGAGAATGAGTAGACCGTTACGTAACCCAGTATACCATCAGTAGACTGTCTTGTCTCATATAAATCAGGAAATTATTAATATAAGACCAATGTAGACCATTATAACACCTAGATTATTATTATAATAAGAAGAATATCATTGCAAATACCCAGTAGACCATCAGAAGACCGAGTAGACTTAGGAAGCATTAGCGTATTTGAAGCTATATATACATGTTTATGGTTTAGAGAGTAACTATTGTTTGACTAAGAGATTTATTGCACAATGATTGTTAGTTGTAGTTGCCATATAAAAAATAAGGAAGTATTATGAATTTGAATCTCTTTTGTTAATTAATAATAATATTTATGTATTTTAAGTTTCACTGCCTTTATACGATACGTTCTTTTATATCCGCAATTTTTCGCCAGGCTATCGGCTTTATGATTGTCCCCTATTTTTTAAATCTTTAAATTTCCAATCCTCCGTCAGAAGGGCGACGGGAGGGTGTGTAAGATTTATACCCCACTAAAAAACCACACGCTGTACCTACGAGCACTATTGCCGGAGGTAAAGTCGCGGTAAATTGCTAACGAGACACTTCTAGCGCTGCCCTAGCCTGTAGATAGTGTAGGGTTCTTTTTTTATGGATGATAATGGATTGGTGAACCCGCCTGCGCTAACGGTTTACGCTGGCGGGGCACCAGTGGAGGATGATAAGATGAACATGAAGTCAGGTCAGTTAGCCCATCGTGATAAATTCACTAAGGATTTATCACGATGGTTTCCAGGGGGAACCGCGTTGAGGTGGACCTGACACGGTACATTGCTAGCAATAAGATCATCAGTTCACATTACTAACAATCCCCTTTCCCTGATGGTGTAGGGTTGGTCCCATCACGTTGTTAGGGCGACCTATTTCGCCCTTCTCAATTGTGGAGCCGTGTGGACACGTGCACGCCTCCGGGGCCATTTGATTAGGGTACCGACGGCAGTGGGGTTATAGATGGGGCGGAGTTGGATATGACCCTATACCTAGCATGTTCTTTTCTTGGATTATTATTATGATTGACCGTATGTTTATGAAATTGTGTTCAAATTAAATGTTATATTGTGTTCTAGTTTTGTATGTAAATAAATTATTTATTGTTTGTAAATGTTTATTTTAAATTCAAATTCAAATTCAAAAATCATTTATTCATGTAGGACATTTTAGCCGCTTATGAACGTCAAATTTTTACATTATAATTTTATTTTTTTCCGTACCGTCCAGTTCGGTATATAGATCCAATTGAGAAGAACTGGCAAGAAACTCAATTGAATTACTTTTTTTTTAAAGCCAGTTTATTTACAATGTATATTTATATAGGTGTCTATGTCTAACATTAAATGAAAATCCAGTGCATGAACAACTATTGCCATGCACGCTCGTCATTCAGTAATCGTTTAGTGAGTAATAGGCTTTGCTCAGTAAATATGATTTAACAGATGTTTTGAATTTATTTAAGGGTAATTCCATCATATCCTTTGGTATCTTATTGTAAATTTTTATACCTATTCCCATAGAAGACCTATTAACTTTTTCTAAACGATACTTGGGGACAGCAAGTTTGTCTTTAAATCTAGTATTAATATTATGAATATTGCTGTTTTTTGGAAATAACTCAAGATTTTTATGAACATATAGGTTATTTGAATATTTTTTTTTTTAATTTTATACACTACAATTTAATGTACAAATAAATAAAACAACAAGTAATTTTAAATTACCAGATTTTTTCTAAATGTAATGAAAATAAATAAGGTTCTTACATCATTCCATTGTCGTACTTTATGTGGCGAAAATTGAAGAAACTTTGTCTGTCTGTTTGTTCGGGCTAATCCCTGGAATGCTTGGACCGATTTTGACGGGTTTTAACTTACAGATGGCTAATATTATGAGGAGTAACTTAGTATACATATATTACAGAAATTATCATTCCATTGTCGTACTTTATGTGGCGAAAATTGAAGAAACTTTGTCTGTCTGTTTGTTCGGGCTAATCCCTGGAATGCTTGGACCGATTTTGACGGGTTTTAACTTACAGATGGCTAATATTATGAGGAGTAACTTAGTATACATATATTATAGAAATTTATTTTATTATAAAAAAAAATAAGGTATATCCACGCGGACGAACAGACAGGTAAGTCGTAATATACCAATTATAAAAAAAGAGTGTTAAATTCCACTCGGACAAAGTTGCGGCTAACAGCTAGTCATAATCATAAATTTAATATTAATTACGGCTCTAACAGCAGATGGGGTAGTGAGAGATTATAAAGTTTAAGTGTAAGGTTTTTATTAGGTTATAGATCCAGTTATTTATAAAATGAAACGAATATTATAATTTTAAATATATTTAATGACTAGATTAAAACATAATAATTATAAATATTCACAGATTCTTTAATAACATATCTGTTTATGGCCTCGTGGGCCTAGCGGTTAGCCGCACCGCTCTACTTCCGATGGACGCGGGTTTGATTCCTCGCACTATTCGTCTGGATATTTTCTATAATGTATTTATATCAGTTGTCTATCACTCATAATACAAGCTCTGCTTAGCTTGAGACTAGATGGCGCTATGTGAATTGTCCAGGGCTGTAAAAATATAAAATAAAACAATTTGTTGATGCCGTATCTATGTTGCCAAGCTTTTTTGTTAGTTTGTTTGTGCATTTGTGTGCTTTAGTAGTTACTGTGTTATAGGAATCCGTTACAGTCACTTCAATATAATCATCACTGGTGCCCCATACCATTATCATCTATTAAAAATCTTCAACAGCTCACGGTTCAAGATACTTCATACTTCAGACAATTTCTTTGAAAAATTGATAAAAAAATATTTATTAATGGAAAACTGTTTTGGCATACCACAATGTAACGGTCATTTCAATGAAGGATTATGAAGGATTATGGGGGATTATTAAACACATGTTCGTGTGACGTGGGCTACGTCACACGAACATGTATTTCCATCAAAACACATGAGATAGTGTAGGGTAAACCCTATCACCTCGTGGAACCCTTTAACATGTGACGTAACTTAAGGAGGACCTTGTAATAGACCTACATGAATAAAGATATGAATATATTTTGAATTGAATTTTCACGTTGGTCCGCCCTACAGATGGTGTAGGGCAGACCCTATCACCTCGTGGAACCCTTTAACATGTGACGTAACTTAAGGAGGACCTTGTAATAGACCTACATGAATAAAGATGTTTTGAATTGAATTTTGACGTTGGTCCGCCTTATAGATGGTGTAGGGCAGGCCCTATCACCTCGTGGAACCCTTTAACATGTGGCGTAACTTAAGGAGGACCTTGTAATAGACCTACATGAATAAAGATATGAATATATTTTGAATTGAATTTTCACGTTGGTCCGCCCTACAGATGGTGTAGGGTAGACCCTATCACCTCGTGGAACCCTTTAACATGTGGCGTAACTTAAGGAGGACCTTGTAATAGACCTACATGAATAAAGATGTTTTGAATTTAATTTTGACGATGGTTCGCCTTATAGATGGTGTAGGGCAGGCCCTATCACCTCGTGGAACCCTTAACATGTGACGTAACTTAAGGGCGGCCCATCATGAGAACTCGAACCGGTTACCTATAGGACAAAGGTCTCAAATATCATATCCAATATACTCAATAACTTCATTAGACGAGGTTTGTTCTCATCATCGGTTTTCTTCTGTACTGGCTTCTCTCGATTCCTCTTGTCCAGACCTGAAAAAATAAAGAAAATTATTTTTTTCGGACTATAATGCTGTTGGCCGCAGCTGGCCTTTACAGCTTCACTGGACGATAGGGGGCGAGTGCAGATGGCACTCTAAACCAAAGGAAGGACTTACGGAGCGGAAATCTGGTCCCGACTCGTGAGGTGCTTATATTGCAACTTCAATCTTTATACTTCTTATACCTTTATGTTATCCTGGTACTTTCACTGGAGTATTGCAGTTTAAAGTATACATCCAGACTTATGCAAAGTGTCGTGTATACATATCGGTGCTTTTTTCGGACTACTCTAATGCTGTTGGCCGCAGCTGGCCTTTACAGCTTCACCGGACGATAGGGGGCGAGGGTAGATGGTACTCCAAACTAAAGGAAGGACTTATGGAGCGGTTGAAACAACTCCCGCCTGACGGATACGACTTGTCTCCCTCAGGTTTTCAGTTAATTTATTAAATAGATTTACAGACTAAACAATTTTTGTTTTTCGGACAACTCCAATGCTGTCCGCAGCTGGCCTTTACAGCTTCACCGGACGATAGGGGGCGAGTGCAGATGACACTCCAAACCAAAAGAAGGACTTATGGAGCGGCTGCAGGCCAACTTCCGCCTGACGGATACGATTATAATCTGAGGGGACCGCTAGGAGGTTCGAATCTCGGCCTGTACCGTAATTTCGATCTCGATTCGAGTCTTAACAAATGCTTACTGACTATGGTCAATTTGTTCGTTTTTGTTAAATTTTTTTATAAATGTCTAGGAAGAACTTGAACCACATAACGAATTTTATAATTATTTTTGTCTCCTTTGTTTTGAAAGTAGGGCATTCCCATATACATATCTAAAGAGCCATCTTCATAAATTACTTTGTCTATTCTAACCAAATAGTGCTTTATCACTATTAGCCCCCCACGCGGTTCCCCCTGGAAACCATCGTGTTAAATTCCTGGTGAATTTATCACGATGTGCTAACTGACCTGACGTCATGCTCATCTTATCATCCTCCACTGGTGCCCCACCAGCGTAGACCGTTAGCGCAGGCGGGTGCACCATTCCATTATCATAAAAAAAAACTTATGACCATATAGAGCAAGAGGCAACGACGGCCAGACACACGTCCTATTAGTAACTGTGAAAGTTCTTGTATGTGTGTCCCCAACACAGGTAAGAACGATCCCCAAACATGAAACCTGGATCGTGGTTCCAGGTATCATGTTTGGGGATCGTACTTACCTTTTACTTTATACTTTAAATTTAATTTATAATTTACTAATAAGACATATGTCTGGCCGTCGTGGGCTCTTGCTCTATATGGTCATAAGTTTTTTTTATGATAATGGAATGGTGCACCCGCCTGCGCTAACGGTTTACGCTGGCGGGGCACCAGTGGAGGGTGATAAGATGAGCATGAGGTCAGGTCAGTTAGCCCATCGTGATAAATTCACCAGGAATTTATCACGATGGTTTCCAGGAGGAACCGCGTGGAGGTCGACCTTCCTAGGTACATTGTTAGGAATGGGGTTATCAATCCACATTACTAATAATCCCCTTTTCCCCCTATGGTCATAGGTCTCTTACCTAATGTGTCCAGGGTTTCTAAAACGTGAAAGACGAACCTGGTGTCTGGGCCCTATGTTGAGAAACACTGGGACAGAGTGTAATGTATGATAAATCAACTTGATAGACTACTGGATTCTGTGATTACCTGTGCTTTCATCGTTGTCTTGACTCTGTTGGAAGGCCAGCATTTGGACATCGTTCATGACCGCGTTGGTGTCCAGGAAGACTTGGATGCTGTACTCGGAGTATATCTGAGACCAGTGCCCGTATATGCCAATACCTGACAAAGAATTAATTACTTATTAGAAGAAAACTGATGCAAAATGTATTTTTCTAAAATAAAAGTAGCCTAAGTTACTCCTTATTACATCAGCTACCTGCCAAAAAAAGTGCCATCAAAATCGGTCCAGCCATTTCAGAGATTAGCAGGAACAAACAGACAAAGATTGTAAATATGTTATTTTGGTGTACGGTTATTTCAATATTACAAACAGACACTCCAATTTTATTTATATGTATGTATAGATTATAATATATAATATTGACGACCTCAGTGGTCTAGCACACCGCTTTACGACCGATGGACGCGGGTTCGATTCCTCGCACGGCACAAATATTTGTATTCATGAGTATGATTGTTTGTATCAGTCTGGGTGTTTTCTATGTATAATATGTTTACAAAAAAAATATCTATGTACAGTCAACCCTCCTATAACGCGGTACTCTCAGAACGCGGTTTCCATATAACGCGGAGCTGAAATTGCGACAGCCCTCCTATAACGCGGTACTCTTACAGCGCGGTTTCCGTTCAACAACGTCCCATCAGTTCTTTCCGTGCACCCAATGAATGGTTTTAACTGGATATGTTTATATCAGCGTGGTTCACGGGTGGGTGGTTCTCCTCATGCGCTATCTTCCACTTCTATTAACTAAATAGTTTCGCATCGACAGCGTGCCATGCGTGTGTGTGTCTAACGAAACTGTAACATGAAAGATATATATGTGATCTTTTGACTACATTGTCGCGTGAACTATAGAAAAACTACGTTCTGCTTATGTCTTAGCCGCTTAAAACCAATGTGAAGATCAACCAAGTGAGGAAGACATTTTGCCCATTAAAAGAAGGCGAGTTAGGCGACTCATATCTGACAGTGAGGATGAGTGTTGAAAGATTACATCATTTTTACAAAAGTCTTTCTTTTGTTTTTGTTGGAAAACAGTTTTTTAGTTTAGTTTTTGTTCATTTTTTTCATCATTTCCTTATTTTTATTGAATTGAAGAGTTCATACTCTTCAATTCAATAAAAATAATTTATAATTTATCTTGTCTTTTGTATTTATTGGTCTCCATATAACGCGGTACGAATGATGTGATTTGTACTTATTCTGAGTCTCTTATAGCGCGGTTTCCATACAACGCAGTAGACGGTTTCCATAGAACGCGCTACGAATTAGCCTGGTTTGTACGGTTAAATCCGAGTTTCTTATAGCGCGGTTTCCATACAACGCGGTACGCACTCACCGCGTTATAGGAGGGTTGACTGTATTTGTATCAGTTATCTACTACTGGGTACTACCCATAACACAAGCTTTAGCTAGCTTAACTTGGGTCTAGATGGCGCTGTGTGAATTGTCCTGAGATTATTATTATTATTGTTTATAAAAATAAACAGATTAGTCAAATTGAAGGATAAAAAATATTAATTTAAAATGTGTTACTGAATTTTTAATGTTTTTATGGTTATAGTGTAGTCACCTATGGGTCTGGGGAAGTCGGCTGGTATGTTGACCATGTCAGGTCCACACGTCGCTGAGCTGAAGTTATTCTTGTCGACCTCATAACTCGGCCTGAAATTGGTGAACATCATTACATAGTATAAAACAAAGTGGCTGTCTTTCTGTCCCTACATATGCTTAAATCTTTAAAACTACGCAACAGATTTTAAATCGTAAATGTAATTTTTTTTTAATAGATAGTGTATCTAGAGGTAGGTTTATATGTATAATACATGTACACCCGTGCGAAGCCGGGGCGAGTAGCTAGTAAATAATAATAAATAACATGAGACAACACAGCACCAACTAGTCCCATACTAAGTAGAGCTTGTAAAATTCATGATTTTGTACATATTTGTTAGATTCTGTGGTCTAGTCGATGGTCTTACTTCCGATGGTCGCGGGTTCAATTTCACGCATGGCACAAACATTTATATTCATGAGTATGATTGTTATATATATTTTTTACAATTTTGTCTATCTGTCTGTCTCTATGTTCCTGCTAATCTCTGAAATGCCTGGACCGATTTTGACGGGAGATTTTTTGGCAGGTAGCTGATGTACTAAAGTTAAATTCCACGCGGACGAGGTCACGGGTACAGCTAGTCATCAATAAAAGAAAAACAACCCCCTTTCACCTTAATTGTCTAGGGTTGTTATTATGAATAAAAACATATTTTAGGTTTATACCTTATACTATCCGATACGTAGAGGTCTGCATCACCACTCAAAGAGGTCAGCTCCACCAACAGGGGCCCCACATGCCCAAGTTGCCAATACGAAAAGTTTCCAGCACCCACTACACCGACAACAGTATCTAGAAGCACTTTATCAGTGTCAGTTTGAACATAACCTGATAATAAAGACGATAATGTCGATATACATATAATGCCCATGAAAACTAATATAAATTCTCTACGCATAGTTTCTCAATTCATTAATTTGTTGCAAAAAATTGCAAAAGTACAACAAAAATATATCACGGCTATTTACGACAGATTATAGACAATTAGACTGACTTTTGAAAAATTACTGACAGCCCGACGTCAGGACTGTCAGTATGACAGTTGTGCCTTTTCTTTTTATCCTTGAAAGGTAAGGCAAAGTAAACAGTGCCCATACAGCCAAATCGTGCCTTTCTATTAGTAAGTTACTATAAAAAAAAAATCGGTAGACAAATCTAAAATCCACAGCGCTAACAATATTATCTGATTGCACTGAGAATGAGTGCGTAGCGGTTTGTATGTTGATTATCGCATGCCCCTTGTTATGCTGTAATTATTTATATAAAAAAAACATATATTCAAAAGAGCAACACAAGTTTCTTGCTCATCTTTCGGTGGTAGAATCAAAATATGACTATTTTGTAATGAGTTTATTTGAATAAAGATTATTTCTATTTCTATAATGACAAACAATAACATCCTAAGAGGGTGCGTCAGTGCGAGTTAGGGCGTCAGGGCAACCATTTTGCCGCGAAATAAATTTCAGGGGCAACTAACTTCGGAAGGCTGCGTGAATAACCTCTTGATTAACAGGAATATATAAAATGTTATGGAAAAAATAATAAATATTAGCTGTTATACAACTGTAATTATCATAAATTCATAATCAATGTAGATTAAAATAAGTAGTACAAACATGTCATTTATACATATAAATAAAATTGCAGTGTCTGTTTGTAATATTGAAATAACCGTTTTTACTACGTGCATATGAATATAAATACGGTACATACACCAAAATAACATTTTTTACAATTTTTGTCTGTCTGTCTGTCCGTTTGTTCCGGCTAATCTCTGAAATGGTTGGACCGATTATAACGGGACTTTTTTTGGCGAGTATCAAATGTAATAAGGAGTAACTTAGGCTACTTTTATTTTAGAAAAATAAAGTTAAATTCCACGCGGACGAAGTCGCGGGTACAGCTAGTTGAAAATAAGATTCTCTGATCTGGTTTGTTAGCAATTTCAACAGGGAGGAAACGGCATTTTATTTACATTTTATCTCCTAGCAATCAGGTAGACTCTATGCGGTTCCCCCTGGAAACCATAATGATAAGTTCCTGGTACCACGATGTGCTAACTGACCTGACCTCATGCTCATCTTATCATCCTCCACTGGTGCCCCGCCAGTGTGTATCCTTAGCGCAGACGAGTAAACACTCCATTACCAACCATAAAATAAAAACATAAGTTGCTAAACGTAGTGTCATACTTGGAGACAATACTGTTTTTTATTTTTTAACCTTTCTTTATTATAATAGTTTTTTATTCATATTTTTATATGTAAAAATGAAAGTGTATAATAATAATCTCAGGACAATTCACACAGCGCCATCTAGACCCAAGTTAAGCTAAGTAAAACTTGTGTTATGGGTACTAGATGACTGATACATATACATAGTTTTTTTTTGTAAATACATACATATTATACATAGAAAACACCCAGACCGATACAAAAAATTATACTCATGAATACAAATGTTTGTGCCGTGCGAGGAATCGAACCCGCGACCATCGGTCGTAAAGCGGTGTGCTAGACCACCGAGGTTGTCAATAGTATAGTCGATTATAATATGAATGTAGATGGATGTAAAGGGAGGGGACGCCCTAAGAAAAGATGGATGGATTGTGTGAAAGATGATATGAATAAAAGAAGAGTATGCTCAGATATGACGACCGATAGAGAGCAGTGGAAGAGAATGACATACTGCGCCGACCACAAATAATGGGATAAAGGCAAGGCAATGATGATTCATATCATCATCATCATCATCATCTGCTTCTTCCTTATCCCATTTATTTGGGGTCGGCGTAATATGTTTTTCGCTTCCATTCATCCCTGTTTGCAGTCATTGCGTTATTTACTTCCTTTCTTACCATATCATCTTTCACACAGTCCATCCATCTCTTTTTTGTCCTTCCTCTGCCCTTATAACCATCCACATTCATTTGTAACATCTTTCTTAAAATATTATCCTCGTTCCTACGCATTACATGTCCATACCATGATAGACGATATATATATATATATATATCGTTTGTCATTCCAATTGTATAAAAAGATATCTATTGTCATGACCACAGGAAATGTAAATGATTCGATCGAGTGATGAATCATGAAATTATCATATTTACAATATTATTATCATTGTGAGGTGTAAAGATAAACAAAAGATAAAAGATACATTCAAAACAAAACATAGATTATATTAACTTTGTTATGAATGATGTATAGACAAGATAATCCTTTCAAAACTGCTATCATTCTTACTAAATGACAAATATACAAATAATATTAATAATAATCTCAGGACAATTCACACAGCGCCATCTAGACCAAAGTTAAGCTAGCTAAAGCTTGTGTTTTTTTTTGTGTATGATAATGGAATGGTGCACCCGCCTGCGCTAACGGTCTACGCTGGCGGGGCACCAGTGGAGGATGATAAGATGAGCATGAGGTCAGGTCAGTTAGCACATCGTGACAAATTCATCAAGAATTCATCACGATGGTTTCCAGGGAGAACCGCGTGGAGGTCGACCTAACATGGTACATTCCTAGCAATGGGAGTTACTAGTTCCCATTGGTAACAAACCCTCTAAAGCTTGTGTTATTGGTACCAGATATCTGATACAAATACATAGATATTATGTGTTGCCTAGTACCCATAACACAAGCTCTGCTTACTGTGGGCCTAGATGGCGGTGTGTTAATTAAAAAATATATATAACCTATACTTATGTTACTCTGATGTATTAAACTATATTATTGTAATTTAAATAATGTAAATTAAATATTGTAATGGGTGAAAACTGTGATTGGTACAGTTTATGCTGTAAATAATATAAATGACGTAGTGGAGTAACTTGAAACAGTCATGCTCGCTATAAAGTTCAAACTTGTGGCGGCGTGGTGGGCCGGGTCGATGTGCTCCCTCTAATATGGTTGAGTGCAATGTATTGGGAAGTTTCAGAAATGATACGTCGATACAGTAGTACATTTAGTTTATTCCTTTCTTCAAATCACCCTCCACATAAATTGCATCGCTGTACATTCACGTCTGGTCGTTGCGGTCGCCTCGAACCAAGAGAGCGCAGCCCGCTCCTTCCTTGTTCCCGGCCTCTTTATCTCCATTCCTATTGGTGGCGGCATAATCGTGACGCCACCAACTTCACGTGACTTACTATGGCTTTTAATGAATGAAATGTAAGTAACAAATTAGTCAACCGAGTGTTCTTTAGGTATTGAAGCTAACAGCTCGGCCATCCTGTTCGAAGCGAGTCCCTGCGCGCCATTACGACCAGGCATGGTTATGATCAGCATAAATTGAACAATTATGTAATGTTTATTATTTACAACAATAACGCTAGCATACTCAAAACGTCACTATACGAAAATTAATATAAACTGAAACATTTATAAACAATTATATAATAGAATAACAAAGATATTATTTTCCTTAATAATAATAACAACATTTTATTTGCAAATATGGATAATCAATAAGATGTTACAACAGTTTTGCTATATATTTCGTTTATATTATCTCATGAGGTGTGCCAATTTAATTGGTAAGTTCATACAACATTCAAAAGAACAACTATTTCCCTTTATTATATGGTAATGATAATCTTTATTAACAAATATATATAATAATTTATTATATTTAGCCCTGACTTTCGAATTAGGTAAATCTGTGCCACAAAATCCAGTATGTTGGAGGGGAAACCTCCAACACACTAGACACATTTCAAACATCTTAGTAAATCGTTAAATGTCTTTATATTTATATTGATTTCTACAGATCTAACCATATAAAATACCTAATGTAAACTTAAAAATGATCAATGTGACAAATAAGAAATACAGACCCAACACAAATACCCCTGAACAGTCACAACAATTCGCTCGTCAAAAGAACGAGCAAGTAACCTGCGCTTTGCTTTTTCAAACAATTGCTCAGCATCACATATTTATGATCTTGTGCGAATACAAACTTTCAAATAGCAAGATTGTCATAATTAACATTTTAATTAGTTCGGTATACCTATTTTGTAGTTGTTTAACGTCAAATAACTGTCTCTTTAATACAGTCATGAAAATTAGTTAACAGTTATCATGTAAATCGTCACATGTTTTCAAGATTCCTGAAATATGCTTAGTAATTGTAGTTTGTTTAAAATATACATAATAATAATAAAATATACAAAGATATAATTTTCTCATCCAATAGACATATTATTTTTTTTCAGTCCATCCGCAATTCCGTATACATAGATGTGTACCCATGGAAAGTCAACGATTCATTCAATCCATTGTCAAGGAATTACCGTAATACTAATAGATCATTAGTCGTCGGCACTAGGTTACATTGATCTGCACACGATTGATAAATTGTAAGAGTTTGCGAAAATTTGTAGAAGATTAAATAACAAAACAAAACTAGAACCTAATAAAGTAATAAACCTATAACATTTTTTTTTTTTTTATATATACATAGTTATATGAAGTGTCACTTATATTACGCAAAGTGGAGTCTATATACAAAAATGCATATATCAGACATTTGTGGGGTTCATGAACTTTAGAAATAATATATTAATGAAAGAGGTTAGAGCAATTTTAAAAGATACCAACATTCCATGGATACACCACCGTGAGGACACCTGGTCCATCGTGTGGCAGTGAGGGTTTCTCCGAGCAGTTAGAGACCCCTTTGTCGACGTATACGTCAACACCCTCAACCCTCGCGACTCTTTTTTTTTTTTTTGCCCAACCAAATCAGGTAGGAACCTGCCAATGCAAGTTTACACATTCCAGTATAGAACTCACTATAGTTCTATACAGGCCAAGATCTTTTGGAAGATCGTCGTGAGATTTCTGGTTTACTTCTCATTTCCACCATAACTATAGATTAACCGCATAGTCATATTTCGTTAATTCGATTATTAGTTCTTAATATTTATTTGTTCTTATTACATGTTTCACTCGTATTTGTTTTCCATAACACAGGGAGCTCTACCAGTATTATACGTTTACTTTCTTGAATAAATAATTTAATTGTATTGAAAAGAGAATTATTTAATAGATTAGATTTTCTACACTAATT